AAATTTTATGAAGTTACTCTATTAAGTCTGCATAATGAACTTGTATCGTTTAGCTTTGATCGTTTCTTGACCATTAATGCGTAAATAATACATTACGTTAGGTAAGCTTCAACGCTTGTTAACAGTTTTTTCACTATTAAACTCCTGGTTTAATACGAGACACATAGTTTTTATTTGTTTCTATGATGATCAAATATATCGATAATTCAAAGTAAGCTTTAAATTACTATTTTTGAGTTGTAATACATAGGTACATGTTCTGTACATTAGATTTTTTTTAATAAATAATACTTATAAAATTGTAACTAGGCGATGTCTGTACATCATTATCATCATCTTTCTACTTACCCTTATTCCAATTATTATTTGGGGTCGGCGTAATATGTTTTCTTTTCCATTCTTCTCTATTTACAATCATTACCGCATTATGGGAGATATTTAAGAAAAAAAATAATATGAGGGGTTTTAATAAGACAAATAGATGCTAAAACAATAGTTTTTAGAATTTTCGCCTGTCTGTATGTTTGTTCCGCCGTTACACGAAAACTACTGCATTAAATTGGATACTTAAAATCTAGTATGTTTTTATACGCCATCTAGAAGTGATAATTGGTTTTTCTACTTTTGAGAATTATTCGTACGAAGCAGCAGGCAATAATTATAATGAAATCATAATTATAACTTATAATTAACAGAAATTTAAAAATCATGCAAAGCAGTTATTATCTGAAAACAAAGTTCCGCTATGACTGTAAAGTCACGTGACGTGTAAAGTGAAATACGTCTGTGTAGTCAGACGAATACGAAAAGTAAAGAGCAACGTAATTAATATTTTGATAGACTTATACTATTTAGTGTAAAAATCGAGTATTTTAGATAAATTTATTTAAGATAAATATAGTAATTTTCTGTTTTTCTGAACTATCAGTAGGTAGTCTAACAATATACCAGCTATTCGTGCTAACGAATAGAAAATATAATGTAAATAAAAAATACAATTTTATTTTCAATCGACTTCAAAAAAAGAAGGTTCTCAATCAGCTTGTATTTTTTTTTTAATTATGTTTGTTACCTCATAATTCCGTCAGTTCTAAACTGACATAGAAATTTTTTTTCTAAATCGATTCGATAATTTAGTTTTTAAATCAAAATTGTTGAGTCACAATTGTAGTTTTTTTTTTCAATCGGAATACAACTTTTAATTATATTTCCAATACATCTTTTCTACAGAACGTAGAAGAGAATAATTATCATGAAGTCAAGCAGCCATGTTGTGTTTAATGAGTCGTACAGTACTCCCTTTGTTTTGTTATTTATCAGGAAAGATCTGGCAATGTAATGAGAAATGTAACGTTGTTGCCTTTTCAGATTCTCAATAACATATTAACTTTTATATCTTAATAATATAATAAAATTATAGAGTAGACGATGACTATACATAGGAGTTATTTAAGAAAAATTGCTATAAGTTATTTTAATAGGAATAATAGAAGCCAAAACAATATTTTTTTGCGATTGTTTTCTGTTTGTGTGCTTGTGTGAACAGATATGTTTGTATGTTTGTTCCAGCGTCACCCAAAAACTACTGTACCAAATTGTATACGGTTTTGTATGTCTTTCAAAAGGAGATGGTTATCATTTCTCTTGTTTTTATGTATGTTATGCATTTATCTTGAATCTAAATTGATATTTTTAGTCTTTTTTTTTTTTTTGCAATGGTATGGTCTACCCCATGTTAGTTTAATATTAATTATACTTGATGAATAGTCGATACTTTTCTTTGGGGTGCAAAATCAAATTATTATTTCTTTAATCTTATTATTTAAATGTCTGTACAACATCTCGTCATTTCATTTTATTGGTATTTGTTTTGCAATAATAAATTATGTCAATATTATTAATTGGAAAGTTGGGGTAAACTTGTCAGTTGTACTTATGTTCTTTACATGAGACCGAATTTTCCCTCTCACAAAATTTTTATATAGATTTTTTTAACCCAAACTTTTCGTATGATTTTTCAAACACTCTTTACAACTACGACAAAAAAGAATCAGCCAAATTGGTGCAGCCGTTTTGAAGTGATGCGCTCACATATATTCGGCAATTGATTTTTATTTATATACATTTTGTTAGGATTAAACTTGCCATTTTTTGCAATACAAAATCTATTTTTGGTTATTTTCAACACAGCTGTATTTCAACGGCTATTGTATTCCTATTCATTCATCGAGATATATTAAAAAGTATCCGTAACTAAGGTCTTCAAAGAGATCACTTGGTCGAAACCGCAAATAGTGGTTTATAAATAGTCTCTGAGCTGTACAACTGAACAGTTCCACGGGATAATGTCCCATAATAGCCGATTTGTTGCAGTTAAATCCAGATGTGGCTATGGCAACATCGATTGTTTATTAAGACTGGAATGAAACTGATTAAATGTAGTTTTGCCTTAAATGTTTATTACCATAAATAGTTTATCTTTTTTTTTTTTATATATCGCAAAAGTAGCAAAGTATATACCTGTCTATTGGTAAACGGTTATATCTGTAGATCTATTGGCAATATTTTAAGTCAAACTGTCACGTATAATGTAAACTCACACACACACTTGAAGTCTCCCAAAAACATCTTAAATGCAGCTTGCATTTCAGACTTTAAAAGGACGAGTTTCTCAATTCATCTGAATTTTTCTACTGATTTCAAAAATAAAGTTTATGTTTGTTACCTCATAACTCGGTCAGTTCTAAAGTAACTTGGAAAAAAAAATTTTTATTTGTAAAATATACTGTTAGATGGGTCTTATAGAAACTATGAAAATGTATTCAGTAGTTTAATTTATGGAATAAAATAACTGCTTTTATCACAATTGAACTCGATTTTGTTCATAGGACACAATCCTTAGTTATTGTAAATACACAATTGCGATTATGCTGCTAATTTTAATTTTCACAATACTTTTTAAAATCAATGCGGTGTATTCTCTTATTACTTGAATACCAGTTTTGTGATTATTTTTTTTTGTATTGCCATTGAAAGTTACGCGATATTGTCATAAAATGTGGAGTGATTTTTATAATTATTTTTGCAGTCGATAGGGTAACCATGGCGTTGGTTCGATAATAATTTTATATTGTATAGGTATTGCTGTTTTTGTTGTGAAGAAATATAATGAGTTATTTTAAACAATAAAATATTAAATACATGGACTTCTTTTGGCCTATATACATATACCTTAATTGAAACATTAAGAACTTAGTTTCGAAATTTTATTTCTATCTATTCCCTGTACCGACGGTATACAATTCCCTCAGGCGAAAACTTTGGAAGCGGGAATGCTTTTTATATTTCTCTTGAAACTGTAGGATTTGAAATTGTCCTTGAAAATTCCCGTCTATACATATTCATGTGTACAAAGCTGTGAGACACAGTTATGTTATTTAAAGTTAATCAATACTGTAAATGAACGATCTAGTTCACTAAAAGGGCTAACTAGAGACCTTACCATGAAATGTTTTCCGAAATGTCGGAGCCAAACGAAACACAAATTTGATGTTAAAATTACATAATATAGCCGTTTGGAAATATTAAAAATGTTAAAATATTGTTCTTTTGAACTTTTATGATATGATGTATGACGAATGAAATGTTAAACTCCATTTATTGGTTCGATTTTGGTATAAACAAAAACACGAAATTGAGTCCGAAAATTCGGAATTTCATTTTATGGTAGACCCGCTGTTGTCGATTTTTTTAACTTATTCAAGTTCATTTAAAGAAAACAGATTTCAAGTCTAGCCAGTTTTCATTCATTTTGTCTCATTTCCCATCTCATTTGTATTCGCAAAGCATTCCAATCAATAATGCTTTATTTATACTATTTTATTATATTTGACATATTCAGTAAATAATTATGACAAATAAATAAATAAAAAAATAACAAGAAAATTGTATTAGCGATAAAAATATTCGGTCGAATAAAAGCCACTAAAAGAGATGCGACTTAATAGAAGCTACGTCATGAAAATTATAACATTCAGTCAAAGTACTCTATTAATGAACTTTATATGATAGTTCTAATTACAACTAATTAATTGTAATCATATTTTAGCCGTAATATTTTGAGTAATTAATATATTTGTACTTGTTTTAACTATGTGCGTATACCATTAAAATACCAACACAAATATAAATACAAATTATGAATACCGATATAAAAAATACAACGGAATCGAGAACCTCCTTCTTTTTTTGATGTCGGTTAAAAATAAACTCTTTTATATGTATAAAATAGACGATAGAGAAGCCAAACTTGTAGAATGTCTAAAAATTTTCTTGTAAGTACAAATTTTATATATATATTTATATTATAAAAATATATATAAAACTTGATACTAGTAGATATAAACTTCATGAAATTCTTGAGACTTTCAAAGACACGGTGGCAAGTTGATAGCAACTGCAATAAAAGACCTCTCAAGAAACTTGTTTTAATACTAAAGTTACAAAGTTCAAGGATCTCTTCATAGGTATACCACCGTGGATTTTATATTACATAAGATTCGTTTAATAAAATATTCTCAAGTTCTCCTGTGACATATCGTTTTACATATATGGTTTTAAACTACTAAAATACTAGTTTTTACCCGCGATTTTTTATCGACGATCCAAAAAGTAGCACATATCTTTCTCGATACTAAATTGCAGCGTGTGTTAATGGTAATACAATAAAATACTATTTGTGTTAATGGTTGGAAATTAAAGAATTTAATGAAAAATTTATACGAATAAATAATCGGATGCATAAGAAATACACAATTTAAAAACTGTTTCCTTTAGGCAGGGAATTGAATCTGTTAACATGTTGGGGTTTAATGTATATGTATGACTTTACCAAGTCACACGCGTGACCCGATAGACAGGTTCGCGTGACATATTTTCGTTTCAAACTTTTCCAATATATCGTCTTATATACACAAGCCTAATATTACATTTGTTTGCAGGTCTGAAATACCTTCACTCAGCTCGAATTCTACACCGGGATATCAAGCCGGGGAATCTGCTGGTAAATAGCAATTGTGTGCTAAAGATTTGCGACTTCGGATTGGCGCGCGTCGAGGAGCCTGATGCTAGCAAGAACATGACACAAGAAGTCGTCACGCAGTACTACAGGTAACATCAGTAATGAGTAACTTACTTTTTTTATTATTGAAGGATCTCGCGATTGACTACAGTCCCAGCTGATGAAAAAAATTTAGTCATTTATTGATACTCAAGTGACAGGTGGACAACACACAATTTGGGTCTGGAGATTTAAAGATCATAGAATCCCAGCTTGTACCCCCGGATTTTTTAAGTTCATATGTCATTGTAAGAGACACGATCAGAGGGAAACAATGACTTGTTTTTTTATGTACAAATGGAGGAAAACCAGTCAAATCTCTGATATGAAAGACAAATCCCGCTAATATCTATTTGTTTGCTTCGCACTACCTCAGGAGTGAAAATGCAGTCGAGAGCTGTCATACATGTCACAGTATAGTCGAAATCTAAGATGTGTGTGGATTTTACTTTGAATCAGTATGTATTGGTGTGATGGAGTAAAGAAGAAAATCATATGGCATAATATATTTTAAATAGATAACGTTTTTTCAGATGAATACTTAAAAATTAAAGTTGATGTGGAATAAGTCGAATTTAAAACTAATTTCGTTCCCAAAAAAGACTTACTTTGTGGCAAAATATATTTAGAAGCGACACGGGGATCAAAATAGATTTATAATCAAAATATTTTACTAAATATAAGTGAATGGAGAAGCTATTTGAAGGATCTTTAACGCAGAGCGTCTATTTGTATGTACATTATGTTCAACAAGGATTATATCCTTTAACTGGCCTGTCCGATCACTTACCCTAAATTTGCTTACACATTCAAGTACCATCCACTCAGGTGCCCAAACCACCGTGACATCCCGGCCGACCTTTATCCCACTCTACATCAATAGTCAATAATTTATTGAATTCTTAATGTACATATTACACTTCTATAGGCGACGGTTACAATATCCATTAGGACAGGATCCTATCAACTTTTCCCCCGTCCAGAGTTTTTGTGCGTCCTGTTGCTATTTTTACTACCGCTTTTACTGTCGTTCTTCTTATATAAGAATGTATAAGCTGTGTATGTTTATATAAAACGAGCTGAGGTAATTATCATTTACTAAGGCCGCGTAAAAAGAATCTTTTTGTTTATGTAATAAGACGCACTCGTAATACGGGCAATAAAAATGTCTAATTGGATGCAAATAAGCTGATTGTTTTTGGTGGTTACGAAATAGGCCCTATGCAAATTAGCATACAGTAGATAAATATTAAATGATTAAATTTCTTTAGAAAAAAATAAAAACTTACAAATATCTAATAAAATCTAAATAAAAAAATATTCAATTAAATAAAAAAAGTATTTAGCGAGTGATCCTTTATTTGATATAAATCTTAGAAAAATTTCAATTTAATTTAATATCAGGAAGAATTACGTATATTTCCGCTTATAAAAATAGATAAAAAAATGTAATAAACGGTATTTGAAAATGTTAGTTTGTTATTGAAAAGACATGTCTACCTATAATCTCTAATTGTCTAGCACGGCTATTACTAATGTTATTAGTTCCGCGCATTGAATAATGTAATTGTATGTAACTGAATTCCAAATAGAATATCTTACTTCCATTTTGTGTAAGTGTTCCAGGTTTTTTATGTAAGGAAGGGATTGTGGTTCATATCTTAATAATATATTCAAGACTCCATTCGGATTGAATAAATAAACGCTAAAACAAGGTTTGATCAGTTACGGTTTTACGACGGTTTGAATTTCTCTCCATTTTGTTTTATGGGTAACGAAGGTGTTTCTTTGAAATTACTTTATTATAATTTAATAAATTAAATAATATACTTATTTCCAATTGCGATGGATCCAAAAAATATAGAATTCCTTCTATTTCAATATACGTCTTAAAATCCTTCGATTATCTTGGCAATTCTGCGGTTGTTACCCTGTAATTATGGTACCAACTATAATTTTGACATGAACATTTTGGAAATCGAATGATTTTGGAAATCTTTATTCTATTTTTTAATATTTTTTTTAATGTATGAAAATGAATTGATAACCTCGACTCGTTATCAATGTACGCTGATAGAGTATCGATGAGAAATGATAGTTGAGGACGAAGACAGGTTAGTAGATCTGTTGCGGTAAATTTACCATAGTTGTACCATTGATTCATCAACCACGACGGTTATTATTTGTTCCAAGCAGTGGGATCACAAGTCCCACTATCAACATTTGTATTTCAATTTAATATGAAATATTCGAAACCCAGTCCAAATATAACGACTGTACCGTGGTTAACGAATGCATGACCTGTGCCCTCGCGGGTCGAAAGTGGGCCAGCTGCGCTTAAAAACGAAAAACCCATCCACTAAAACAGTACATTCGAGTATATTTCAATGATTGTTTCTATAAATTCGAGTATTTTCATACACATCTTAATAGCATTTTACTTAAACAACATTTTTGTTTTATTAAATTTAATTACGAAATCGTCAATTATAATTTGTCTGTACATCTTAATGACGATTTGTGCATTGTGTTAGGTTTAATACGTATCTATTGGAATTATTTAACATAAATGTAAAATTAATGAAGTAACATGTTAATGTGGCATTATTAAATAATTAAAATTTACAGTTATGAATATTAACGACATATAAATGATTAAACACTGCTATTTAATGATATTACAATATCCTACTGTATTGTGTAGGAGTAAATAAAAGGACTACATTTCTGTTTAAAATGTCGAGGCCCAAAAGATAACGCCATTGATTATTTTTATTAATATAATAAATGTAAAATTGAATTCAGTTGTTACCATCTCTTTTAATATTAACGGTCTATTTAGGATGTTTTTTTATGCAACTTAGAATGGCAAACAAGCTGACGGCCCACCTGATGGAAAGTGGTAACCGTCGCCTATAGACATGAGCAGTACTGCATATTGTTACTTTATATTCATGTTATTCAATTTATCCTGGTCACGCGGACGGAATCGATAGTTAAAACCGAGGCAACAATATCTTTGTGGAATCTTGTTCTTTTCTACACTCACCAGTTTTCTTTTTGTATTTATATTAAGAACAAAATTTTGCGTACGTGCAAATGCAATGTAGGACGACCCTCATTTGATGGAGTGACGACCTCAAATGTATTGCAGGCATCGTTTCTTAAGGCAGTATGTGGGAGAGGCCTATGTTCAGCAGTGGACTTATAATGTCTGATATGATGATAATGATAGTATATTTACGTTAAAATAAAATTGCAGCAAATCATATATATACGTGTATTATGCAGTCTGGCACGTCGGTGGTGGTCACGTGACCGGGCCCGTAGTTTTCTTTTATCTGCTTAATCGATCACGCAACAGCCTTGATAGATTTATATTTTAATTATGTAAAATTGCCTATTGCATTTATATTTCCAGTTTCGTATTTTTTTTTATATGAATTGAATATTTATATCAAGGTGAATATATTCGTAATATACCTACGTTGCAATGCGAATGCCTGAGCTACACCCACACGCTCAAAATATTTATTTACCCAAGCGTACTTTGCATCCTTCGTAGAATATTTCAGTATTTATACATACATATATATCTGGTCACGTCTTTCTCCCATTGGGGTAGGCAGTATCTATTTTTTACGTATATTTATAGTACGTGTCCGTGTGGTCCCGGCATAGAATAGGCCACCCCATCCTTTCCCGTGGGTGTCGTAAAAGTCAACTAAGGAGGGCGAGGAATGGGCAGCAGCGTCCCTATTAAAACATATCTAAAGCCTGACTGCGGTTGCCAATCCGCCTGCTAAGCGTAGCAACTACTAGTGAAACCCCCCAAGGGGGAGGCTTATGTACAGCAGTGGACGGTTAAGAGCTCATACGATGATGATGATGATTATGATTTATAGTATAACTTTTTAAATATTAATGTAATCTCAGAAACTGCTCAATTGATTTTAATCAATCATTTATATGATTGGTTTTAATTAAATTTTATTATGTTACTGTGCACTTCAGTTTCAAAGATAGGCTAGTTTTACGGCAAAACAATATTTGCCATAGTAAAAATACAAATAATAATAACAAATTAATAAAAATTGTAACATGTTTGATTGTATTTGTTCATTATTTTATTACCTTCATTTTCCATAAGGCCAACTTGCTGACTTCAATTTTAAATTCCTTACTATATATTATAAATGCGGAAGTTTTCTGATACTTATTTGTACTTACTGTAAAAAGCCATTTTCTGAAATTTAAACTTGACTTTACAAAACTCTAACTAATATAATAAACGTGACAGTGAGTTTGTTTATCAACTTTTGACTCTAGCTCTACCAACAGTCATGAAAATTGGTACACATGTACTATTTAAGATGGCGAGGGACATATCTCGGTCAATGAATATATATCTCGATTACGCGGACGGACTCACGGCTAAAACCTAGTTTTACATAAGACCAACTTGTTATCTTGTATTTTAAAATATGCTAACAATTGTAACGGTGAAATTCCAGAGCGCCGGAGATCTTGATGGGCGCGAATCACTACACAGCGGCCGTGGACGTGTGGTCGGTGGGCTGCATATTCGGGGAACTGCTCGGCAGGCGTATACTCTTCCAGGCACAAAGCCCTGTGCAACAGGTCAGTAACCATCTGGAAGATGAACGTGCCTTACTTTTAGATCGATTTCAAAGATTTAAATATACTTTTATTTGTATCGTATAACGAAGGGAATAGAAGTACATATGCAATAAATTTGAACTATAACTATGGTGCCAGCATGCCAGTAAATCATATCAATTGTAAGAGTCATCAAAACAGTTTCAGATCTGATTTTATTAAATCTATAAATTACGTTAGAGAATTCTTTCTACGGTTTTAGTGATCTGTCACTCCTGTGACTCGCACCTTACCTCGCCCTATATATTATAATGTAATATATTTTGAGACATTTACACCCAAAATGATAGTGCAATTTCTTTTTTAATAAATATACTTATGTTAGTATACTTTTATTTGCATTAAAACAACCTAGTTCTTTTATTTACAACATAAGGAATAAAAGAACGTAACCAATATAGTATATACAACAGATAGTATAAAGACAGCGTAAGGAGCTTATAGTCGTCTCTTTGCCTTTTGTAGTCTTAGACATTCTGCTCGCTGGTTTCATCGTAATGTTGACTGTTATGTAAGTACTTATAGATGTAGATGTTGGCGGTAGAATCGTATATTGAAGATTGATCGGTGTGGTTCCAGCTGGAGTTGATCACGGAGTTGCTGGGCACGCCGTCACTAGAGGACATGCGGCACGCATGCGCGGGCGCACGGGCGCACATGCTGCGGCGTGCGCCACGCCCGCCTGCACTCGCCGCGCTCTACACGTTGTCCGTGCAGGCCACGCACGAGGCCGTGCACCTACTGGCACAGGTACGAACATGTTTTTGTAAGTCAAATAAAGTGGTAAGCCTGTTTACGATATCTTTTTTTTATAGGATGAAAATTGAATTTGAGGATGAAGTCAGGTCAATTGGTATCGTGGTAAATTCACTGAGAATTACTGTAAATCAATATGTAATGATCATCTTGTAATTGCATCTGTATATTTTTGTTGAATAAATTATTGTTATTATTAAACAAAAAAAAAACATGATGGTTTTCTGGGGGACCATGTGGAGGTCAAGTTGAGAGTATATTGCTAATCCCCTATCTCTCTCCTTCTGCTCTCTTTTTCTCGGTGTATTTGTTTTTTTAAATAAAATGGTAGAAAAGGTGAAAGTAATAAAAAATTAAACAATAGGATTATAAAAACATCACCAATTATATTTAAATACAACACCAAAATCCACGCTGATTTAGGTACTAATTGACTTAAGATTGTATCTATATTTTATTCTTTTTAGATTTTGTATGTATGATGCTATTGATTTCAGATATTTCAGTAAAGCACAATATCATTTAAAAATATACAACAAAAATCTATAATAGCTTGAATATTAAAATATAGCTACGCAAGTACCTATTTCATATTGAAAGCTCACAGCGAATATTTGTTTAATCTAAACCTTGCATCGAGTTGGCGTCGTACAACCACAATTGAGTCGATTGAAAGCGCTGTAATTACAAAACTTCGCGCTTGTGCGCACGTGCTTTGATTTACCATGTGTATATATATTATACATATGAAATTACTCTAAGAAATTAATTATTTTGAGTAAAAATAATACGTGTGTATTAATTAACAAGGGCTCTCACTAGACACTGCAAACTAAACAAGCATATGGCCCAACTAGGCTTATGCCCAAAAAGTGTTTGCAGATTTTGTCACAGTGAGAAAGAAACGACGTATCACTTAATATGTTACTGTAGCCCACTCATACATAAACGATATACCTCTATTGGAAAACGCATTCTATATCCTGAGGAGATAAAAACGTCGCTACAAGAAACATCTTAAAATTTCTATCATTAATAGGAATTATCAACGAACTTTAAAAAAGGGCGAGCACAAAACATCATGGAAAAGTCGCAGTGTCACAGGTTATTTTGTTTAAAAAAGCCCGTTTTTCTATAATAATTGTGTACACAATATGGCAAGTGTGTAGTGATTATATTTATTAATTTATCTATTACAATACGCTCTTTAATTTTCGGTCTTATAGTAGTGTATTCGGTTATTTATCACCGGTCAGGCGGATATAATTGAAATGACGGGAGTTTAAAAATCAGAAAGTCGTATCAAAGGCAGAAGTCTTCTGCTTGCGTGCATCTCTCCCACTCATATTTATGCTGGCAAACAACTTTTTACATAGCTGTGTTTCGGTTTAAGAGTTGGAATATGACAGTTAAATTCTTAGATACGGAGGCATTACACTTTAGTTTTTAGAATGGCAACATATGAGTGATACAGTGGAAGTTAACGTCCGTTCTGTCATGTCCGTAGTATTGTTCATGTCTTTAGCTAACAGATGGCACTTTCTATTAGTTGGGTTGTTAGCTTGTTTATTCATTTTACATTAATTCATAAATGGCAACACGAAATCACCGTGCGCATCACAGTGGTTTCAGGAATGTCCTTGGAGCTTTTTACCTGTTATGTGCTATAAGCGACAGTTGGTACTTTGTACCAAATAGGCCGTCGACTTATTTTTTCTACACCGAATTGACTATTGCAAAAATATGTTTTCGATGTTTTTGCTATTGATAAACTAGAGAAGCGGTATAAGAATTTTTCGATTGATAAGTTTTTTCTCTCAAATGCATGACATAGATTAAAAACAGTTGCGGCATCTATTAAAATACGTATTCTCCCTTTTACTCTTTCTTTCTTCAGTCGTGCACTCTTCACACCAGTCGTGGTTTTTATGACGACAGAAATGTCAAGAAAATTATCATTAACATTTCTGCCATTATCCGTCCACTGCTGGACTTAGGCCTCCCCATAGACTGCAAAAAGAAACAGTCCTGAGCCACTTAAATAAGACAAGAAAATACACGTAATTTTTAATTGTAATGCCTGACAAGTGCATTGTCGGTGTTCCAGATGCTGGTGTTCGACCCGACGAAGCGCATCTCGGTGGTGGACGCGCTGGCGCACCCGTACCTGGAGGAGGGTCGGCTGCGCTACCACTCGTGCATGTGCAAGTGCTGCTACAGCGCACCGCCCGCCGCGCGCCACTACTCGCCCGACCTCGAGCCTGTCGCCGCGCACCCCTTCCACGACGCCTGGGAGAGGAAGCTCACCTCCGTGCACCAGGTCAAAGGTACAGCGCGCGGGAACCCTTGTTCTGTACACTGTTTTTTCTAGTGTCAAGCCACGCCTGGGTAGATTTTAGCGAAGTTTACTCCTCAGAAATGGCAACGTGGATTCAACATGGTGTCAGTCTTGTATGATGTTTTTGATGCTGTTCCTGTCTACAGGTGATGGTTGTTACTTTCTATTAAGTGAGTAGTCAACTTCTTTGCCATTTTACGTCGTTAAAATAACAAGTGTAATATAATTTGGTTTCGATTTATGACAGACTATCTAGTTTGTTTAATAGGCAATTTCCGCTTAAATGTAACAACGCAGTACAGTTTCGTTGGGAGGTTTAAATGAAATGAGTCTTATTATAAATGTCGTTAAGTGCTTTTTCCCCGAATCAAAGGTACGAATCTGCCGACAAACTAGAAATCTTTTAATGATATACCTTAATGCACTCAAAATTTTATAAGATAAACTATTTCATTATACAACTTTTATAACTCTCTTATGTAGATAAAGAATCTACAAATGCTCTTAAATTAATGATTATAAAACAGTTTCATCAAGTTGTTTGAAATATTTAAGTAGATTATGTATATGAATGAGATTTTTTTTTTATACAACTTAGAATGACAAACAAGCTGACGGCCCACCTGATGGAAAGTGCTAACCGTCGCCTATAGACATGAGCAGAGCATAGATTATCGAATTTGTGATAACCTTGTGTTCTTTTTTCATGTTATTTTTATTTACTACCTAATAGGAATAAAAATATGACCGAAATTTGCATATCAAATCCGCAGAGGAGATCCACAAGTTCATAGCTGAACAGCTGCAAACGTCGCGGGTGCCGCTTTGCATCAACCCGCAGTCTGCGGCGTTCAAGAGCTTCGCAAGGTAAGGCGCCGCGACCGACAAACAACCGCAACCAACCGCAACCAACCGACACTAGGTGATTTCTTTGCGATACGTAACATAAAGCTGCCCGTACACGATACGGGTCCACTGACCGGTCGAGCTGCGCAAACGTGCGCGTGTACTCAAGCCGAGCGCACGCGTACGGTAAATATACATTTAACATTTTTTAATACAAAATGTTTTTGTATATTTATTGCTGATTATTTTTATTAACCAAAATACTAATAATTGGCAAGTGGTATCTTATATTTTTGTTCTAATTTTCACATACGCACTAGTTGACCAGTGACAGTATGTTTGCGAGTCGACTCGTAAACATTACTCGACAACCGTAACGTGTACGGGCAGCTTAACACGCTCAGTTTATAGCGACCACCCGCACCCTGGGCCCACGCCAGCAGCAGCCATGTGACAACATTGCTTCATTGATAGTTCTCATCAGTACTATTTTGAAACCTAATTCTTTGGTAAACTTAGATCTGTAAATAGAAAGTATAGTCTATGAAATCTTTCTATGATAGTTCACAAATAATCAAAGACAATCGAATTTTAACGTGTCCTTAATATTTGTACTGTCAAGTTATAAAATAAAAATAATATTCGATATAATAAAAATAAATAAATAAAAATACTAAACAAGCGAAAACCAATCTTCTGGATAACACTTATAAAGCTCAAATATGAAACATGAAAATATTGACTTAGTGAATAATTAATTTTGTACATGGTTATTTGTATTATTCAAGTTATTGATTCTCTCTTATATTGATAATTGAATAAAATAAACATATAAAATGTGTTGTTTGTTGAAAGTCTATCAGCTATTTTATATTGTAAGTCGCTGTTTTAATATCCTTATTTGTTGTCTACTTAGTTCCAGAGAATAACCATAGATATTTTTTTTTTATTTTAAATAAAGAATGAACCTTTTTGTGTACATGGCTGGTAATAATGAACAGAGATAATAAATCAGAAAGCAAACGATCATCACAACTAGGTGTGGCACGGTGCGATCTGTTAGTGTGCACGCAGTGTCACCTGTACATATAACTGGCATCGTCTCACTGTCCAATGAACCGGTATAGACAATACGAACTTTTGTTACGCTCTCGTTATACTCGTCCCTGTCACACATTGAGCGGTGAAGTGAGGTAGAAAAGGCAACGATGTTAATAGACTTCAGGTTTCCTCTTTGTGCTATTATTGAATTTGTCTATGGAAGCGTTCAAGTATTATATAATTTTGATTAAGCTTGGTAATGATACTCTTATCGTCTAAGAGTGTACGCAACATATTTTAAATTAAGTTTTTTCATTTGATACTTTGTCAAATTTTTATCTTAGCAGTGGTTTTTGATTTCATGAATCACACATTTTGAAATGAATGGAGAATTTAAACATATCGTTATGTAATATTTGAACGCGTATTTAGTTTATCAATGTCGATGCCTATATAGGCGAATTAAATAGTAACCAGTCCGGTGGTCGCAGACGAAAAGAGCTATGTCGCCTCCCCACTTTCCTTTCACGTCCTCTTCGCCTAATTAATTTCAATCCATTCTGATCTGTAGATTCTCAGTGTTATTAACGATATGATTTCTATTTTTATAAAAACTAAAGTCTTAAATTGTATCATATAAATTACACATAATATCGAATAATATTTTTGATATAACAGTCAACGTTTACTACCAAATTTGCACTTCTCGACAGTTCGCGTAAAAAATATTTAGTACTCATACAAGAAAAAATTGAAATGATTTCCGTGTTTTACTTATATTTAAGATGACAATAAAAAAAAATCACATGTTTTGTTGTAAATTTGTGTAAGTGATAAAAATTAACAAATTTATACTCAAATTCGTAAGATCCCTTCAAAGGTGGTAGCAGTGCTTCGCCTGTTATTTAATTTTAGCGTTAAATACATTTTTTATCACGCGTACTACAAAATATATACTTGTTTTACTTGAGCGGATCCCATATATAATAGTTAACTATACGTTTTATACATACATCAGAATGGATTGATGTTTCCTTGTAAAGTAGATGTGTTTTTGCAACGTAGGTAACCTTGCGCCTCATACAGCAACACTCACAGTGCGGGCTATATAGTCCGATTACTGCATGGGTTTTCTTTCACCCCCCACGCTTTAGAGCGATAGTACTGTAAATAAAACACGCCAAGAGCGCCGCTGATTTCAAGCGCAATCAACCCTCTTGAAATGGTGGTGTCTTCAACGCTTCACACGCACTGAATAGTAGTGTAATAACATTTGCTTTTTTGTGTTTGCGACAGCTCTAGAGCGGGTTCAAAAGCAAAAGTATGTTCCCCTTTCAAGACCGCAGCAAAAATACTACTGCTATCGCCCGTGATATTTCTGTGCGCTGCATAGTGCGCCAGTCCGCCCAGTAAGGCTCCTAGCACATACTAGCACCTACTGTGTTCTCCGTTCGAACGCGGACGGTGCTCGAGCACGCCACGCTGCGTTTTTGAATTGATATCCTAAAAAAGACAATAAAAAAACGTTACTTTATTCGAAATTAGAATTAGAAATGTTTGGAATATTCTCGTCGCAGCGTCGCCTTCTCGAGCATTTGTCATTCGTATTTCAAAAGGGTTGATCGATGGATATTACGCGAAGTCCCAACGGTTCGGTTGCAATGCATGCCAGTTTTCTCTTGTTATTGATACCTCGATATTGATTCAGTGGGCTCTTTAATAATTAAAATACGTAAGAGTATAGTTTCAATTACTTTATATGTACGTACATTTAATATATTCTTATTGGAAAATTGAGTATTTTTTTATTTTTTATTTTTTCAAAAATGGTATAATTGTATTTACTTTATATACTATATATAACTTTAAATATAAAATATTAGAAAAAAATATATATAGGTACGTGAAAAATTTCCTTACGAATACCTTGGCATTGATGTATCTAATATGTGTTTATATATTTTAATTTATACAAATATTATTATTATTTATATAAATAAATCGAGTAATTTAAAATATTTGAAATGGCCAACTGAAGTTCAATTTTGAGGCGTTTTAAATGCACAAAATAAAAATCGAGTACTTAGATGAATTGGTTATTTAAAAATTTTATTAAAATGGGCATTTGGAGTGTGGGATAAAATCTGAAAAACTTCATTATTTATTGTCTTTTTTTTATGGAATGAATAATATTAGGATTTCTGTGTAGTGCATGCGTAGTCGTTGAGCGAGCACAGTGCCGTGCACTCGGTTGTGGTGAATTTTGGTTACAGTAGTTAAAAAGTAGTTTGACTTGTGATGCAGTTTTGCTATTCGATTTCTCTTTTATTATCCATAGTAAATTTGTTTTTACATAATTATAAAAGTCAATTGTTTATGGAAACAAATTGAGATTGCATGATGGAATCGTTTGTTGGACTCGTTATACGATTTTTTTATTGTTTCAATTGTAATACAAAGTTACCCGAATAGCACATTGGTTAATGACAGAATATTTATAATACAGAAAGCTAAATAATGTAAACTTCCTACTACTGATATATAGGCAAAGCTTTGTAATGGAATTATAGATGTATGTTTGTTACTTTTTCACGCAAAAACTATTGAATGGATTTGAATTAAATTTGGTATATGGTCTGGTTATAACTAGTCCGCATCCAGTATACTATACATTAAGTTTGGATATATTCTAGTTTAACATATATTTTATATACTGATTATCACAAGCAAAGCCGTACAATATAGCTAGTTATTCATAAATGTAATGCAGTAAATTATAATAAACTTTCTTTAAACTAGCAAATTACACTAAAATTTTGTCAAGAACGTGACAAAACATATTATGTTTATTAAAAAAAAAAAAACAATTAGCGGCTAAAACTAATGTGCTAAGGGTGCTATTCGGTACGCGTGCACCGAATAATCGAGTCCAGCAAGCGTGCGTATGGCGGGCGCGGGTGGTGTGCGGCGGGGCGGCGGGCCGCGGCGACACTAACGGCGCTCCTGGTTGCAGCTCCACCGTGGCGCACCCCTCCGAGCTGCCGCCGTCGCCGCACCAGTGGGAATGACGCGAGACCAAGCGCGGCTTCGACAAGCGGCGCGCCGTCTACGCCGACACACGATAACCTCAACACATCTTTATGTATTGGCGCCGTAATGCGCTTACGCGGATTGTAAACGCATTTACTTGTAAACATTTATGCGTGGGGATATTAGGAACATTTCTAGTGCAATACGTATTTACTGTGTATACGCAATGTCTACTTCATAATATTGAGATTTATTCCACGCGTACGGTACAGTATACTGACGGGCGTGGCCCACGTACGTTGTTATCCACGCACGCACGCATTCACACCCATGCACATCAGTATGAGTACGTTCGCATCTACACTAAATGTGTATGTGTGTGTGTGTGTGGGTGTACACATGGATACTATCATATTAGACACGAACACAATACAAAAATGACCACCCAATATTGTATAAAATGTTTAGTTCCTGACATTTGAATGACGTACCCAATGCGTATACGTATCAAATAAATACGTATGTTACTGAAAATGTTCCAATGCGTTTGATTTGAACGTTAATAGGTACTTACTTCTAATAATTGAATTAATCAATGTGAATTTTTGATTTTTTTTCATATAAATAATTAAATAGAAATTTTATATTTTTTATTTTTAAATACAAATGTTTACTAGTATACGCGTAACGTCTCATATTTGAATTGACAAATAACAGCTAATAAAACTGTCTTTATTGTTACGAATTACATTTAGCGTGGGTTTAGTTTATATTTTTATAATGTATGACAATCTATGAAAAAATGTAATAAGTTGGCGGTACTTGTTTACTGCTGTCGTAATGTGAAATAATTAGGTTGTCAGTAACAATCTTGGCGATAAGTGATTAAGTGGAATGTTTTGTTTGTAGTCATTAGAATTAAACTGAAGTCTTAGTAAATTGTATTTCTCTCTCTTCTAAAATGAAAGAGATGGTTACATCGCTATATGTTACTGACAACGGAGCTGTTAGTTTGTCTTAATAGACATCAAAGTGAATGTCAGTATAAGAAAGACGAAAATTATTTGAATTTTAACACATAAAATAATAAACGAAAATGTAACTTTGATTTGTGCTGATTTATAATTAGATTTGACTCGTTACTGTAAAAACAAAAATATATATATAAGTAAAACCGTACCTCATTTCGATAATAATGTAGAAAATTCATTACGTTTCTTTAACGCTCGAAAAGAAATGCATTTATGTATATATTGGTCGCTTTCAAATAAATAACATGAGGGGAATTACTTTCAAAACAATGTAGAGGCAATAATAAAAGTGGTGATCACACGTCATGTAGACGTTATGTCGTCTGTGTAAATCACTAAAGATGGCGGAAAATTCTAGAACAACACTGTATAGCGTATATTGAATACGTAAGGATGTTGTACACTGTATTTTGTATTGGTCTGTACGAAGTGTGAACGATCACACTAAGTTTCTGATTTGCTCTTAGTGTATCGTAGCAAATGAGTAGTCGATTCGGCTCGTTGTGAATATAGTTTGATAGAAGTGTAAATGTTTCTGAGACGGTTTCATAGTGACGAACAATTGCTGCGTGCAACAAGGAAATATACAACGAAAACGATACGCGATTTACGCGATTTTTTGTAAGAATGAAAGTGAGGGTAATGCGCAATCTGACGCGTAAGAACGACAAGAAATAACGAAGCGAAGTGGGCTACATATGTATCTACTGAAGGCAGTAACGCTTCACGTAGTATTAGGTTATTTTCATTATATTTCTATTCCATTATTATACAATCTATATATGTATAGGTGAAAGTGTGTGCCTGATTGTGTTTCGTACGAAGATTGCAAGCAATAAACGTTGCAATACAATAAATGCGTAATATTGAATTTCTTTTATTGAACTAGGTGTTATTTTGCGGAATTCCATATTACTTGTTATTTGATTAGCATCATTTTGTTTAATTTTATTATCATTGTAATTGTCAACATTCAAAGATCGACTACTATTATTATTACCAGAAGTCCTACAACCGTTCATATTAGTCTATCAATCTGCGACTGATATTTCGTTCACTCGCAGTTTAGAGGTGAAACACGTGTCACAAAACGTGCGTGGACGATATAGCAGTCGGAGATTAATGGCTAATATGGAAGGTTATACAATTAATGATTATAATAATCGTAATTATTACATACTAATGATGGCGGAATTGAACAAAATAACTCTAATCAAATAACCAGTGATATTGGATTTCGTTTTACGTAATGACTTATTAAATTTATTGATTCCTTTTTATTCTCTATTTCGCTATTGTAGGCTGCGTGCATACGTAGGCTCTGTACTTAATGTAGACGACGGCGTCGCCGCGAATCTCCACCGCCACGTTTGTACGCAGTCTTAAAAGTCCTTTGTTAAAAATTGCAATATTTCTTACTCATGTCAAATTTTGTAGTCCTACATTATTATCAATTTATAAGCGGCACTATTGTAACGTTTATTCGTGATATTTGTGCAATAAATAGAATAATATTTTTTTTTAATTAACGTCCAATTGTCATTTTAAATATCCATTATATTTACTGTGATCATTGGACGATAATTTAAAAACAAAATTTTAATTTCTTATTTTTTTTTTATTATTATTTTATTTATTACACAAACATCACGAATAAATGTTACAATAATGTCGCTAATAATTTTAAAATAATTAAATAAAATTTTAGTCGAACGACCATTGCAAACAATTAAAGTCATGTATACTCATACAAATTGTACAAATTAAATGTGACAATTGATTATACATGTCTTGTGATAATAATGAAAAACGATAAAATATACAGGAGAAAAATGACATAGCAATTTTTAGCAAGGACGGTCTCTTAAGGTCGTCACTCATAACAACACCGCTCCGACACAGTAAGCGACTCGCCATTTAAATTTGGACTTTTTGTATAGTAAGTTTGAATGCAAAGTTGCTTGATTTGCCAGAAAGGTGTTATAATGAGTGATGTCTTTTGTATGTAACATATTACTGTTAAGCTTACTCCTAAACACCATTGTATGTAACATCGACTGAACATTTTTACGTAGCTAGGATAGATAGTGTTAGTATTAAATAAAAAAAAAAATAACTAATAAAGTCAGCGATGATTATATAATTGATAATTAAACGTATGAGTAATATTCACATACTATCATTGCAGTAGTGAGATATTGTATAGAAAATGTGTTGTAAATGTAACAGATACGTGTGTATTTCAAGCATTTAATAGTTTTATTAGAGGTTCGTAAGGGACGTGTGTTAGTGTGCGTGAGTTTGGATAATTATTTTTATTGGCAATCGTAAAAAAAAAACTTTTTAATACATTCTATGTTCGAAATTGATGTTTAATATTGCGTTAATGTAGTATTGACCCTGTACTATCACGCTGCTAACCATAATAACTAGAATAGAAAGTCAGTGTGAATGTCAAGAGACGTCGTAGCCTTAAAACTAGTTCAAAACTATATAAAAGATAAAAAATAAAAAATGTAAATAAATAAATGCATAGTATTAATGTTAGGCTCTAGAATGGTATGGGAAGTAAGCCGTTGTAGTAAGTCCACACTTTAGGTCAAATCTCTCGGTGTACCAACGCGTGGAACCGGATTCGATACTTGTGTCCATGCTTTTAGTTTCTAAATTCGTAGACGCGATTCCCACGCTGTGGTATAGACGAGAGATTATCAATGGTACAAAGGAGGCGAGTCACCGTCACACGCGTTTGTCTATGTATGTGCATGGCGGTCTGTGGGCGACAAAGGAAACCAGGAATGGACATTAGAAATATATGTATATTGGCCAAAGGAACTTAGAAGACTAGGGTCATGAAGACAAGTCAAAGGGAAACAATAGAGATGCGTCAATTTCAGATTTGGTAAAAAAAAGTATATATATCTGTCCTGTATTTCACGGTCCATTGAGTACGATTATATGATTCCAATTAATCAGAAATTGTCATAAATATAAATTGTAGATAATTATGTATAAGTAGTAAAAAATTCTGAATTGATTCTCAATTTAAAAATTCTGAATTGGTTAATAATTTTTTTTATAAGGCTGTAATATATAGTATTAAAGTATCAAATATCTATTATAATTATTCTCAGACTACCAGTATTGGTTCATGACGTCGTCATGCACATACATGACGTAATAATTGACAAACAAATGTAAATGAGAAGTGTGTTTTTTTTGGAACTATGTTATTGCGAATAATATTATCATAATTCAAAATTTAAATCTAAGTAATTCTATTTTTGACTATACTTAGTTTTTATTTTCTAATATTTTTACACAGTTACATGCGTCATGGTCACAAACCTATGATTACAGCGCATGAACTTTTAATTTAATATAATATTCTACTTAATATTCCCTGACATGGTACTTTTTCTGACTATATTTATATAAAGAAAGCATTTAAGAATGTTGTCTGTAGTGGGCAAATTCGTGTCTACTCAGTAATTTACTATTTGTCATGGTCAGCCTAAACACTTATTGAGTTTTGTCATAAAAAGTTACAAATGTTTTGTTTTTACTACACGATGCCTTCCTCACTGACACGTGATTATCATGTTTATAAAAGTTTAAAGGCACATTTCATATTTACATGCTGTTTGTCCGTTTGTACACAACGCCGGCGGGACCGCAACAGACCCACCTTGCCTTATCTCAATTAACTGTTACTGTGATCCGCTAGGCGTAATTATTGGACCCATACATAATACACCCATTGATCCGGTCACCTGTAAATAGTTGATACACGTGTTAGATTATTTTACAAGTTTGCTAAGAGACGCTTACTGTCGTAACCGTAAGGTTCCATGTCCTCCGATTAATTAATACAATTGGATGTTTGTAAATAGATTATTGTAAGTAGATGCAGTATTCGGCGATGTAATGTCGGAGTGACGGCGGGCTTTACATAGGAAAAGACGTATCGACGTGGCTGGTGTCTGCGCGCGTGATTGCACTATTTATTTGCTGTAACTACCGCGGTAGATGTACTTCAGTGTGTAATTATGGCGATAGAACTGTGGTGATTGGGCGCTCTTTTAGTTCAACGAATTTAATATCATTTATGCCCAAAAACAATATTGGTATCTTGCTGGACGATTCAAGTGCAAGAATTGTGTTTTTTGTACGAATTTTGTCATTACAAAATTGTTAATCGAATCATCAATCGGATTTGATGTGAAACGATTAATCGATCATTCTTCTGGATCGAATGTTATAATAATTTGTCTGAAATATACACAAATGTTATAACATATAATAAATCAAAATTAAATATTACAATATAAGATTTATCATTGTCGATGGAAAGCAGAATGAAGTTTGGTATGTGCAGTATATGAGTTGGTTTCAGTTTTCTGCAAAAACTACTAGATTGTTTCCGTTTTTTAGACATGTATCATATTTACAATTTCTTTAGTAACACTGTAGGTGTCTTTCCAGATTAATTTGAGCGGGTTAGAAACTCTAAATCTCAGCTAGGAGTAGCGCTCGATCGACTGACGTCACGCGTGCAGCCCCAGTGCCGTTTCGCCTATTGTGCACGCTTTTATTTATGTAATTGTACGTATTGCGTTTCCAGCCTTTCAGAGATCTCGTATATATTTAAGTTTAAAGTACACGACTGTTCCCTTTACACAACTGATCTTTAGTTTTAATATGTCGATATTGTATTTGCGTTCGACAAACGGCCAGTCGCCAACATTTCACATTAGATGTAAGTAGAGCGCAACGTTTGCTTTCAACGGACGCGAGTAAGGCGTTCCTTTTTATTTGTAAATATGACGTGATAAGACTTAGTTTCAATATTAACCTTAGTATCTCCTATTTAGTTTGTGTTCATCGTAATCGTCTCACTATAATTTTGTATTATAATTTACATCATATACAAAAAGTAAAAAAAAAAAAACAACAAAATAAGAAATACCTAATAATTGTATTATTCGTGTAGATTTATGACATTGATTTAATTTTAGTATTACCAGTCGTACTGTAAATAATATTAGTAATTTTGTGCACTGATAGTCTTCTTTTAAGTTACTCTTAACTTAGATATTAATTAAATGGCTGTATTGTATTTCGTTATGTAAACGCCTAAGACACAACGTTCATAAGACTTAGTAGTTGGAATGTTTGCTTTGCGACCTCTGTCGTTTTCCTATGTATAAAATGGGTTTAGTTAATTTCTCGAAGGGGCATGGTCGCGCGACGCCGCGGGCCGCACTAGGATTGTGATTTAGTTGGTCGAGACACTGTCGCGGACCGGACATATTACTCTAAGTGTAAATATAAATGATACGTGTTTCTGTCGTGTACGGAGTTAGTTGCATTTTACCATTGTTGCGAACTGCCAAAACTATTGTAATAATTTTGTAGCGTTATGTACAACGCGACCACATTGGGAGGGCTACAATCTGTCATAGATTCTATAGAGATTCGCGTACCTACCGCATTGGCGTTCATATGAGTTGCGTACCTTTGGTATTTGGCGAAGTATTCACCAGAAGACAGATGTTAACATTACGCGCTTGTTCACCGTCGTAGAAGATTTTCACTTTTGCTGGTGTGTTGCCATGACGCTACGAGATATTTACATACCCTTAATGTCGCTCGAGCATTTGTCATCTAGTTAATATGTGAATTATCGCTGTTTCCCCAAAGTGGCACCAAAGTTGATGAATGTATCTTGTTTGTGTGCCGAATTTAAAGGTACGTTAACTCACTAAACTTAATATACACAATTTAGTGACAGTTTGTAAACTTGTTTGTGTAGTCGGTTGTATGTAGGGCCAGCGTGAGGCGGCGTAGCGGCCGTCGAGCGCCACAATGTAACAATAAACTACTGCATAATTATTTAAGTCTTTTATTATAATTTACAACCTGTTAAAACAATCTCTTTTCAATACTGAACCTAGGTCTCTCCACAATAAGTCATTTTATTATGAGACGCGGTATCATACTTTGTTTATTTAATCATCTCATATGTTCATTACTCCAGTACTACATGGAGAAAACTACGTAGTACATGGTGAAAAGGTTAGTTCTATATAATTTCAAAGTCGATTTTAGTTCATTAAACATATACCTAAAGGACAAACCGATTTTTCTGTTCTTGATCATTACCACTGCTATCGGTATTGACCTTATAGCAGTCTAGCCAGAATTTGTTTTAAGTTGTCGTTAATGTCTGACTCGATAAGGCAATTACCTTATTAAATGGCAAATAAGCAGGTCGCAACAGATGATTATTTATATATTTTATCTTTATTTATTTATTATACGAACTAATTTTCATACTTTTTTTTCTTATACAACTTAGAATGGCAAACAAGCTGACGGCCCACCTGATGGAAAGTGGTAACCGTCGCCTATAGACATGAGCAGTACCATGGACATAACAGAGTATACTGTTTCGCCCACGATACCCCCCATGCGTTACCATTCCTGAGGACTCAGGTGTTATTCCTCTGTACCCTGTAAATTCACGGCATATCCCACCCTTCAAACCGAAACACAGCCATGCAAACAACTGCTTCACGGTTGAAACACGAATGGGACGGAGGTACCTAAGCAATCGACTTTTGTACAAAGTCTCCCTCTGGTAAACATACAGTTGTTTCACTAAGGATTCTTAAGGGTATAAGGTAACTATTGAAAGGTGACGGGGGCGGGGGAGTACCGAACTGCCATACATTCATTCGGTATCTGCTAAAGGTCAACGAACGTTACTCTTTTGGATTTTGGTTAAGTTTTGGGTATGTTTGGACAAGGTTTATCAAATTTTGTTTATCATATTTATTTTCAAAATAATAAATATTGCCAATTCGGTTTTAATTCCCTCTTATGTAAAAGAGACTAGTCTAAACTTGGCCAGATTTGCCTAAAGTTGACCGTATTGGACTAGTGGTCAAGTCATATAGAACTTAGAATTTAGAGTATAGATTAGAACTGAGGCTTTAAAGTTTATAATTATGAATTTCAACGTCCGCATATCGGTCTTCAACTCTTCACTGCTGAACGTAAGTCTCCCCCTTGGGAAGTTTTGGCAGTAGTCGCCACGCTTGGCAGGCGGATTGGCAACCGCAGTCAGGCTTTAAAGATGATTTAAAAGGGGCCACTGAAGCCCATCCCTTGCCCTCCCTTAGTCGTCTCTTACGACATCCACGGGAAAGGAAGGAGTGGCTTATTCTATGCTGGGACCTACATGGCGATGAAGAGTCCTTACACTGTGGTTCTAATATGTTTACATAACAGATATGTTGTATAAACTGCAATTGCTTAGTTTTACCGTATATCTGAAGAATTGGCGGTAGGTATTTTGCAATGGGAGAAAATGGAGTATTAACCGTTTCTGCTATCGGTTTGCTTTGATAGAGTATCGGTGAGAGATGATAGGTGAAGATGAAAGTAAGTCATTTGGCTCATTGTAACGTATCTAGAAAAAATTACTACGATGATTTCCAGAGGGAACCACTAGGAGATCGACCTAATGGGGTATATTACTATCAAAAGGGCTGCTTATACTCCATTAATCCCTTTTTCCTTCCGATAAAAATAGTTTCTTTAAGTGGGTGAATATGGAATGGTAACTCCGCCTATGCTATCGGTACGCTGGCGAAGCACCAGTGAGGAGGAAAGCTAGTCTGTTTTAGCCCATCGTGACTATATCAACGATAAATTAGTCGCGATAGTTTCCAAGGGGAACCGCGTGGAGATCAACCCGATAGGATATATTGATAGCAATAGGAACTAACCCATTACTAAATATCCTTTCCCCCAGCAGGTCAGTTAGTCTATTCCTGTCCGTAGGTATAAAGGTTATTATAGCACTTATAACATCATACATTAGGATTTCCACTCTGCAGGCACCTATTAAAAAATTGCACCTACATAAGTTTTTCATCTAGATTGTCATCAAAGATCTAACGTAATAATTAGGTACCAAGTTTCTATATGAATTAATTGGATCATAAAATATTTGATCAATAATATTAGGTATTTAATGGGCATAATTGTTTACAAATGTGCCAGTAGGTATTTAATAATAATGTAAGTAAACTTATCAGTCGCAGTGGTAAAACATATGATTCAGAGAACTGTCTTGTTATTAGTCTCGAGTAGTGTATTATCGAAACGAAATGAAGCAATTTGTGTTTTTTATTTTGATAGGTAAGTACTTGTATTAAAAATTCTAAACATTAGAGGATATGTATAGCTTTTTAAGTAGTTTGAAAAACATAAAATATGTAGTTTACAGTTCAATTGCTGAGATGAAAACTAAGTACATTAAAAATAGCCTTAAGGTAAAATTTACAACGGATAGTACCTTTTTTATTTTGATATTATTCTAATAATAAGCAATACGTATGAGTAGTTTATTCTTTTTTTTCCAATTGTGTCTATTTATGGGCGGAATTATGAAAGTAAACGAACAAGAGATGAATCTGAGGAAAGAGGTTAGACTTCTTTGGCGCTGTTATTTCTACTTACTAAGGAAATAAAAGTTTAGACATTAATATGTAGTATGTATAGTGTTTATTCTGCGACTTATACAAATATAATAAAAAAAAAATCTAAAGTAAGTAATCCGCCGCATGCATCCATAATCAGCATGTTTTAACATCATTTTAAACACATGACCTTACAATATCCAAATCAAAAGTTTAAAGAATATAAGTTTTTATTTTGAGTTTTCCTTAGTATATACACATAATTAGAATACGATTATCTTAGATTATATAGGTAGAGCCTCGAGTCTCAAAAATGGGTCAACTTTTTGTCAGTAAATTGTCAAATTAGCCAACTCGTTTTTTATCAGTGTTCTACAATGTACCTTGACGTATCTATATTTAATTATTTAATAAATAAAATGAGTTTTTACGCATTAAAAAGATACAAAAATTATAAAAGAAAACAAACATTTATAAATGAAACACTCATAACTATTTATCACGCAAAATTGTATGAAAAAGTTGACCCGCTTTTCTCGAAGTATTTTTTTGTATGGAGATTATCTATATAATCTAATTGTAAGACTATAATATAGAAACATACAAACATAAATACATAATCCTTAAAGTAATAACAGAATACAGATATGTGTGTACTGTAGCCATGACGATTTTAGCTCAGTGGAAACATTGCTTAGAGAGCACAACACTGGATTTCACGTAATCTGTGGATATATATATATGTACATGTATATGTATATATGTTTGTTTATATATAATAGTGCACCACCTACCCTTTGTTTTTCTTTCTTTTCTCAATGTCCTCTACCCAAAGGTTGTCTGGAAGAGATTGCTTAGCGATAAGGCCGCCTTTTATATCATTTCTTATTACAGTTAAATGTATTTACTATTTTATAAATGGTGCAATAAAGTGTAAATAAATAAATAATATACTGCACGAACTGCATTGAAGACAAGAAATCAGTGTGTTATATTTATTTTTCCTTGTGTTATTTTTCTTTGTTCCCATAACTTACACGATGGTAAAAAGTATTTGCATTTGAAAAGATTAATGATGATTATACAGCCGTTAACAGTTTACTGCTGAACATAGGCCTCCCCCTTGGGGGGTTTTGGCCGTAGTTGCCACGCTTGACAGGCGGAATGACAACCGCAGTTAGACTTTTGGTGATGTTTTAAGATGTTCACTGCTGTCCATCCCTCGACTATAAAATTTCCTTAGTCCCTCTTACGACACTCACAGGGAAGGAAGGAATAGCCCTTTCTATGGCGGAAACACTCGGTAAAATATTAATGAAATTGCGTAATAATGCTTATGTCTATAGGCGACGGTTACCACTTTCCATCAGGTGGGCCGTCAGCTTGTTTGCCATTCTAAATTATATAAAAAAAATGCAAAGTAAGACTGTCGTAAAACAGTGATAGAATCATATTCAATTACAATTCATTTTCAATTCAGTTTAAAACTAAATTGTACATATCGTATTTAAAGTGTACGCAACACTGTTTCAAATGATGATTTAAATCCCATTACAAAGTTTATCTTAACCTCTGTACGTTTAGATTACTTAGGTAAATATGTTTACTTATATTTAATTCCAATACCATATCAAAGGTTAGATATGTACCTAGGGAATGTATGGTTTGATTGAATCATAAATTAAATACTAATACTGAATTCCTATAGTGATTTGGAAAGAAATAAAATATCGTACGTATATTTTTTCATTAAATAACAGTGAACAAAAAAATAATTATCACAAATTAAATGGTATAATTGTGTATCCGAACTATATCTGGCTTAGATGTGTTACAATTCTTAGGTCACCAAGAGCTCATGCAATGAAGAAATGCGTGTGCTTGATTTTTTTTTCTAACTGTCGCCGTAGTATATTTGTACTTTTATAGCCGTAGAAATAAAAAAAAAGTCTCCTGCATTTGAAATTTTTTTATGCAACTTAGAATGGCAAGCAAGCTGAGGGCCCACCTGATGGAAAGAAAGCGGTAACCGTCGCCTATAGATATGAGCAGTACTAATGAGAATTTTTAAGTATATTGCTTTTTTATAATGACTATTACTTGATGAGATTGAGAATTTTACTACCCTGTAATGTTTCTTCCATGATGAAACGCAACTGAAAACGCATTCAGCCCAAATAGCTAAGAAATAGCAAACTTATTTCTTGTATACTTTTCGTGAATAGTATATATATATATATATATGTATCACATCTCCCATATTTAGAACTAACAAAATTTTTCATCGTGCCTCCCACCAAATTGTTTATAATTACTCCTGTTCAAGATTTGGCAGTATAGACGTTTTAATAAAAAGTAAATTTTTCGTACTTGCAATATTAGAACCATAGATATAGACCGTTTAACCGCTAGAAGGTCAAACATTCAAATTTTGTTAACGGATAGAACTACACGCACTTTTGTATTTATTTTAATTTATTATAAAACTTGAGGCACGGACAAGCATTTCATTTCAACCAAGAGCTTCTCACCTTCAAGCGCAAACATACGTGTTTTGGACCTTCGTTGCCGAATAATAATACGCAAAGTACGAGTCAGCGACCATTGGACTCATCGTATGCCAATTCATCGCACAAGTTTTGGACTACGAGAAGTGAGAAGACATCTAGTAAGGATCGAGGTTAAGGCGTCGGAGGAGCAGCAGCAGACAGCAATCGTCCATAAACGCATTCCGGAACGGTCTGCCATCCTCCCTAACCCCATCTCCTTCGCTTCAATTGTGTCACACCGTGCCTTTAGTCACGTTACAATTCTTGTGTTCAGCAATAAGAAGCAGCTTTGTGTCGCAGCTAGCACAGGCTGATCTTACAGACCAAGAATCAAACGTAAGTACCTTCATAATTTGCCAAAATGAGTATAAATGAGGCTAGTGTTAAAATAAATCGTGAAAGATCCCCTAATAGGCTAGTCGCTAATAATGAAAACGATAATGAATTGCTAAAGGATCTAGTCAAGACGCGTGGCATATTAAAAAGCAGGCTTACTAAATTTTCTAATGCCGTTAGTGATATTACCCTCGAACAATTAACTAATCAAAAATGCGCCGATATAAAATTACGCATGCAAGGTATTACAAGCTTATTTGCAGAATTTAGCGATGTTCAAACAAAAATCGAAAAAATTGTACGAGATTCAGATTTAGATTCACAGCTGACGCAACGAGAATTGTTTGAAGATTGCTATTATCATGCACTAGCTCAAGCTGAATGTTTGCTCAAATCGGTAGAGGTCACTAGTGCGTCCAGTAAGGGCAGTAATAGGGCGTCACAGTCTATAAAACTTCCGACCATCTCCCTACCTGTATATGATGGAACGTATGAGCATTGGATCGAATACAGAGACATTTTTCTATCTCTAGTACACAATTCCGATGAAATTAGCGATATACAGAAATTCCACTACCTAAAATCGTCACTAAAGGGAAGCGCGGAGTTAGTTATCGATTCCTTAGAATTCTCTGCTAGTAACTATGTGGTAGCATGGGAACTACTTCTCAACAGATACAACAATAGCAGTCTGTTGGTGCATAACCACGTTAAGGCCTTATTCACTATTCAAAAACTTTCTAAGGAATCACCACATGCACTCAGAAAACTGACAGATATTATTCTTAGAAATTTACGCGCATTAAAAATATTAGGTGAGCCTACTGAGTACTGGGATACGTTAATTATATTTATTATAACGTCTAAGTTAGATGAAACCACCGAACGTGAATGGGAACAATTTAAATGCACCACACGAAAATATATTAATGATATTTCTTCACTGAAGGTAGATGATTTACTCATGTTCCTTAGAGACAAGGCTGACATGTTGGAAACATTGCTAGTTTCACACAGAGTTAACAGTGACGTTAAAACTCAAAACGCGACTTTACAACAATCGTCACATTATCCGTCACATAAAACATCACATCATAAAGTGCACTGCAATGTTTCCACCAATAAGTCACAGCAAGGTCGAATCACGTCTACTAAGAAATCGTGTTTAATGTGTAACGCCGATCATCCACTTTATTCATGTCAAACATTTTTGGACACTAACTTAGACGCTAAACTGCAATTTATAACCGCAAATAAATTATGTGAGAACTGTTTACGTCCAGGGCATTCAGTTAGTATGTGCAAATTTGGACCTTGCAGACTGTGTTTTAAAAAACACAACACGCTTATTCATAATAACGTGACTGATCGAGTAGCGGTCGTATCAATGCATCTAGCCGACAACGAAACCCCGGGTTCTAGTCAAATGACCCCCGCGACCGTCGCACCGCCCGCGCAGTCCATCCCCGCGCAAATTCATTCGTCTCGAGTAAACAGTACACACATAGATAATTTTAATTTAATTCACAAACAATCTACTATGCGACCCGTTTTATTGTCTACAGCTATAGTCGAGATAGCCGATAGGTACAATAAGTTTCACTTAGCACGCGCGCTTCTCGACTGTGGTAGTCAACATTGTTTTATTTCTAAACCACTATGCGATTTAATTAATATAAATTTAATACAGTCCACTTGCGAAATTCGAGGTGTCGGCAACACAGTAACAACGTCATCACAGATATGTGATATCGAGATCAAATCACGCATTGACAATTACTCCGCACGCATTAAATGTTTTGTGTTGCCGCACATTACATCTACGCTACCTACTGCTATGTATAGTCAACGCGCGCAGTCGTTTATGATACCTGACTATATACAGCTGGCTGATCCACAATATTATGAATCTCAAAATATTGATATTTTAATAGGCGCAGACTTATTTTGGGACTTATTATGCGAGGGTAAAATGAGATTACCCAATGGACCCTTTTTACAAAATACAAGGTTAGGTTGGATTATTTCAGGGCCTATTGAGTTTAACACGCACAATATCAATACGTCTGTCCAATGTAACTTCACTCAATCTATTGACACTCAGTTACGACGGTTTTGGGAGTTAGAAGAGGTGCCTAAAACTAGTGACATACAGACTGACGAAGAACGCTCTTGTGAGGAAGCTTTCATTCGTACTACCACGCGCAATAGTGACGGAAGGTTTTGCGTCAGCTCGCCACTGAAACAGTCGCCATCTGTTTTGGGTGAATCTTTGTCACAAGCTGAACGTCGTTTTTTGGCACTAGAGAGGCAATTAGAACGTAATTCTAACTATAAAAAAATATATTTTAAATTTATACACGAATACATCGGATTAGATCATATGACGCGAGTAACTTTATATGGAACCCCACACTTCTTTTTACCTCATCACGGCGTGTATCGTGAGCACAGCAGCACAACAAAACTTCGCGTGGTGTTCGAGTCGAGTGCCGCCACCAGTAGTGGAGTGTCTTTAAATGACATTCAACAAATCGGACCTCCAGTGCAGGGTGATTTAGTTGACATTTTGCTTCGTTTCAGACAACATAGGTACACTGCTTGTGCAGACGTCGAAAAGATGTACAGGCAGTGTCTCCTAAACGAATTACAACGCGATCTCCAGTTGATTGTGTGGCGTGACAATCCATCTGAACCGTTAGGTATTTATCAATTAAACACGGTAACGTATGGGACAGCCTCCGCACCGTTTCTTATTGTTAGGTGTCTAAAGCAGCTGGCACTCGAATGCAAGGTCTCAGAAGAAGGACTCTTCTATTTAGTACAAAAAACTTTTGTACAAAATAGAACGGCAGAAATATATGAGTTGGGGAAGGAACTTCCATGGCGTCATGTCAGAGAGAAGGAAAACCCAGCTGATCTGATCTCGCGCGGTATTCAGATGGAGGATCTCTCATCTTCTGCTTTATGGTGGGAAGGCCCATCTTTTCTTCGTCACACTAACTTCAGTTGCAATAATGTATCGTTAAATTCATTTGACTCTCAGCAACTATTGCCTGAGCTGAAATCCAGTGTGACACATTCCTACGCTACTGATCAAGACTGCGAACGTACATTATTTCCATTTGTTAGATTTTCTCAATATAGTCGCATGAGACGAACTGTCGCATATATACAACGTTTTATCCATAATACGCGCAATAAAAATACTCAACGGTCAGGTACTCTCACTGTCGATGAATTGAGGGAATCTGATATAACTTTGGCTCGACTGTCTCAACTAGAATCGTTTCCAGATGAGTATAGGTTACTCACAAATAATAGTACTCTAGTTAATAAGCATAATTTGTCTAAATTAAATTTATTTATTGATAAAAATAAACTAATTCGTGTTGGTGGTCGGATTGTAAATTCTCCCGACTTTAATTTTGATAAAAAACATCCGATTTTAATTTCATCTAAACATATTTTCTCCCTACTACTATTCAGACACGAACACAAGCAGTTGTTGCACGCAGCTCCACAGGCGCTTCTTTATAACTTACGTGAAACGTGGTGGCCAATTGGCGGTAGAAACTTAGCAAGGAAGGTTGTTTATGATTGCATTATTTGTAAACGCTTGAGAGGTATGACCCCTACTCCCCTTATGGGAGATTTACCAAAGGAACGCTTAACTTCGGGCTTTCCTTTTATGCGTTCTGGGGTGGACTACGCCGGACCAATGCTCATACTTAATCGTAAGGGTAAGGTGCTAGGACGACAAAATGCTATGTGTGCTTATTTATTTGTTTTGTAACGCGCGCTGTACATTTAGAACTCGTCAGTGACTTGTCAACAGATGCATATTTATTAGCGTTAAAGAGATTTATATCTAGGCGTGGCAAACCATGTGAGATTTTTTCTGATAATGGTCGAAATTTTGTTGGATTGATGAATGACTTTAAACATTTTTTAGCTAATTGTTCGTCACAGATTATAGAATATGCCACGGCTCAGAATATTCAATTCACATTCATACCGCCTTATGCGCCTCATTTTGGCGGATTATGGGAAGCTGGAATTCGGTCCTGTAAGAATATTTTACGTCGTATAGTAGGAAACGCGCACTTAACCTACGAGGAGTTCAGTACAGTGTTGACACAAATTGAAGCGGTCCTGAACTCCCGTCCTTTAAGCCCTATGTCCTCAGATCCACAAGATTTGTCGCCTCTTAGTCCAGGCCATTTTCTGGTGGGACGTCCACTTACTGCGCCTGCTGGTGATGACTTCACTGAGACGCCTGTTCATCGACTGACACGTTATCAACGAGTTGAGCAGATTCGACAGCAATTTTGGTCCCGTTGGGCGAAGGAATACGTGTCAGAACTTCAAATAAGGACTAAAGGAAGGAAGAACACACTTGAACTGCAGCCTGATATGCTAGTAGTTATTAAGGACGACAACCTACCGCCGCTAAAATGGCATCTCGGTCGAATAGTGAAGATCTTCCCTGGCAAAGACGGCATCACTAGAGTAGTCGATATTCGCACATCGTCAGGTGTCGTGAGACGCGCTTACAGCAAGATATGTCCCTTACTTGATGACTAATTCTAGTTTTAAGGTTTTAAAATTGAAAGCTGAAGCTTCCAAGGCCGGGGGCATGTTCAAGATTTGGCAGTATAGACGTTTTAATAAAAAGTAAATTTTTCGTACTTGCAATATTAGAACCATAGATATAGACCGTTTAACCGCTAGAAGGTCAAACATTCAAATTTTGTTAACGGATAGAACTACACGCACTTTTGTATTTATTTTAATTTATTATAAAACTTGAGGCACGGACAAGCATTTCATTTCAACCAAGAGCTTCTCACCTTCAAGCGCAAACAACTCCTCTCCATCCAAAGGTTGCCTGGAAGAGATCGCTCTTAACGATAAGGTCGCCCATTGTTTTCTCATTGTGATTATTTCTTGTAATTATTTATATTTATAATAAGTTTATTATTTTAATCTATTGGAGGAAACAATAAAGAGTATCTATCTATCTACTAGAATGCAAATGTAATAATTTATCCATTATTAGATTAGATTATTTGTTTGGAATACATAATTCTAAAACCCGTCTACTAAATATTCTGCTATACAGTGTCCTCGCAAGCCATTCCGCGTCGTGTCAGCAAAACCTATCGAAACGATTACACTTACAACAGAAAGAGTGATGCGTTCTACAAGCTGCATATTGAGGCTACCGATCAGCAGAAAGCGAGCCGGGTGTGCCAAGAGGAAGGCGCCGTGCTCATGATCCCTACCTCACACATCGACATAGTTCAGTTTCACGAGATGTACAAACAGTTCCCGGACCTCGACAACTATGTGTGGGTGGGTGACGATAAGGCACAACATGAATCCGCTGAAGAACAAGCTATAATTGTTTGTAAGTTATTAAAATTAACAGTTGCTAATAAAGACGTGCGGTTTCAAAGAAATTTTCTCCCGCGAACGCTCAGGCTGTGGAATGAGCTGTCTGCCGAGGTTTATCCTAGAGACTACAGTATGGGGTTTTTCAAAAAAAGTATATTAAGACTTGTTTAGGGTCGGCAACGCGCCCGTAATACCCCTAATGTTAGTAGTTACAGTAACCGTTTACAATCAGACGTGCTGTATGCTTGTTTATTACATATGCTAAATAAGCTCATACCACAGGCAAAGAATGTCGAAATTGAATAAAACTTTAATATAAATTGATTATATTCTAGATCAACATGTAGAATATGGGGGGGGGGGGAAGGAGGGAATTGTTAGTAATGCGGACTACCAATCTATTGCTAGCAATGTACCCTGTCAATGGATGGTAATGGAATGGTAACCCCGCCTGCGCTAACGGTATATGCTGGCGGGGCACCAGTGAGGGGCGATAAGTGAGGACGAAAGAGTAGGTCAGTTAGCCCATCGTGATGAATACACCTGTAATTCAGCACGATAGTTTCGAGAGGGGACCACGTGGAGGTAGACCTGATAGGGTATATTGCTAACAATGGGATTGATAGTCCGCATTATTAACAATCCCTTCGCCCCCAATGTAAAATGTCAGGTTGTTAATAGTTATCGATTTCATTACGATGACGATGATCCATCCTCACCTATTATCCTTCACTGGCATCCCGCCAGCGTATACCGATAGCACAGCGAGGTTACAACAATAAAAGTAAGAAGTGGCCTATTCTATTCTGGGACCACACCGTTTATGTATTATTTACAACCCCTCTTCTGACAATAATATCAGCATAATCTAGGTACTGTTTGGAACATTACAGATGACGAAGAAGAAACCACACGTTATAGTCCGCCGTGGATCCGCGATTGCAACGTTGTGACTCGACATGGGGACGTAGAAAAATACACATGTACCAATAGCCTGCCATTTATATGTAAAGTGGACGCGAATCAAGCACCGTACGACGATGCTTGTGGTGTATATGGATTTGGTGAGTTAATTTGTCAAAGGGACAAAATATAAGTAGGTTAAAATGTTTTGAAGTGTATGGTAAAAATATTTGCTAAGGGGTAGCACGTTTATATGTTAATGATATTGATGATAATAAATCACGCTAAGAAAAGGTTGACTGGAAGAGATTCTTTTGAGGAATAAGTCCGCTTGTGTACATATTTGTTATAACCTAATATATTATAAGTAATTATAGAAAAGCATATAAATAAATACATAAAAGCTAAACGGATTCGAATGGAATTCGAATAAATTTAGAGCTTTTTATGCGATAAAAGATTGATATTTCTGTATTGCAATTGTTATTATATCTGTACAATTAACGTTTAAAAATTTGACATGTTATTGTATTATATTATATTATTACATATTATAAAATTATTTTGTTATAACTTATGTAATGACTGTTGGACGTCAGTAATGACAATATGTATGAAACCATTATAAAACTAGCATATGACCTTATTATACTACGTTTTTTGCAATAAAATTCATTCATTCTTTCAATAACGAATAACAAACAAGCTGACGGTTCACCGATAAAAAATATATAGAAAGCGTAGCTATAGCATAACATAGGTATTCGCTAATTAAGACTGTTCCACAAAAAAATCGACTGTGGTTGTGCCAAAACTAGTTATTTTGATTTAAAAACTAAATTATTGAATCGATTTTGATAAAATTTCTATGGGGGCAATCTTTAAGTATATCCTTTCAAATAAAAAAAAAATCCAAATCGATTTACAATTAACAAATTTTTGAGGTAACAAACATAAAAAAATAATATCAAATTGAGTACCATCTTCTTTTTGAAGTCAAATGAAAAAAATATTGTATTAAGATTGGCACTATTCTTTTATTATACTTACCTGAAATCTCGACACGTTAAATTCTTAAATTAAATTTAAATAAGTCTAAAAAAGCATTTTAAATAAATGTAAAAAAAGCACTAAAACTGCAAATGACCTAATTTACTTATCTATTTATTTTTTAGGCTATGAATATGTATCAAATATTGGAAGCTGTTACAAGATCCCAAGGCTGGCCTATTCCTGGAATCAGGCGTATGCCGAGTGTCGTTCCCAAGGCGCCCACCTTGTGGTCCTCAATTCTAAGGCGGAACACGACGCCGTTTTGCAGATAATGAAAAAAACGCGTCTCCTGCCCGATTCTTACATGCCATACTACTACATCGCTGGCTACAGGGCCGCTGTATCCACTGATGGATCGCCAAGAGTATTTAAAACAATTTTCAGTAAGTACACTGTACATAAACAATAACTTAGATGAAATGAACGAAGGTTCAAACTTATCCTAATTGACGTGGGACCTAAAGCAATCGCCCAAAGCTTGCCGCTCTTGCCGAATGAAGGGCGGCTGAATTGCAATTGAGGGGCTAATAAAGTGTGAAACTACTGGCAAAACCTCACTTATACACGGCTAATATGATGATGGTGGATAAATTGTGAAACGCTGTGTAATCTCATGCCCATTCGTGACTCGTGTCACTTGTCACTTTGTAAAATGTGTAAGAGATATTTTTCGTTATCAATATTATGAGGTGTCACTGTTAAGGACACTAAATATTTAGGCATGAAGCAGCCAAATACTAGAGCTACTTCCCCGACTACTTAGTGTAAACGCGTTCAATTTTATTTTGTTTTTGTGCTGTTCTTATAAGAATAAGCAAGATAAACTGGCAATGGGCTGATTAAATAGCTCGTAGAATCGACAGCCAATGGAGAATAAAGGTTCTTAAGTGGCTACCCCGTACGGGCAAATCCAGAGTAGGATGTTAGTTCCTAGGTGTAGTGACAGTCATTGGATGCAGGTGGCTCAGAACTGTTCCTTGTGGCAGTCTATGGGGGAGGTATACTCAGCAGTGGACAGATAATGGCTATGATGATAATGTTATAATAAAGTGGAGATTGAGTGAGGAAAAGACAAGAGTAATATACGAATAAAGACCTTCTGTATTTGAACTAAATGAATATATGTAAATTTACATAAAAATTTTTGAATTTGACTGACATTGATATTTGAATAAATACTTTTTTTATTACTATAATAATCTTGTAAGAGGCGAATAGGATAATACTGTATTTATTTTTTCTAACAGATCAAACAATAGCAGAAGCCGGTTACTCCAAATGGGCAGACACGGAGCCCAACAACGTTGGAGGAAATGAAAACTGTGGCTCGTTATTTGAAGGCGACGGTAACCTGAATGATCAGGAATGCGCGAAGAGATACGGCTTTATATGTGAAAAGGAGAAAAACTCGTAGTTTTAATTGTTATTATTTTAACGTACGTACCTATTATTAATAAATTTATAAAGTTTGATGTTAAACAATTCGAATATAATTATATTTAATTGTATATATTTCAAATATAAATAAGTATACATTTTTCTTTATATTATCATTGAAGTATTTGTAAATTTTGAAAAAAGAAATTGACGCCATAGATAAAATTATTTTTTTAATAAAACCTACAACTTCTTATAATTTACCCAGACTATTACTTTTAGAATTAAAAAAAAAAAAATAAAAAAACTACTACTCCTCTTTAAACATCAATTAAGTGTTATTTGGCAAGTAAATGTTCACAAAAAAACTCGATTGCACGTTCGACCAACGACAAATTTATCACTATTAACAAGTATAAGTTTTTTATGTTTACAAAAATACAAATATATTTTTCAATTATCATTATTTATACCTATATCTTTTATTCTGATTGATGGCCAAGGACCTCTGCACTAAGCGTCGTACGATATCTTTCGATTTAGATAGTTTCATAGTAGTATTCAATCCAAGGGACATATTGAATTGTATTTGTTAATCTGTGACATTGTTTACTTAGCTTAATATGATACCTATAATAAGCGTACCTACTGCAAATACTTTGAGTTCAAGAACAGTAAAGCGATAAATGTCCAATTATATTTAATTAATTTCATCAATCACACTCGATGAGATATTTTTATAAATGGTCAAGGATGAAATGGTAACCCCGCCTGCGCTGTAGATTTACGCTGACGGGGTACCAGTAACAGACGAGTAGCGAGAATGTACTCAGTTGCCCCATCGTGAGTATGTTAATTTGCTAGGTATTAACCACGATTGTCTAGTGGAGGACTGTGTAGAGGTCGACCTGACGTGTATATGCTACTAGCAATACGTCCACTATATCCCATCATTAAAACTCCTGTAGCCATATTTGATAGCCGACATAAATGTTAATCGATTAATACCCATCTTGATAAAAAACATGTAGTCAAGTTTTCTATCGGGTATTTGGAAGTTTAATATTTTTATATTATTAAATATATATAAAAGTATATTTTAATAAAGTATATTAATAATTAATAAGTAAAGAATATTTTAACTCAATATTAATTAATTAATTAACTATAATAATTTATTAACAAGATGTATTATAATAGTTTGCATTAAATAATAGTATTAAAATTAAACTACTGTCTCATTCTGAATGACTCATTCAGTAAATAAGCACGTATGTAACATATATGTATGTATGTATGTATGCTTATATCTAAAGTTAAATTTTGTAATGCTCGGTCGGAGTAATTTAGGAAATAACCTTTTCGGGCGGACACAAAAGCGACGTTTTTCCAAACTTCGTCAAAATTCTATGGACAGCGGCGCTGGCGGTGATTACTATGCACGGCGTTGCAGATTGCGTTGCCTCACTATGCGTGTACAACGGATTGTGCTCAGAGGAATTGTTCAGTATGATGCCCACGGTCACTTGCTATCATCGTTCGGCTTGCAATCGACAGGGAGTTCACCCTCATAGCCTACAGTCTAAATGGTCGTGTACAGCGCGATTTCAGAGATGTTTTCTCCCACAAACACTCAGGTTATGGAATGAGCTCCCTGCCGAGGTTTTCCCAAGAGACTACAGCATAGGGTTCTTCAAATGGGGGGTAAAGAGGTTTCTTCAGGGTCGCCAACACGCGCGTAATACCTCTGGTATTGCAGGTGTTCATAGGCTACGGTAACTACTTACCATCAGGTTTAACATAATTATAGTTTTCTAGTTCCAGATTAGCAGTTGCCAATTGACTTATACGCATACTTACCAACGAATCACATTTGCACATCAAGGATATCATGGATTCCGATTCATCACTGCGTAGTCTGTATACTGTGTCCGAAGACACACTCATCTTGTAGTATACGGCCTTACCGGCATGTGATGCCCATGATACCCCTTATGTGTTGCCATTCCAGAGGACTATGGTGTTTTCGTTCCCTATAATTTCACTGCTATATCTCACCCTTCAAACCGAAACACAATCATGCAAGTACAAGTACTTCACTATAGTAATGGATGGAAAAACTAACCCATGCCAAGATTTTATTTTACAATTACAGAAAAATTAAATCCCATTTTCTTTGACTGTAGTTACTATTTTCCTTTCTCACTTTATTTCTTTATTAATTTTACTACATTCGTCATATTTTGTTGTGGTTCTATGTATATATTTATATGTGTATGTATATGTAGTATTATTATTTGTATAAGTAATTTAATAAATAATATGTATTTGAAGTTTTTGTGCATTATAGGTTTTTTATTTTATGTAAAAAAAAAAAATATTAATTCACGTTTACGCCACCTATCCACTTCTATATAACGTTCTCCTTTAACCAAAGGTTGTCTGTAAGACATAGTACCCTTGCGACAAGACCGCTTTCTGTACCTTTATGTGTATAATTTAATCTTTACTTTGTGCTACTGTGTTTCACTTGAATTGTTTATATGTCATTGTTTATTTTTATGTTTTTGGTACAATAAAGAGTTAAATAAAAAAATCCTGACAGGTTTCATAAATACATAATTAAAAAAAATATTTACAAAATATATTATTAACTTGAAATTTCATTCATTTTGAAATTAAAAATCTAGAAGAATATGTTTGGTTGTTTGCCACCTCAATAGTGTAAAAAAAAAAGAATAATTAAAATAGTATTTCCAGCAAGTTGAATGTCTTAGATACCTACACAATTGCTAGAATAATAAAATTCTATTTTTCCAACGACATCTCTAAACTCAACAGGTGGTAGTGGGTAGAGTACAGCGGATAACAAATTCCGCTATTCGGATATTTGCTTAGTATGCGCAACTGTTAGTTACACCATAGATAATATAATTCTATAGGAGTGCAAAGATTGTTAGTTATGACTGCGTTCATGTTTATGAGATTTAAAAAAAAATATCAACAACAAAACACTCACGTACTTCCACAGTCTCATATTTGTTCATATATATACTTTTTATTTGAACGGTTGATTATATAATGTTAAATATCAATTTGTCTTTGAGCACGAATGTCATCGCTATTAAATTAAAAATTTTAAGATTGTAGATGGAGGGAGTTTTATTTTAATGGGTGATAATGGATTATCAATCCGACCCCTCGGTGTATACCGATAACACCGCCTACATTATCGATATACGCTGACGGAGCACCAGTGAGGGATGATAGATAAGAATTAACGCAGCACAGCTAACTTATCGAGACGAATTTTACAAGAATTGTTTAATTGAAACAATTGTATTAATTCCTAATGAATTTAAACTAAGAGAGTATATTGCTAACAGTGGAGCCATTAAACCCCTATTCTAACAATTCCTTCTCTTTGGGGGAAGTTATTCAGTTTAATAAAAGGAAATGATCAGTTGCATATTACATACTAATCTTGTACATTGGGGGAAGGGAATGATTAGTAATGAGGATGTTAGTCCCCATTGCTAGTAATATACCCTGCCAGGTCTACCGAAAATTCCCATTGAATTAATTCTCAATCAATTTAACCTAATATTAGATCCCCATTACTAACAATATCTTCTCCCCCTTCTTTAGGAAAAAATATTCAGTTTAATAAAAAAAAAAACTAAAATTGGGGGGAGGATATTGTTAGTAATGAGGATTTTAGTCCCCATTCCTAGCAATATACCTTTTCAGGTCGAAAATCTCCATTGAATTAATTTTCAATAAATTATCTGAATCATTTCATTTTAATTAATTAAAAGCTAAAGTATATTTATTTATTGGGTTCGACTGTTACAGCTGTAAGTACATGAGTGTAGTTACAATGTTTATTGTACGTATAATCATTTCAAGGCAAATACTGTACTATATAGATTAATAAAATCGTAATAGTCTCTGTTCGAAAATATTTTCGAATCATTCCTGTTTAATGATTAGGATTCTTTTATCTATATGTAATTTATTATTCCGGGAGTGAGCTTCCTTAGGCTCGATAAGGACTGCATTTATCGTAATGTCGTATCTGTTTGTTTATGAACTTGTTTATTATAATAACTTTCTCCGAACAGTGTGGTTGGTGGTGAGAGATAATTAATATTAGTTAAACATGTCCTTCAGAATTCTATTCGGTAAGTACATAGTCCCTAGTTGTTTTTTATCTTGATTTTTAATATAAAATCGTAAATAGACGATATCTGTACATGGGTAATATTTAATAAAAACTGATATATTGTTCTTTACAAGGACAATAGAAACCAAAACAATGATTTATAAAAATTTTATCTGTCTATCTGTCTTTTATGTTTGTTCCGGCATCATGCAAACACTACAGTAACCAATTGGATGCGGTTTTCACAGTTGTGTTCCTGTAGGTCTGTTACCTAAACTCTGGTATATGTTACATCTTGATACGCCATCTAGATTTGGTTTATAATATTAGTTTTTCTACTTCTAAAATCCACGTGTATAGGGAATTCCCCCTCATACCTTAGAGCCTAGATAGTTGCGTACAGCGCGGTTTCAAATATGTTTTCTTACAAGAACGCTCAGGTTATGGGATGAGCTTCCTGTCGAGATTTTTTCAAGAGACTACAGCAGGGGGTTCTACAAAAAAAGGGTTATGAGGTTTCTTCAGGGTCGGCAACGCACGTGTATTATCTCTGGTATTTCAGGCGTACATAGGCTACAGTAACCGCTTACCATCAATTGGGTCATATACTTGTTTGTCACCTCAGTGGTAAGCAAAAAGTGGTGGGCAAAAAGATGTTTACAATATAAATCAGCATGAGCAATTAATTTTGAGCCAAAATAAATAATTGTATATTTAAAATATATGTGTCAACGCAGTGTTTGTAGATTTTTAATAAAATGTCTATCTATATCTACAAAAAAAAAAAACAATTTCAATTGTGACAAATACATAAATTACCGAAAAGATTTTGATTTCACTGAAACCAATCAGAAAGTATATCCTTTCAAATGAAATAATAATTTTCTAAAGGGATTAAGAATTAACGGAGTTAAGAGTTACCTTATCAAACAAACAAAAAAAAAAAATACAACCGAATTGAAAATCTCCTTCTTTTTGAAGTCTGTTGAAAATGAGACAGTAAATTACGCTGATTTTATGCTCGACTGGGGAAATGTCCTAGTTTTTTTTTAATTCAGAAGCAGCACTTCGATTACGCATTTTACTTCGACTATGCATTTTCATATTATTATATTGTCTACGACTTTTTTTTTATGCAACTTAGAATGGCAAATAAGCTGACGGCCCACCTGATGGAAAGTGGTAACCGTCGCCTATAGACATGAGCAGTACCATGGACACAACAGAGTATACTATTTAGCCCATGATACCGCCCATGCGTTGCCATTCCTGAGGACTCAGGTGTTATTCCTCTGTACCCTGTAAATTCACGTCATATCCCACCCTTCAAACCGAAACACAGCCATGCAAATACAACTGCTTCACGGTTGAAACACGAATGCGACAGAGGTACCCAAGCAATCGACTTTTGTACAAAGTCTCCTTCTGGTATACTGACTGTTTCTTGATAGATAAAACAAATCCTATTAATGTTAACAAACCAAAGTTTGTAAGAATGGATGAATATATATTTGTTACTCTTTCACGCAAAAACTATTGAACAGGTTTGAATGAAATTTTGAAAACGGGTAGGTTATATTCTGTCTTATCAGCCGTTATCAGTCCACTGCCGAACATAGGCCTCCGTCATAAAGGGAGGTTTCGCTAGTAGTAGTCACGCTTGTTTTAAGAAGGACACTGCTGTCCATCCCTCGATCGTTAAGTTCCCTTAGTCACCTCGTACAACATCCACGGGAAAGGAAGGGGTGCGCTATCTTGTGCCGAGAACATACAGCAACCGGGGGAAGGGATTGTCAGTAATGGGGTCAAATAGCCCCATTACTAGCAATATACCCTGTAAGGTCGACCTCCACGTGGTTACCCCGGTAAACAAACGTGACTAATTCAAGTTGAATTCGTCAGGATAGGCTAATTGACCTACTTTCATGCTCATCTGTCATCCCTCACTGGAGCCCCGCCAGTGTATACCGATAGCGCAGGCGATACAGCAACCTTTTTTTTCGAGCTGTTCAATGTGCTGTTAGCCACGCTAACACATAGGATACCTTATACTGATTCAGGCGGGCGAATCTACGGGATATAGCTAGTATATTCATATGTTTCAGTTTTATTTACGACAATCTCATTGTCTACTAGCAAACAGTATAGAAGTGACTACGTGTACAATCGAAAATCAGATGCATTCTACAAATTGCATATAGAGAGTCTTTTCAAGAACCCTGCAAGTAAGGATGTTTAAGAATATTTTAGATATATATAGTATTTTTGGTATTTTATATTATTTAATTTTAAGTTTTTATGAGAATTTACTAATAGTTTAATATCATACAATCCATATCGCTCTACAATATTAAATTTTTTTTTTATACTGGCACGACATACTGACTCCATAGCCACTTGATCGTAAGTAATTATGAAATCTATCTGTGTGGATGACAACTCTATCTATGACTGCATTTAACCTTCGCTAACTAACCTACACTATTCCGTCTTATATAAATATTTCTTCACGCCTCTCTTGAAGGAATCCAAGTTATACTTGGCAGGACACCTTCTTCTGCAACCTAATTGGTGTAGCGATTTTACTTTTCGATAGTTGTGGTTTCGGACCTAATACAATACAAATAATAAAAATTTTTTAGGTCAGTATTCTGTTTATATTATTATTTGGTCAAAGAGCTTTTTGTTTGTTTGTTTGCATTATAAAAAAAAAAAGATTAATGTAATGATAAATAATGTAATGACTGTCAGTTGTTTAGCATTCAAAATACAAACTCTGTTTAGTTTGGGAGTTGGGACTAAAACACAATCTATGTTATTTGTTTATAATGTAACTTTCAATAGGTCTTTTTTAATTATAAAATTTGAAAGTGTTTTTTTATTTCACCTAAGTAAAGTGGCAGGAGACATTTTTTTTAAATATGTGTAAAATTGCTACCATGTGCATTAATATCATAATTGCATATTTTGCAGTCAGAGCATGCGAAGTGGAAGGGGCACAGTTGATGGCATCAATAACTGATTACGACATTGCTCAGGTGCATGAAATGTTGAAAGAATACCCTGACATTGGAGATTACGTGTGGGTGCAGGAGGAAGGGCCAATGGAAAACCGACAAGACATAGAATCTGAAGAAGCTCTGTTTAGTTAGTGATTTTCTTTTTTTTTATATACAACTTAGAATGACAAACAAGCTGACGGCCTACCCGATGGAAAGTGGTAACCGTCGCCTACAGACATGAGCAGTACCATGCACATAACAGAGTATACTGTTTATCCCATGATACCCATTTTATCCTTACAAATTATAATGAATTGTCATTGATTAGTTTTACTCGTAATAATTTAGGATAAATGAGGTTTTAGGTTTGATTCACGTCGGGCACAATTTCGGAAAACGTACCTTTTTAAATTAACTCGAGTCTGGGTGTACTTAATGTTAGATTCATTATATCGTTTTTTTATAAAATTGTGGCTTGATATCAAAAAAAATGGTATGACTGTGTATGTGTTGCACTTTTACTTAGTTACTAAACATATTGGCGAAGTTAGGTAGGTAAGTATAGACTTTTAAATTAAGTGCCTTTATTGAAAATATATAAAACATATATTGCGCAGTGATTTTTTTAAATTGGTAATTGAAGAATTATTTGTGATATTTTTATATGGCAATTAACATCTTAAAAATATCTATTTATTGCTACTTCAACAAAAATTAAAATTGTAACAATTTAACCCTGTGAAAATGGGGAGAAAGCGATTGTTAGTAATGGTGTTTCACAGCCCCATTGCTAGCAATATACTCTGTCGAGTCGATCTCCACGCGGTTCCCCCTGGAAACTATCGTGGTTAATTCTTGTGGATATCGTCACGATGGGCTAACTGAGCTCCTTTCATCCTCACCTAACATCTCTCGTTAGTGCTCAGTCAGCGTATTTCTCTATATTCCTATATATATTCCTGCAAGTATATACACTATATAACGTAGGTAGGGTTATCACTCAATTTTCATCCATTACAAAAAAACCCGGTAAAAATAACAGTATATGTACGTATCTATATTTTAAATTTTGTTAAGGTCCATAGTAGCGCTCCGTTGTAAACTTGATTATACATAATTATATTTTATAACGCGACGAGTGCTTTTAAGAAAAAACCTAAAAGAGTCCTCATTTAAATACTCTTAAATCTTCATATCTCGTTTTACCGCAAGATTATAAAGGCCGTTCGCTGAAATTCGATAGCTATACTTTTTATTAGATTATTTATTATACTACTCGTATTCTTACTTTTTACTCTTCACTCTTTATTTATTTAGGTTTATTCATCTTCTTTCTTTTAGTTTAACTGTTTTTAATGTGATTTTTGATATATATATATATATATATATATATATATATATATATATATATATATATATATATATATATATATATATATATATATATATATATAACTACTCTTTATTGTTTCCTCCAAAAGATTGAGACAACAGAGCGATCTCTTCTAGGCAACCTTTGGATGGAGAGGAATATATATATATATATATATAACTTAATATTTGCCGTATACAGTCCCGGAATAGAATGGGCCATCTTGTCTTAAGAAACGAATACGGGAACTTTATGGGCGAGGAATGGGCAGCAGTGTCACTAATTAAAACATTATCAAAAGCCTAACCGCACTTGCCAACTCGCCTGCCAAGCGTGGCAACTACTGGCAGAATCCCCTTGTGGGGGAGGTCTGTGTTCAGCAGTTGATAATTAACAGCTGATAAAATAATGACGATGATAATATGTAGCTTAATATGTAATATTGGAATGAAAATAGGTCATTGCTAGCAATGCTGTATATAATTCTTGATGAATTCGTTACTATAGGCCAATTGACTTGCTTATTATTTATTCCTCAATAGTTCACCGCCAGTGTACGCCGATAACGTAATAGCATGGGGTTCTTCAAAAGGGGGGTAAAGAAGTTTCTTCAGGGTCGGCAACGCGCGCGTAATACTTCTGGTATTGCAGGTGTTCATAGGCTACGATAACCACTTACCATCAGGCGGCCCATATGCTTATTTGCCACCTCAGTGATATAAAAAAAATATATATAAAAAAGTTAAAATTCCATTATCATCCATTTAAAAAATATGTCATCACAGTGTTGAGTAAAAATTTTCCCTCTATTATTCATAATATATTGATCAATTTTCTCGTACGGCGACGACTTAGAGAATGCATTCAGATTAGTTCACGATCTCCTTCGAACTTCAATCAGCATTATTAAATGTGAGAAACAAACTAAAATCTCTGTGTCTAATTTTAAAAATGGAGGAATGTTTTAATTCGACTATATATATACACATCTCCGCAAATTAGAAATTGGTATAATTGATTTTTAATCGAAACTCTCGTATTGGTCTCATATTAATTGAATAGTAAATGAAATTTCTCGTGAAACAAATACGAAAAATGACAAAAATATCATTCTTGAGTTACAAAAGGACAGTTTTATTCATTCATATAACTGTTGAGTGTTTGTGAACGTGTTAATAGCAATCATTAGTATACCTATAATGCGTAACGAGGATGCCAGGTGGGTAAAATGCGGCAATCAGGTATTTGGTCTCACTGATTGAAATAGATGTCTTACGCCATAAAATTTTATTACGAAATTACAGAATAACGAGAATAAATTAAATTACCTAAAAGTTGTTGTTATTATATTTTTAACTAATCTCCTCATTAATAACATAAAACAACTGAATAACTGCTTGAAACAAATTTATTTATGCCTAATGTTAATTTTTTCTGAGGTTAATATTTGTGAAGTTTAAAGTGACATCTGTATAAAAATTTAATTGTAAATATTTTTATTATACAGCTTAGAATGGCAAACAAGCTGACGGCCCACCTGATGGAAAGTGGTAACCGTCGCCTATACACATGAGCAGTACCATGGACATAACAGAGTATACTGTTTCGTTCATGATACTCTCCCTATGCTTTGCCATTCCTAAGGACCAAGGTGTCATGCCTTTGCACTCAGTAAATTCACTGCCACAATCCTCCTTACAAACCGAAACACAGTCATGCAAACACAACTTCTTCATGGTAGAAACACGAATGAAACAGAGGTACCCAAGCAAACGACTTGTACAAAGTCTGTCTGGTTTATTTTAACTGTATTAATTTAAATTATATATTATGCAATTAGAGTAAATATATTATGCTTCTTAGATAAATCTAAATCTATGCCTAGTAGAGGACTGTTATATGGTAATATTATTTACATTATTTTATAAATTTTAAAGCGCCATCATATCATGAAGACAGTGGTGTAAATCAAATGTACAATTGCGACGTCCTTACACGTCAAGGAAAAATCGAGACCGGCGGCTGCATTCGAAACATGCCATTTGTCTGTAAAGTGGATGCGAAAGATGCCTACTACGATGCTGAGTGTAAAGTTTACGGCAAAGGTAAATAAATATATTATTCATAGTTACAATAAATTAATAATTAATTAACAGTTATGCCAGGGGGGGGGGGAAGGGATTGTTAGTAATAGGGAGGTTAGACTCCATCCCTATCAGGTTGACTTTCACTCGATTCTCCCTGGATGATTTATCGACTGAGTGATTTATCGTTGAATTCGTCATGATGGGCTAACTGACCTGTTTTCATCCTCACCTATAATTACTCACTGGTGCCCCGCTAGCGTGTACCGTTAACGTAGGCGAGGTTATCACCTATTTTCATTCATTTGAAAAAAAAAATAGTAATGCCGTGTGAGCCACCTTCCTTGATCTTTCTTTCCCGTATCGTAAAAGGTGAGTAAGGAAACTAGTCGAGAGATGGACAACAGTGTCCTTCTTAATATATCACCAACGTCTATCTGCGGTTGTCAACCCGTCTGCCACGCATGGCAACTATTGGCAAAACTCCCTTTATGGGGGAAACCTATGGTCAGCAGTGGACAGTTAAAGGTAACTTATTCCTCGCCCTCCTTCTTCTTCTCGCTCGTCGCTTCTTACGATACTCATGTTTAGCATACTCTATGACAGTACCACATGGCAAATCAGCTTAATGGTATAGTATATTTGTTATTTAGACATTAATATAATTCCATTTATGCATTTTCAGATTATCAGTACGAAGGAGATATCGGAAGCTGTTATAAGATCCCTATGGTTAGGGTCACTTGGGACCAGGCCTATGCGGAGTGCAAAGCTGAAGGAGCACATTTGGTAGTGATTAACTCGGAAGCTGAGCAATTGATTGTATGGAACATGACCAAAGCAGTAATGAATGCGAATCTAATGGGAGATACATGGTACTTCTATGCTGGTTACAGAGCTAACAGACCTACTGACAACAGTCCAAGAGTATTTTTGACCATTTTTAGTAAGTAATTAATTTTTAGTTATTTTTAGTTTTTAGGGTTCCATACCTTCAAAGGAAAAAAACGAAACCCTTATAGGATCACTTCGTTGTCCGTCCGTTCGTCCGTCCTGTCAAGCCTCTTTTTCTTAGGAACGCGTGGAGGTATCAAGTGGAAGTTATTTACCAGAGAGAGACTTTGTACAAAAGTCGATAACTTGAGTTCCTCTGTCCTATTCGTATTTCTACCATGAAGCAGTTGTGTTTGCATGGCTGTGTTTCGGTTTGAAGGGTGGGATATGGCGTAAATTTACTGGGTACAGAGGAATAACACCTGAGTCCTAAGGAATGACAACGCTTGGAGGGTATCATGGGCGAAACAGTATACTCTGTTATGTCCATGATACCCTACAAGCGTTGTCATTCCTGAGGTACTACTCATGTATATAGGCGACGGTTACCATTTTGCATCAGGTGGGCCATCAGCTTGTTTGTCATTCTTAGTTGAATAAAAAAAAATTAACATCATATACTCAGGTCTGTAATCTCTTAAAGCAGTAAAATTAAGCTTCTAAAGCTTAATTTGATCACTGCTTTAAGAGATCCATGCAATCAAAGGATACGACCATTTATGTTCCATTTAGATTGCATATTTTGACATTCGCAAAGGGAATAAAAACCTATAGGGTACTTCTCGTTGACCTAGAACCATGAAATTTGGTAAGAAGCAATGTTATGTTCTTTAATGAATGTTAATGGATTGGTAAACCCACCTGCACTATCGGTATACGCTGGTGGGGCACCAGTGAGGGATGATAGGTGAGGATGAAAACAGATCAGTTAGCCCATCGTGACAAATCTAACAATAAATCAATCACGATGGTTTCCAGGGGGAACTACTAGGGGTCGACCTGACGGTATATTGCTAGCAATGGAGCCACTAATCCCCATTACTAACAATCCCTTCTCTCCCCAGCAACGTCATGCAGCACAAGTAAAGAAAAAAATCCGAAATCTGTAAATTTGTAATTATTACACAAAAAAATAAACTTGATGATTTTGTATGGAACCCTCTTTGCGCGAGTTCTACTCGCACTTGACCGGCTTTTACTTTTTACCAGAGGGAGACGTTGTGAAAAAGTCGTCTGCATGAGTAGGTATGTCTGTCGTAATGCAGCTGCGTTTACATGATTATGTTTCAGCTTGAAGGGTGGGATATGGCAATAAAATTACAGGGTACGAAGGTCTGACATCTTAGTGTAGTGTAGTGTAGTGTAGTCCTCAGGAGTGGCAACACATGAGGAGTACTATGGCTACCAACGTTTTACAGAATACGTTATTGTGTCACCAGTAGTTGCCATGCTTGGCAACTACTGGCGGATTGGCAACCACCACCACCAGGTATTTAAGAGGGCCATTGCAACCCTACATGAAGAAAGGGGTTGGGATAAACCTATTTTATGCCGAGATCATACGGCGATGTTAATATCATCAGGTGGGCCGTATGCTTGTTTGCCACCTCAGTGGTATAAAAACGGCAGTATTAAAATTTGTCGTTATTTAATTTTTGATCCACAAAATTTCTGTCCTTATATTCTAAAGTATCCCTATACGTATAATGAAGAATCTCCCTAGATTCTTCATTATACGTACCGCTAACGACGTCACCTTGTACTTGTACAAAGTAAATTCAATTTAAAACAATAAATAAGTTTAGCTGATAAACCACATGATGAGAAGCGTTACGTATAAATATTAACAGTACTATAGGCACCATAGAGAATACTGTGTTGTCTATGATAGTACTTATGGGTTATTATTAATTAGGGGTCTATCATGAAATGAAACTCCAAATTTTCGTACCCAATTTTGGGTTTTGTTCATACTGGAATCGACGCAGTAAATGAAGCTTAACATTTCATTTGTCGTAAATTCTACCATAAAAGTCCAAAGGAGCGATATTTTAATATTTTGAAACGATATGTATCATGTACTTTTAATATCAAATTTGTATTTCGTTCGGCTCCGAAATTTTGGAAAGCATTTCATGGTAGGTCCTCTGAAATATAGTGTAATATCTCAAATACCCTATAATTTCATTGCCATATCCCACGCTATAACTACTGCTGCTTGACGTCATAACGTGTCTGATAATTATGTTCAAAGTCTGCCTAGTGTAATCTTTGTTTAAATTTTTATATTATACAATTATTTTATTTATATATTTATTGAGGAGTACGAGTACTTACGTGTAAATATTAGTAAATAATTCATAATGCAAATAGAAGAAAACATTTTGATCCATATGGATAATCAATTAAAAATATATACAACGTGTGAAGTACAGGCCACATGTATTGTTTATAGTTTTAATTATTTATACTTTATTGTACACAATAAATTACATTCTTATAATTTATATTAAATAAAGATATACAACAGGCGGGCTTAAGTCTGTAAGAGTTCTCTTCCAGCAAACCCTTAGTGGTAAGGACCATTAATTACCATATAAATTATTAATTTTAAACTTAAAATAAACTCATTATTCCACTGTTTCCTTATAACTTCCTTTCACGGCCCTAATTTTCTAAGTTCCTTCTTACAATGTAAACATACATATATTTTCAATTTCCGTTCCGGATTTCCTTTGTCGTCCATACAACGTTTCTATCTAATATTTATGACATACACAAAGATACAAATTAAGTACATATTGTAATTAATTTAATTTCTTATTGTTACCTAACAACAGATCAGACGCTAGACGAGGCCGGTTTCAATGTATGGTCGAGAAATGAGCCAAATAACTATATGAACAGAGAATATTGCGGTTCCATCTTTAAGAAAGATGGGAGATTGAACGATATTGATTGCACGGGCCAGCGTTCATTTATTTGTGAGAAGGAGATAAAATAAGGTCAAGCATCGCACTGTGTAAGAGATAATTATGCATTATATTATAGATCCATAGAACTACTTAGAATAAGTATAAATATAATTAAGTTTTGAAAATAATTGAAATGCATTTTTAAATTTTTAAACCAAATTTGTAACATTCTTATAACAAAAATAGGATACGTATTTTTATATCTATTGTAACTATGAAATTGTCATAATATACAATAAAAATTAAACTTATTATTATGGAAATACAAACGTTGTAACTAATACTGAAAGTATTATTACTTATATACGAGTATGTACTACTTAATCTTAGATAGACTTGAGGTACTGACCGAGAAATTTTATTGGTTCGATATATTCTTTTGGAGACCGCCCAGAATGACGTCGGCGCTGTAAAGTTATGAAGATATTAGCAAAATCAACTATCATGATGTAAACGCCTAATCAAATATCCATTTAATATTTTGCAGATATATAAAAAAATTTCTTTTGAACCATCTTTAAAAAAAGAACAGGTTCTCAATTCAGTTCCATTTTTTGTCTGTTACCTCATAACTCCGTCATTTATAAATAGATCAGAAAAAAAAATATCTGAAAGTATACACTTTCACATTGGTTTCATATAAATTTTATCTTAATCGGTAAAGTAGTTTAATTTTTAAATTAAATAACTTGTATAGCCACGATTGAAGCAAATTGACTCGGTACTTCGTGATTTCGTAAGGCTTACAAAAAATATGATAGTATTGATAATTATTTTTCAAGATTACCTTATTTTGTTTAGTTTCTGTGAACCAGATGTACTGTCTACATTGATCATCTTATTCGGTGGAGATGCTGGTGTCGGTTTGGGTGCTGGGGTCGGTTTAGGGGCTACGGTTGAACTGCATGCTTTTGTAATTGATTGTTGTTCGGGTATTATTGTTACAAAATCAGAGTCGAGTAAAGTTAGTTTGGGTTTTTGGTCAGGTGTGTCATATTGGGATATGTTAGGTTCAATTTGGGCCTGCGCTGTGTGCGGAGCTTGTGGGGGCATATCTTGACCACTTTGTACGTTGTTTCTGCCATCTGATTTCTCTATAAGAGGCCGAGTGTCTATTGTATGCGAATTAAGTACGCTTTCTCTTAATAACATGGTCCGTCTCTGCAATAAAGAATTACAAAAATACTGACTTTATATTACTGTAAATGTGCACAAAAGTATTTTAGTATTTCAGATCCTTTGAAAGGAATTTCTTAAGCCATTTGCAGAACAAAAAGATATATAGGTAGGTACGTTACAGTTAGTCAATTGTTTAAGAACTAAGGTTTAATAAGGAAAACCTAGTTTGTTCGCACCGAATGTAAAGGAGAAAGAAAGTTTTTCTCCTTTATTTATTGAAGGTTCATTTTTTTGTAAAAAGGACTTAATATACACTTGTAAACTTAAATATAATTATTTGGAGTTTTGTCTACAACGAGCATATATTTTTTTATCTGACTTGTAAATCGAGATTTCTGTTACTTCAGTTAAATCAATTGATGTTGGATTTTCTAAAATATTACCCCCTGATAATATCGTTAAAATTTAATTCGCTTAATAGTTGGAGTTCTGTTGACATGATTAACTTTTATTTTTTCTAGTCTTAAGTAAATAATCTATTCGGTATTATTATTTCCTCATGAAACTCACCATACTTTGTCTTCTGACATTCCTTTTCAGTTCTTGCAGTCTTTCTTTATTTTTACGCTTGAGACATCCACACTGTAAGACAAATAGATTATTCTCAAAACGGTATGGATAAAGTTTGCTAACTCTTTAACTACTTGATGGTCTCCATAAAAAGATATGTTTATCAACCTCAATCAATACGTTTTTCAAAATAAGGGAGAGGCCTCAATTGTTGTCTTGGATATTGAGAAGGTCTTTGTTTGGATGTGGCACAAACTGCTGCTTTCAAAGTTGGGTTAATAGATTGTGCAGGAAGGTTGCCAGCTTTCTCAAGAAACAGAGCATTAAGGTTGTAGACAAAGGAGCATACTTTGATTTAAAACCTGGTATCCCAGATCCTGTTTTTATCCACATCAATGATATATTACTAAGCAGTAATATTCATTGCTATTCGAACGACAGTAAAGGAGATGAGCTCAGAATATTAACGATCAATGATCAAATCGATTCAACGAATAAAAATTGCATAGAAACATTGCACCTCTATGCATCTTTTATGGAATATAGCTTGGGGAGTATTCTGAAGAATTGTTCGATTCATTATCATGATACCAGCCAAGAAGAGACAATGAAACTCGAGACCCGGGGCTTGTTAGCTTCTGCGATGAATCGAAGCAAAGGGCTCGCCCAGAAATATCTTCTAGGAGAACTAAGAAGAATTGGTCGTTTGGTACTAGGCAAATTGTAAACATATCGACATCTGTGTATTATCAATTATCCAATCTTGTATCTATGCCTATAGCATACCTATATCTATACTGTATCGAAGAGAAAAATGTATATATGTACATACATACACGATTGATCAGGTTTAAATTTTTTTTTGATGGATGATAATGGAATGGTATCCCCGCTTGCGCTAACGGTATACGCTGGTGGGGCACTAATGAGGGATGATATGTGAGAATGAAGAGACAGGTCAGTTAGCCTATCGTGATGAAAACAACTTGGAATTCAACACGATGGTTTCCAGAGGGGACCACGTGGAGGTCGACCTGTTAGGCAATGGGAATGGTATTCCGCATCACTAACAATCCCTTCCCCCCTCACGATTAGTGTTAGTAATACGGTACCGCTCCGATATCTATCTTTCAACAGTAAAAAAATGATAATACCTCGTGTAAAATAAAACCTATGATGATTAGGAGCAGAAGTCCGACGAGGGAGGCAGCGATGATGATCCAAAGTGGTACCTCAACGTTGTACAGGAGAAGACTGCTTTTAATGCTGTATACAAAAAAAAAGATACGCCTTTAAAACTGTTGATGCATACACGAGTGTACTGTTTTACCACAAAAAAGAAATAAACAATTATATATTAATTAATTATAGGTTAACGAAAATAATAAAAAAAAAATAAAAAAAAATCTAAACTAATATTTAAAGAAAGTGTTAGATCTTTTGTAAAAAAAAAAATAGGTATTTTTATTAAAAAGAAAAAAGTGGGAAGCTGGGGAGGATTGCTGGTATGACAATATTTAGTTAGATTAGGAGTTATAACATATTTAACTTTTTTGTGGTAAGATTGTTATTGTTCAGTTGTTATTAACTATGTCAATCAACTATTTAATTAACATTAATTAATTAGTATTAATTAATTTAATTTCTACGCACGTTTTAGAATCTTTTTATGTCCTTAGTGAAATCCCGTGTAAATAATACAGAATGATATAATTTAAATTATCTTTAAAATACAATATTAATTTAAGATTGTATTTTAATCCGAACGTGTATCCCTTATACAGATATTGGGGAGAGACAGACGGATTTATCAAGATATTTTTTTATTATTATTTAACAACAATGAGCGATCATTCCATGATCGTTTGCTAATTGACAAAAATAATGGTCTTACATTCATATATTTATTATTATTATAAATTTTATTAACCTGTATGATTTGGTATCCTTTCCAAGAACAATTTCAAGACGGGAAACGACTGGGGCTCCTGCTACCTTCAAAAACTCTCCTGAGAAAAAAGTAATTTTGAATTAGAGAGACAATGTACAAAAGACCTCTATTTGCGTATCACTACATGTGTTTATAATTGTTCGTAATACTCTTTTAAAGCCCAATTGTTAGTAATATACCGAATTAGGTAGACTTCAAATAGTCCTGCATGGAAGCTATCGTGGTTATTCCTCTTGAATTTCTCACAATAGGCCAACTGAGTTTACTTCGTTGTCACCTATCATCTTCACTGGCACCCCGCCAACGTATACCGGTTAGTGTAGACATTCGTAGGTTAGGCTTATCATTCCATTTTCATACCATATCTGTTTGGATATATTCATAATACTCACCTAATGTTTTTGGTGGTAAGTTTATAGATAGGATGACTTCAATTTTACGGTTCGGCTTCAATATATTAACTATACATTTAGCTAAATACGTCTCATTTGTTTCATCAAATTCTGTACAGTCGTACACATCTTCAATATTTCTCTGTAAGTAATATCGGTTATATAATAATAATTAAAAAAAAAATTAATATATAAAAAATACTAATAGTATATTTAATAGTTTTTTTTTATGCAACTTAGAATGGAAAAAAAGTTGCCGGCTCACCTGATGGAAAGTAGTAACCGTCGCCCATAGACAGAGCGAAACAGTATACTCTGTTATGTCCATGGTACTATAGGCGATGGTTACCACTTTCCATCAGGTGGACCGTCAGCTTGCTTGCCATTCTAAGTTGTATAAAAAAAAGCCTAATATTACATACTTTTTAAGAAATAGTCCTAATTAGGAGTACATGAATATAATTTTAATAGTTTTATAGTATTTTTACTCACAGTGTAGTTGTTGATATAGGGCTGCTTCTTTAGAGTGATTATCATTGAAAAGTTCACCCAGGTTGTGGAAGCATTGTTGTGTATCTACAGGAAAAATAAAAAAAAATGTTACAGCTCTAGGCGTTGCTTTATTCTCTTTTATAATAGGTAATTATGGAATGGATACCTCGTCCGCTTCCGACGTTGTTTCGACATTATCCGGAGGTCTTCTTTAGAGGCTTATGGTGTACTCACTCACAGAACACACAAACAGTTCGTTAATTTGCCATTATATATGTATATTATAGACAGCGGATAAAAAATTAAAATAAGTTTTATAAATAATATTAATAGGAGCCCTTATTCATGAGTGCGGTTCTTGGCTGTTTCGCGAGCAGCACTACTCAATTAGCGCGCTGTTTGTCTATGTGCGCGTGCGGTCGGCGGTGGTGATAATGGTGACATAAAGCCGAAATAAATAATTACAATATGGTTATATTCTTATGATTCTACTTGTACTTTGAAAGTTGTTATTGTTATTGAGAAAAAAAAATACAAGAAACTCAACTAATAGTTACATATGTACCTTCTATGTCAGTATTCTGGTAAAAAAAAAAAAAACAATTAATTTAGTGTTATTTAAAGAAAAAAAAAGGAGGCGTAGATACATTTTACTCACGGAATATACGTGGTGCACTTGTTTCCCTGTAAAGTCTATATTGTCTTTTGTTACGTTAACAACGTCGCCACCTGTTGTCGATCTGAAGCAAATTATTTTATGTTAAATTCCATTACATATATCGGTTTAAATTATTGTTTGATATTTTAACGATAAAAAGACTTAAAATAGGAGAAGATTTCGAGGAATTTGGTTTTGTCTATATTTATTAATAGCTTTTACTCGCGTGATCAAGTTAAATGCCCTTTCTATAGTGAATGAGATGGAGAATTTTATTCCGGTCAGTGATTATATCCCGGTACTAATATTCCAACTTTAATGGCGATTGGTTAATCCGTTAAGGCACCAAGAGGTAATAAATAAATTCGCTTTCATGTTTATAACATTACTGTGGATATTTCTCTTTGTTATTTATGATGAAATTTTATTAGTAAAAATTAGCTTTAGAAAAAAATAAAAAAATTCTAAAATTCTAATTAAAGAAAAAATAATAGGTAAATAAATACTCTTCATTGTTTTCTCCAAAAGATTACTACAGTAAACTTATTCTAGATATAAATAATTACAAGAAATAATCACAATGAAAAAACCTTATCGCTAAAAGCGATCTCTTCCAGGCAACCTTTGGATGAAAAGGAGTAATTATGAACAGTTTGATTGGAGGCACGATGAAGATCCTATTATTTTTAAATATGGAGATGTAATACATGTAATAATATAAACATATATATCCCTACTCATTAATATATACATATATATACATACACACATATACACATATATAGACATATACACATGCATATAAATACCTACACAAATACATAATAATGTTTTATTTTTATTAATAAATTTCCATGTAATACGTTATTACGTATGATACATAATATTCTTATTAGAATATTATGTATCATACTCAATTCAATTTATTCATAACAATAAGATATTATAAAAAAAATATTAAAAAAAAAGTAAGAAGGAGGAATAAAATAATTAATAATAATTGTCCAAATATTATAAAATTAACAAATTGGGTAAATCAAACTTATACGGGATGAAAGCGAAGTCGTTAAACTAACAATCTACCGGTACTATAGGACAGAAATGTCGTGAAACAACACTTCAAACATAAAATTTGCATTATCCTTCAATATTAATCTAACAATTGGACTTAAAATTGTCTTTAACTAGACACTATTTTAATTATTTCTCTCCATCCTAAGGTTGCCTGAAAGAGATCGTTATTTAGTGATAAGGCCGTCTACTGTTGCATCTTTATCTTGCTTTCTTATATTACTGAGGTGGCAAACAAGCATACAGCCCACCTGATAGTAAGCGATCACCGTAGCCTATGTACGCCTGCAATACCTACAATGCTTTTATGTAATGAAGTTTATGTACGTAATTAAGTAATCATTTTGCTTGTGTAAATATTGTTAAACTTTATAATCTGTATCATTTTTTGAAGGAAACAATAAAGGGTTTTCATTCTTTCTTTCATTCATTCATATTGCCATAGTGGTAATATTTAGTTTTGCTTCTAGAACACTCCTGTCACGCTAATGATTTTGGTTTTAGCCTGATATAAATAAAAACTATTGCTCCAACTTACCCTTTAACCGTCACGCCTGTGCTGTCCGTTAGCAATGGAATCACTTTCGTAAATGTCTTCGACACATTCCCGTCGCATCGATTAAATAGTGCTACATTAACCTTAACGGATTCATCGTTGCTTCTGAGGCTTTGTGTATCAAGCACTATGAGATCGTTATCCTGTAAAATATATTTTTTTAAACTAATTTTTGCCAGCAACTGCGTACGTGTAGAATTTGAAAGTTGGTAATCATTTGTAGATGGCGTGTCAATACAAAACATATATTAGACTTTAAGTTACCAAATGTGCACCCAATGGGCGTTTTTATACTTTTCCGTGAAACTTCACGATATCGTACATTTTTATTGTGACGATACAAAGGGAGAGCAAAATGTGTGTAGGTATTTGTATGAAGACGCTTTTAAACATTTCATACGATAAATGAAAATAAATGTGTTGATAAAGGAAACCATTATTGAACCATTTAATGTTATCTTTCGTGGGAAAGGAAGGGGTGGCCCATTCTATGCCGGGACCACACGGCAAAGGTTGATATAAATAAAGGTTAATAATTCGTGTGAAACTTACAAAGGCTGTATTGTTTCTTAACAGTACTAATGGTCTGCATTTCAATCCGTCTCTGCCATCATCCCAGTTGCAAGAGCGAGGCCATTCTTTGATACGTACTCCTTTCACGTCCACGTAAAAGCAAGCGTCATAGGCAACATCGCCTGAATTGCCTACTTTTATGTTCATCGATTCGGTTTTGCTACTGCCTATAACGTATGATGGCCTGTAGTGACAATGATCAGGTAAAGTAAATAATTATGAACTATTATTGTATTTAAAACTCCCCTTATGGGGAAGGCTTATGTTTAGCAAGGGAAAGTTAAATGATGAAAATTATATTTATATATGATATATAAATTTATACAAATTATTCAGTTTTTATAGTTTTTTTTTTGTAAATGAGAGTGTAACCCTGTATTTATTACAATAATAGTAAATAAGTAAATTCAAAAGCCCAAAAGTCTTAGAAATTCAAATGACGTACTTTTTATGCCACCATCATATTAGCCATTAACTGTCTACTGCTGAACATAAGCCTCCCCCATAAGGGGGGTTTACTAGTAGTTGCCACGTTTGCTAGGCGGGTTGGCAACCACAGTTAGGATTTGGTGATGTTTAAACAGGAACGCTGCTGTCCATCCCTCGACCGTTAAGTTTCCTTAGTCGCTTCTTACAATTCCCACGGGAATGGAAGGGTTGACCTATTCTATCGAGGGTCCACATGGTGTTTATAACTTTTTAAATACATGTTTTAAATGTACATTCTTTAGATATTCATAGGTTACAGATTATCTCAGTTTTAGTAACAGAAATATTGTCACATATTTTAATATATCATGAATTGTACCTTATGCAACTGCATCTTTCTTGAATAAAAAAAAAATAATATTAAAAAAAACCATAAATCAATTTAAAAAGAAACAAATGGCATTGATATTAATAAACTCTAAATAGTTTCTAAGTTCGATGACATAAGAGCCTCCGATGAGCCAATAAACCATCAATAATCTATTGAGGTATAAAGGATTTAAGATAATCTTCCGCAGTAAGCACGTTTGAGTAAGTAAATCTTTGGGTATAAGATATTGGGGATAAAGGTTCGCAGTAAGCGTCCTATTTCTTTACATTAGGAGTCTGCACTTGACAGTTAATATATTAAGAAAAATTGGTTTTATAAAAGTATAATTTATTCCGTAAAATAACGGATTCAATAGTGGATACACCAGGGATGGCCTTTATCTAATTGGTGTCCGTTGACAAGTTTTTAACAGTACCCTCCTAATAGGAAAAAAAAACTTTTTTAAAAAAACTAGGAGCCCTTCTTGGCATTTGGTATCTCGGTTGGACCTCAGTGCATCCTTAGACCTCAGTGTCCCGATTGGACCTCGGTGCTCCCTTGGACCTCAGTCCTTTCTTTTGACATTGGTGCCACCTTGGACCTCGACGTGCCCCTTGGATCTCGGTGCTCTCTTCGACCTTGGCGCTCCACTTAACCTCAGTGTCCTCCTTTGACCTCCAAGTTCCCCTTGGACTTCGATGTACCCTTGAATCTTATTGTCCTTTGGATTTTAGTGTCTCTCTTGGAGCTCGGTGGCCCACTTGGATTTCGACATCTTCTGGTGCCTAAGCGTAATTACACCTAACGTTGATCTTGGGACATACACATACATACACACGAATACATAAAGAGGATGTTTCGTAAATATTTTGCGTTGTAAATATTTAATACCCACATAATTTTGAATCCACAATTACGCGCTTACATGTAAATTGTGTTTTGCAATGTTAAAACGGGAGTAAATTTCTATCGATTGCAAAAGAAATATGAAAATCGGATTTGAATTGGTGACAGCCTAAGACAGTCGAAAAATAAAATAAAAATTCGAAAGAGAATAAAAAATATAGTTATCAATTGATATAACTTATTAAAAGTGGAGAGATCTTCACTATTACTACAAAAAAAAAAAAAACTTACGATAAACAGATGTTTAATACAATGATCATACGTCTAATTACAAAAGTGTGCCTAAACAGATAGGTCTAAATAAAAAAGTATTAAAAATAAAAAAAAAATTAAAGTAATAAATATTATCATAATAATCTACATACTAAACAATATTTAATTGGTCAGAGTTTTATGAAACGCTACTCAAGTAGACAGTGTTTTAAATTATTTGTGCGTTTAATTGGTGTTTAAAATTGATTATTATATTAATATACTTACGGAAAAGAAAGCTTCACATATAAGTATAGTTTGGGTATACATTCACCTCCACTGCACTCGTTTATCGAGACCGAATCAGTTATCGACGTGTCACCGCTGTCACTCATAACAACTCGGGACTGATTGAAGACTGAATGATTCCTCGGATCATCGTGGAGTGTCATTGATATTTTGTAATGGACCAGTGGGTCATATGTGTCCTCCTGGAAAATATAATATAATATTATCTGTCTATAAAATAATATCAATAAATACTCATATATATATATAAGTATGTTTGTTATTTATATATATTTATTTGTTTATATATATAAATTTTAGTATGTATGCACATCAATTATTACTAGTACTGTATTCGAGTATTTTTTTATGAATGGCAAACAAACTGACGGCCCACCTGATGGAAAGTGGTAACCGTCGCCTATACACATGAGCAGTACCATGGATATAACAGAGCATACTGTTTCGCCCATGATACTCTATTCCTCTTAACCTGTAAATCCACTGTCATATTTCACCCTTCAAACTGAAATACAGCCATGCAAATACAATTGCTTCCAAGCAAGTACCCAAGGTACCTTACTGTACTGTTTCGCTTATGATACCCCCCATGCGTTGCCATTCCTGAGGAATCAGGTGTTATTCCTTTGTACCCCATTAATTCACGCCATTCAATAAAAATAACAAGACTAACTTAAGTTTATGCATAATTAATTATAGCTTATTTCAATTTTTTAATTTATTCTGCTACATTAATCTGCACAATATGCTTTTTATCGACCGGACCGTTCCTTATGGCAGTCTATGGGGGAGGCCTATGTCCAGCAGTGGACGGATAATGGCTGAAATGATGATGATATGCTTCTTACCAGTGGTGTAGCAATTGTCACGTCTCTACAGTATTTCGTTGTTTTATTGTACAATACATGCACCGGTATATAATGCGTCAACACCGTACCGCTGTTGTCTGTTGCATTTTTTAATTTGCAGTTCTGGTGTATTATTGCAATTGTCACAGAGACATCTGAGGGTGGGGAAACAATTGATTAATTATATTTAATGCGTGACTTAATGTTTGATTGAATGGTTGATCGAATCAGTTATTGAACGAGAGATCGTATGTTCAAACAAATGATTGATTGCTAGATTTGTTGGCGGTTTTCTTCAAATTTGGTCGTTGCGATTCTTACAACAAGGTTCAATTTAGAAAAGCACAAAGTTGTAATATGACATCTAAGAAATAATATCTATAAAACTTACTTGCATAGATATGCTTCAATTTTTTAGGATACTCGATATCGATACACGAATGAAATTTAAATAAGGGTCCTGTTGTTGAAGTACTTCTAAGTTTTTCCTGGAAAAAAAATAAAAATATTTTGTTTTAAACTAATCGTAATATATATATATATATATATATATATATATATATATATTATATGGTTGAATTTTGAATCATTGAATACCTATGTAAGTAAAAATTTTTTTTTTCTGTCTATCTTTTTTTTTATCCAACTTTGAATGGCAAACAATCTGACGGTCCACCTGATGGAAAGTGATAACCGTCGCCTATAGACATGAGCAGTAGCATGGACATAACAGAGTTATACTGTTTCGCCCATGATACCCCCTATGCCTTGCCATTCCTGAGGACTCAGGTGTTATTCCTCTGTACCCAGTTAATTCACGCCATATCCCACCCTTCAAACCGAAACACAGCCGTGCAAACACAGCTGCTTCACGGTTGAAACACGAATGGGACAGAGGTACCCAAGCAATCGACTTTTGTACAAAGTCTCCCTCTTTCTGTCTATCTGTATTTTTGTTCCGACTTTACTCAAAAACTACATCTAATTTAGTGTACTAGACTAAATTAGATGTAGTTTCCACCGTAGTATTCCTGAGAATCGAATTAAAAATCTGGAGTATATTTTATTTTGATGCGCCATCTATACATGACTTATATTTGGTTTTCACTTCCAAAATCCAAGCGTACGAAATCAAGGGTAAGTAAAAAAAGTACTGACCTTGTCGGGTTTTAGTTTTTGCACTCGGAATGTGATTGTCGCCATGCACCTAAGCACAACGACCATATTGTTATTAGGCGCTCCGATAGCCAATTCTGGAATAACGTTACATACGTATGTATGAATACGTGAATTTACTGGGTACAGAGGAATAACACCTGAGTTCTCAGGAATAGCAGAACGGCGAACAAGCTGACGGCCCACCTGATGGAAAGTGGTAACCGTCCCTATAGACATGAGCAGTACCATGGACATAACAGAGTATACTGTTCCGCCCATGATACCTCCCATGCGTTGCCATTCCTGAGGACTCAGGTGTTATTCCTCTGTACCCAGTAAATTCACGCCATATCCCACCCTTCAGACTGAAACACAGCCATGCAAACACAACTGTGAAGCAGTTGAAACACGAATGGGACAGAGGAACCCAAGCAATCGACTTTTGTACAGTCTCCCTCTGGTAAATGACAATTAGAAAATTCAAGTGCATAAAGTACAAATAAAAAATTTACATAAGGATATAAAAAACGGCCTAACGCTAGGGCAATATCTTACAGACAACCTTTGGTTAAAGGAGAACAGATAGAAGTGGGGGTAGGTGGCGCAATAGGGAAATAATATCTTTTTCTCAAACATGCTTGGAAATGTGAGCATTATTTTGACAATCGTCTTCGAGATAAATCAAAATTGCCGTACTGGCTAGATAAATGCGGGCAGCGGCCGGCAAAAGTTGTATGAAAATCCATATATGTCGTGTTTTGCGTCCAGATAAATTACTGTGTAAACTCATATCTGTCCTGTAATTTAAAAATGGAATGACCTTTTACTTCGAAATATGGCTACCAAGGTGGTAACTAATAAAAGGTTTTATTTAAATTTCGAACTAGCTTGCAAATAGAAAGATGTTTATTGAAAAAAACAAAGGAACATTATGGCGCGTGAAAAATTATTATTGATCGTTATTCATCATTGAACTTAAAAAGTAAAATTGTGTTTTTGATTTCCGCGCATTGTTTGAGAAAAGTACTATACAAGCCTTGGCCACAACTAGGCATTGATGGACTCACGTATGTGTGCCTTGGCTACGCCTCGGCCCACATTTGCACGATCGTCCATCAATGCCTCAGTTGCTGGCCGCTGCAGTAATGTACTATTTTAATATCCTCATGAATTAAAAAAAAATGAATTTTTTCTTATATTTTTTGTGAATAAAACATACCGTTACAACCATTTTCATCATAATCGTCAATAATCGAGACACTCAAGCCAAATGCTTGGAATCCTTCCGGTTGTATGCGCTGCAACCAGGTCAATTCTTTCGTCGATTTGGTGAGCAAGTGCTTCCCGGAGTATATATACACTGCACCACGACCATCGTCTTCATATGGTGCTGAAATTGCTACCTCTGAAAAAAAAATGCTGCGTTTTTACCAACAATTTAATTCAAATCTTTCCAGTAATTTTTGGGTAAAAGAGTATGAAACATCCAGTTATCCATCGCGGCATCGTTACAAACGTTTATATGTATTATAGGATTTGAAAATGTGTTTGTTTGTTGGTTCTTTTTTTTTGATGGGTGAAAATGGCATGGTAACCCCGCCTGCGCTAACGGGATACGCCGGCGAAGTTGTTTGTTGGTTTGTTACCTCTTAGCGCCTTAACGGCTTAACCAATTAGTATTAAATTTCCTATACAAGTACTATATGGGATGTAGACGTAGGTTAATGAAAAAAATTACAAAAGAGATTTATCGAGTATACATTCATACTCGATAAATCTCTTTTGTATTTTTTTTATCCATTTCCGCCTTAATGGCCAGTAACCTACGTCTCCATCCCATATAGTACTTATATACTAAATGTAATATTAATTGGTTAAGCCGTTAAAGCGCTAAGAGGGAACAAACCAAAAAACAAACACATTTTTAAATCCTATTAATACATACAAACGTTTGTAACGATGCCGCGATGGATAACTGGATGTTTCATACTCTTTTACCCAAAAAATTACTGGAAAAATTTGAATTAAATTCGGTACACGGATAGGGTATATCCTAACGTAAACTAAGATATTTCCGGAGCCGCGTGATACAGTTAATAAGTAAGGATAAATACCAGATTCCATTCGTTCATCAGTTTAATTGTCAAGTTAAACATTTTAAAATACATGTATATGTATTTTAAAGTGGTCACGCTTATTAAAAGTGTTTAATAGTCCTCACCGTCCCATCCGTCACCGTTCAAGTCTCCAAGGCTGGCCAGAGTGTAGCCGAAATAACTTCCATCCTTTTGACCGTAAACAGTAGATTGAAGCTTCATATTCTAAAATAAAACATAATACCATATACTCTTATCGTATACAATTTGTGTTTTCCTGTAAGCTATTTATATGTACTCTTTTGATTTTCCTTAATATTATTGTAACGTAGTCATAATTATATTATTATTAACAAATCCTTTATAATAAAATATGTTATGTTTATTTTAAAAACATGTAAGAGACAAAGAAATATTAATATGAATAAAAAAACCTATCTAAATGTATAAATGCATACGGAACGACATCATACTGATGACCATCAACTCTTATTACATTACCTGTATGAGAGTCCTTACTTACATTCAGCAGTGTATATAAGTATATCCAGATACTCACACGCTAGTCCCTGTTGAATGTATAAATGTATACAGAGCGATATCATACTGATGACCATCAACTCTTATTACATTGTTTACCTGTATGAGAGTCCTTACTTACATTCAGCAGTGTATATAAGTATATCCAGATACTCACACGCTAGTCCCTGTTGAATGTATAAATGCATACGGAGCGATATCATACTGATGACCATAAACTCTTATTACATTGTTTACCTATATGAGAGTCCTTACTTACATTCAGCAGTGTATATAAGTATATCCAGATACTCACACGCTAGTCCCTGTTGAATGTATAAATGCATACGGAGTGATACCATACTGATGACCATCAACTCTTATTACATTGTTTACCTGTATGAGAGTCCTTACTTACATTCAGCAGTGTATATAAGTATATCCAGATACTCACACGCTAGTCCCTGTTGAATCTATAAATGTATACGAAGTCGATATCGTACTGATACTTATATACTTGTGAATCTATATGAGACATCTTAGTTACATTAAAAAAAGTATATACAAGTAATATATACAATACTCGGCGAGTCTCTGTTGAAAGTTTACAACGCTGACGTCGTATTCATGTATCGTTACTGTGTATTATTATTACCTCGTGTATATGAGAGTCCTTATTTATATTCAACAGTGTATTCAAGTATATCGAGCTACTTACACTCGAGTCCCTGCTGAACGTATAAATGTATACAGCACCGACATCGTACTGTTGATCGGCGGCGTGCGCGGGCGCACCGACCAACAGCGCTGACCTTGTTCTCTCGAGGCGAGCAGAACACATCGATGCCCCGTATAGAGACCCCACTCGGTCAATAGTGTTATCTTTAATTGAATACCACTTTTTCGTCTTCTCATCATATAATAGTATCTGAAAGTACGAAATTAGGATATGACATCTAGTCTCTCTGTGTTTAATTTAATTAAAATCTATTTAGCCATTTAAGAATATTAAAGTAACAAAAATCCAAATAAATTTACAAATTATAAAATAGGCATGTAACTTAAAGTTTTGATGTCGTGAATGAAAAAGTATCTCATGAATTAAATTAGGATATTCATTTTTTCTTCTTATAGTACCTCTCCAACTAGTGAAGGTAGGCTGTCAGCTCAAGAAATCTGTTCCTGTCTTTTGCAAGATGGAATAATTCGGTTGCACTCACAATGTCTGTCCACTTCCGGATGTTGCAGAACCAAAACTTTTCTGCGACCGACCCTTCTCCTTTTTAAAAATTTTACCCATCATAATTACGTATAGAAAGGTAATATCTGTCATGTCTAAGTACATGTCCCAGATATGAAATTTTCCTTTTTTTATGATGGGTAGTGCTTGTGCTTTTGTGCTGTTGCTTAGTCTGTTGCAGAACTTCTACATTGGTGATTTTCTGTGTTCAACTTATTCTTAACATCCGTTTGTATGTTGCAAATGTTTTTCAGCGTCTTTTTTAATTGATTACGGCATCCGTATAGAATTATGAGCCAAATTCAGGTTTTCGTTAGATATGTAAATGCTTTATTTATTTCTCAATTTATTATTAGAATCCTTTTAATCAAAATCAATGAAATCTTTGTACATTTTAACATTTACGGCTAGGATTATTTTTTTATACAACTTAGAATGGCAAACAAGCTGACGGCCCACCTGATGGAAAGTGGTAACCGTCGCCTATAGACATGAGCAGTGCTATGGATATAACAGAGTATACTGTTTCGCCCATGATACCCCCTATACGTTGCCATTCCTGAAGACTCAGGTGTCATTCCTCTGTACCCTATAAATTTACGCCATTTACGCCCACCCTTCAAACCGAAACACAGCCATGCATGCAAACACAACTGCTTTACTGCTCTTGCTCTACTCTTGATATAATTTTGTTGAGATAGTTCTTCCATATAGACTAAATATGAAAAAAAAAAACATAAAAATACCTTTCCATATCCAACTTCACCATATGGCGTGCTGAATGCAAAACTCGTTACACCATCTCTTAAAAAATGGCCGACTGCAATACTGTAACCTAAAATAATTGATGATTAAAATTTCACTCTACAAATAAGTCATATTACTAGGTACTTAATTACTAAAGTTTAAGTTAAAATAACTGTAGGTTTTAGGCTAATAATAATAATATAAAATAAATTCTATTGAAATACATAGAATTATGTATATCGAATTTTACTGTACATTAAAGTTTAAATAAATAAATAAATTATGAAAAATGAAAATCGCGATCAAAAATATATAATATGAAATTTATTTTAAAACTAGCTGTTGCCCGCGACTTCTTCCGCGTTTCCGTCGTTCCATGTAAAATAAATAGCTTATGTCCTTCGTCACGGTTCAGTGGTTTTGATGTAACAGACACATTTCCCTTCACTGCTCTGCTCCTATTGATCGTAGCGTGATGAAAAGTATACTATAATCTGCCCAGGAGTATGAAGAATAATTGTACTAAGTTCCGTTAAAATCCGTCGAGTAGTTTTTGTTTCTATAACGAACATACAGACAGAAAGACAAAAATTTTACTGATTGCATTTTGCCATCAGTATCGATCACTAATCACCCCCTGATAGTTATTTTAGAAATATTTTTTATGTACAGAATTGACCTCTCTACAGATTTATTATAAGTATAGATAAAGAACCCCCTTCTATTTCTATAAAGTTAATTTATGCAAGTTTCTTTCTTTGAATGCGTTAATGGAATACATAATTTGGATTACTCATCATTCGATATTTTACTTCACGAATCGAATAAGTAATCGATTATTCACGATTCAGTCTTTCGTCGTATCATTATAGAGAAAATAGGTTTTTATTGAATATTATTTACTTACCAAAATTATACTGTATCGACTCCAATTCCTGTCCGTAGATCAAAGTTGGTCTTACTGATTTCAAATAAATATCAGAGTACTGCATAACTCGACCTGTGAAGTTTAATATAAATATTTTAGCAAACAGTTTAATAAAAATAGTAATAAGTTTAATAAGTTTAATAAATGTAAATAAAATAAACTACTCTAAATAAAATCTACTACTTACTAGTGTGAAATATTATATCAAGTATGTTTTCAGTTAGGACACAATCTGTGTTCCAAATATAATTCAAATCCGTTCATTATTTCATATATATATATATATATATGTCCAGAGAATAAAATGGTAATTAGAACTAAATTTTTCAGGAAAAATTAAAAAGTGACGATTTTTTATTACTTATTGTTTTTTTTACTCGACTGTGTGACACAAAGGAGAACATTGTATTTATCGGCCCATGTATATACGTAGGCCCATGTATATACGTACAGAACAAATGTGTAGGCCGATTTTAATGATTCTTACGACAATCAATTCGTTTTAATCCTGTGAATGGCGACAATCATATGCCATATTGTTAAAAAAGGAGATGAAATATATAAGGTAATACAAACATTTTTTTTTGCTTTTTATATTATTTTATAATATATAAAATAACATAATATAAAATAACATAAAAAGTAAAAGAGTTTGTCAGTTTGTTGTAAAAAATATATTTTGCTTTATAAATCAAATTACCTTTGTAGACCGCTGGACCTCCTACAGTCACATTCCGACCAGCAACAACCATGCTCCATCCATAGGAATTCATTAGACGTTCTGCAATCACAATATTTCGTTAAGAGCATTTATAACTTTTGTTCACCGTAGTGTGGCAACGTTGTACATACGAGAATCTATTAATTTTTAAAAACAATCGAAGAAGTTACAATGTTTCTGATTGATTTATTTGAAAAGTGTTCTGCCTACGAACTAAGACGTTTATTATAGAATACGTTGCATATAACGTCTATCACTAAAAACATTGTACTTATTTCAAAAAAATGTTCAGATACCTTTTTTGACAATAAATATTATTAAACTAAATGATATTAATTTACAAAAAATGGTCTCAAACTGTTTTTTAATAAATAAATAAATTAAAATGCAAAATTTTAGCAACAGCTTAATAAGTATATGAATTATTTATTGCATGCACGAGAATTGTTTTTCTAAATAAAGTTTCTTGAGTGGCGAAGGGCAAACGCAGTGTAGGACCATCCCCCATTGTCCTCCATGTGTCACTCCATGACTACATGCAATGCCTTAAATGCAATGCAGGAAGTCGGTGGATGCAGGTGGCTTAGAACCGTTCCTTGTAGCAGTCTATGGGGTAGGCCTATGTTGAGCAGTGGACAAATAATATCTGAGATGATGATGATGATGATTTAAATTTTAGTTCGATTGTAGAGATTTGTTTAAATAATTAATAAGAAACACTGAAAATTAAATAAATTGTATTTGAGAAAATTGTCACATAATTGGGACGTTGCTGCAATTCATCAAGCTAAAGATGTCAAGAAAGCTTAAAGAACGACAACTAATTAGCAAAGTAGGAATATAAAATTAAAATGTGTATTGATATAAGTACCAGAGGCCTATACTAATTTTTTATAATCAGATTGGTCATATTCTACACTGAATACGTCTTTGTCTATGGTTCTATCTGAAGGAGAGATTCTCAAACTCAAATCATGTTTATTAAAATAGACTTATAAATCTAAGGAAGGAATCTAAGGAAGGTTGTTATCTGTTAAAAGAGCCCGCAAGAAACTCAACAGTTAGTCTTTTGAATCTCTGTTAACATTTTATGTATTTATTCATGCTAAATGGTCAGTAAGTAGTAAATGAAATGTGTATGTATTATTTTTTTTTATACAACTTAGAATAGTAAACAAGCTGACGGTCCACCTGATGGAAAGTGGTATCGTCGTCTATAGACATGAGCAGTACCGTGGACATAACAGAGTATACTGTTTCGCCTATGATACCTCCCATGCGTTGCCATTCCTGAGGACTCAGGTGTTATTCCTCTGTACCCAGTAAATTTACGTACATATTGTACATATTGATAAAATTTCATGATGATGATAATAATATGTATTTACCTTAAATTGTATAAATAGAGCATTGACCCTTAAAAACGGGTCAAGTTTTTGTCAGCTAATTATTAAATTAGCCGACTCGTTTTTTTATTATTTATATTCCATATATGTATTTACCCACACGGTGTATCATAACGTATGTATATTTAATTATTTAATAAATAAAATGAGTTTCTGCGCATTAAAAAAGTGTAGAATTTATAAGACAAAATGAATATATAACTTGTAAAGGAATCGCTCATAATTATTTATCACGCAAAATTGTATGAAAATATTGGCCCGTTTTTCTCGAAGCATTTGTATGAAGATACTCTATCTATATAATCTAAGATATTTACATATAAATAATCTGTTATAAAAATTCTATTATTAAAATAATAAAAGGATAAAAAATATATTTAAAATTATGCTACTCTTAAAATATCTACAATTCTATAATTTTAAATATAAATAGATTAGATTAATTTTATTTTACTCACCCTCGGGACCCTTGACTGTTTTGTCATAAACTATATTCAAATTATCTGGTCGAAAGTGCTTAGATGCACTTGAATACTTATAGCAGCGGCTTTGTGTTCCGTTTACTGTAAATTCATGTAAAAATAGATTTTTTACACAAGCATATTATAACAAAGCATAATAGATAAAGGTAAATAGACCTAAAATATTTTATAAATTTTTAATTCACCGGCCTCTCCCAATGAACGGAGGGGGGGAGAACGGTTATTAACTTACCAGAGGAAGTTACCAGAGGGAGACTTTGTACAAAAGTTGATTGCTTGGGTACCTCTGTCCCATTCGTGTTTCAACCGCGAAGCAGCTGTGTTTGCATGGCTGTGTTTCGGTTTGAAGGGTGGGATATGGCATGAATGTACTGGGTACAGAGGAATAACACCTGAGTCCTCAGGAATGGCAACGCATGGGGGGTATCATGGGCGAAACAATATACTTTGTTATGCCCATGGTACTGCTCATGTCTATAGGCGACGTTTACCACTTTCCATCAGGTGGGCCGTCAGCTTGTTTGCCATTCTAAGTTGTATAAAAAAAAAATTATAAATATCATCAACTAATATCTGTCCACTGCTGAACATAGGCCTCCCCCATAGACTATCATAAGGAACGACCTGAAGCCAAAGGACTGAGGGATTTTCCTCCAGGTATTTGTCATTAAGGGGTGATATATATAATAGGATGTGATATATATATATATATATATATATATATATATATATATATATATATATATATATATATATATATATATATATATATATATATATATATATATATATATAATATATATATATAGATAGGAAGTGAATTCCAGAGATGTACAGCATGTACAGTAAATGACTTGGCATAGCTTTGAGTATTCATAAGTCATTACTATATCTCAGGCGAACATCAATTTCACGAAATTTGAACATTTCCGTATATACGTATTATTTGAGATAGAGAAGTATATAGGCTATTTTATGTCCCGATTAGTGAACATACCCCGACGAAGTCGCGGGAAAAGCTAGTATATTATAACACCCACGGTACTCTTTATGCGTTATCATTCTTGAGGCCTGTTTACGGTGTTACGTTTCTGTATCATGTAATTCCATTGTCATGTCTTACTCTTCAATAAATACGGCCTATGCAGTAAGGCGCAGCTGCTTCACGGCGAAAACAAAAGTGGGACAGAGGTACTCAAGCGGAAGACTTTTGTGCAAACTCTCCCTCTGATAAAATTCGACGATATTTGAATATTTTTCTTTTATAATTAATGGAATATTTAGGTGATATAAGTAATATTTAGTGTATTTGTCGATGTAATGTAGCGTAGACTACAGAGGGCCTACCATGAAATATTTTCTGAAATTTCGGGGACGAACGAAACAGAAATTTAATGTAAAAATTACATAATACGTGCCGTTTAAAATTATAAAAAAAATATTAAAATATCGTTCCTCTGGACTATTAGGATAGGATTTATGATAAACGAAATGTTAAGCTCCATTTACTGGGTCGATTTTGGTATAAACAAAAACACGAAATTGAGCCCAAAAATTTGGAATTTCATTTCATGGTAGACCACCAGATTATAAATTATAATATCTACACTAATAACACAGTATAAAGAAAAAGGAAAGATTTGATTTTAATGGATAAGCTAAACAAGCACTAAAATAATTTTAAAAATTTCACCTATACAAAGATACATTATCAGTGAGTAATATAAGTTGTATATGTTATTTTTATAAATTCTATCTAGCCGTGAGAAATAGGGCTGTATTGTTAGTACTTATATAAACATATATACGCACATACACATACAAACACACACACCCGTGCGCGCGCACACACCCATACACACATACATACACACACATGTATGGATCTGTACAGTAATACTAATATTTTCATTTATTTTTCACTTCCTTAAAACTAGACTTGACTTGAGCAAAGAAAATAAAAATATTTTCCGAGACATTATTTTAGCAATACGAATCAGGTCAAAACACTATAAATTTTAAATTGTTAGCGATCCATTGTAGTTGCTACTACATAATGCTGTGACCTGTGATAGACAGACGGACATAGTTGCAACATGAGGTTGCTCTGAACCGTTTTGGTGTAAAACATTAAAAATCTACTTACCCTTTTTTATTATCGTCAAATATCGTGGTGCACAAGTCTGCAAAAAAAGTACAAGTTACCAACAATGGACTTTATTTTATGGTTTTTTGTATATTATAAAAAAAATCAATTCAATTATGATTTCTATTAAAACTTTTAAATTTTCATGTGGAATATATTTTACTCTAAAACGCCGAAAGATTTCTACCCATCTTTTGTTAAGTTCTATTTTGTCATTGTTCCATTTCTTAAATTTTATATAGATACTAGCTGACTCGGCATACGTTGTTTTACCATATACATTATTTCGAGAACTATACATGAAAATTTATCCTACTACAATTATAATATTCGATTGCCATCTTGCAACCCTGTTGCGGAATATAAAAATAGTGATTAACAAACAGACGTTGATTGTAAAACGGTGAAAATTTGAGGTTGTATATATTTTTCAATGCTAAATCATAATAAAATAAAAATGGAAAAATTTGTTAAAAAAATAAAAAAAAAAATTTTGGTGAGGGTCATCCTATAGGGTCCGATTCTCAGACCTACCCAATATGCACACAAAATTTCATAAAATCGGTAAAGCCGTTTCGGAGAAGTTTGGTAACAAACACCGTGACACGAGAATTTTATATATAAGATACAAATGAGTACTTTCAGAGTACAGGGTTTTAAAAGAGTACGGTTTGCGAAAAAAGGTGAAAACTCAGTAAATGAGTATGATTGGTCACCTTAAACAAGTGAATTGTTGCATTGGGCAATTCATTTGTTACAAATTTCACTCCTGTATAGGTTTGGCATATTTCACAAGTCACAAGTGAAATTTCATATTCTATGTCAAATCATGTGAGTATATAACTGCAGCTACGTCGCTTTACAAACAGTGTTACCTAAAAGTGCTACATATCACTTGAAATGAAACCGCAGATGGTCGCTACGTTTGGATCTATTCGTGTATCATCGGCTGCGGTTGGTTAGCAGTGAAATAACATCTGACGATTGACTGGACCATACAGAACGAGCGAATAGAGACTTTATCCCACTGTGTTAAAACGTCTATCATAAAAATATAATTTATATATTATTTTCAATAGGAAATAGTAGTGAATACAACATTAATTCATTGCGAGCTAAAATCACAATTCGTGATTTTTCACAGGTGATATCACTGTGAATAAGAATAATAAATGATAATGAATTAAATGCCGTAATATTTTTTTTTATACAACTTAGAATGGCAACCAAGCTGACGGCCTACCTGATGGAAAGTGGTAACCGTCGCCTATAGACATGAGCAGTACCATGGACATAACAGAGTATACTGTTTCGCCCATGATACCCCCCATGCGTTGCCATTCCTGAGGACTCAGGTGTTATTCCTCTGTACCCAGTAAATTCACGCCATATCCCACCCTCCAAACCGAAACACAGCCATGCAAACACAACTGCTTCACGGTTGAAACACGAATGGGATAGAGGTACCCAAGCAATCGGTATTTGTGCATACTCATGTGGCATTAAAACGGGATCACGTTTTAATTTTGTGACCATTGAAGCTGCCGTTTTTCTTTGTAGGACAAACAACTTTTTACATGGTAGGGTATTTACTAAACATAATACTATTTATCGGTGTGTTCATGATTAAGTCGCTTGTTTTTTGGGGAGCAATCGTCCTATACGATCGTCCATTTATCGTCAAAATATCGAGCAAACATATACAATCAACATGTATATTGTTTAAATGTTTAATCATGGAAGAATTCTTAAAATATGATTTGTTTAATCGTTATTTAAAAGACAATATTATTGGTTTTCATTACATTATAAAATACACGTGTAATAATAAAAAACTATAAAGAAAAATATAATTACCACAAAGAAGTCCTTTCCTGCTTTTACTGTTGCGCCAAACCAAGAATAGTGGTCTTCGGTCTCTGAAACATGAACATAAAAATAAAAGTGGTTAAGGTCAAATGCAAGACCTACTCATATACCGAGAGTTGAGTACATAAAATATTCTATAAATGGGTGATTGTTTTTCTTAGGTAAAACTAAAAGAAAGTTTTAAGGGAATGTTACCATATATAGAACAACAATTAGCTTAGCTAACATGCTCATTTCATTCGCTAAACCTTTGTTCATTGTATGAATTGAAATATGAAAAGATGTTGCAGTTATGTGCGCTAATCTAAACAAAGTTTAGGTGCTAGTGTGCTTTCGCTTAATTTAAATTCAAATTATCTTTATTTATAGCACTTTTGAATCGTCATTTTATTAATTTACTGCAGGGCTTGGAAGGTTGTTACCTATTGAGAAGTGCCTGCAAGAAACTTAAAAATTACTCTTTTTAATCTCTGTTAACATATATACGTATATATTATCAGTTTACATATATTTATTATGTATATGTATTTTGTATAAAATTACATGGTTATTGTTTTCTCATTGTGATCATTATAATTATTGGATGATTCTTATAATTATTTCTATCTATAATAAGTTTACTATTATAATCTTTCGGAGGAAACAATTATGAGTATCTATCTATCTATTTATCTACATGGTCATTAAAAAGCCTGTACATGATTGACTAACACCATGCACGTTTGTCATACAAGTAATTGTTTCGTGTATGGCTTTGTTCCATAAGTGTTTTTTAATAACAGTTTTAAATTGATTAAAAGGTGATATAAAATATCCTTCGACATCTTAATGCCCATTACCGTAAAAGACCTATTAACTTTTTATAAACGACATTTTGGAATAGCAAGTTTGTATTTATACCTAGTGTTAAAATTATTGAGATTACACAAAATGTTTGCATAATTAATCCATTATAGACTTTCTTTTATTTATTTTTTTATGCAATTTAGAATGGCAAAAAGCTGATGGCCCACCTGATGGAAAGTCGTAACCATCGTCTATAGATATGAGTAGTACCATGGACATAACAGAGTATATTGTTTCGCTCATGATACCCCCCATGCGTTGCCATTCCTGAGGACTCAGGTGTTATTCCTCTGTACCCTATAAATTCACTGCTATATCCCACCCTTCAAATTGAAACACAGCCATGCAAACACAACTGCTTCAATGTAAAAATACGAATGAGACAGAGGTGCCCAAGCAAACAACTTTTGTACAAAATCTTCCTCTGGTAAAATTTGTAAAACCAAATATTTTATGAACTCACGACTTGTGAAGGCGTGATCCATTAACATGCAGTCCTGATGCTCTATATCACAATTATATATTTCTCCAATAAAACTCGCTTTTGGTGCACTTACTATCAATCTGGAAAAGAAAATTATTTTCGGCTCTATGTTATATATACATACGTTACGTTTAATACTATTTTGTAATTAAACTAAGACGGCCGTCTTTCTTTCATATTTGTAATATTACTAGCAATCCTTTCTACCTTCGCACGGATTTTTTTTAAATAAAACCTAGACCATATGATTCATTGATAATGTAACTTTCTAGGTGTAACTAAAATAATTTTTAAAATCGATTATGAATTTTTTATTTTGTCCATTACAAACAAAAAAATCTTTCCTTTTTATAATATGAAAGTCAGGTTTAAATTAGCTGACCCGGCAAATGTACTGACCCCTACGCACTACGTGGTAGGGCTCATGTTTACTTTTCGGGACAAAAAAATATCTTATCTTTAGAGTTAGAGCAGACAACACTTACATTTACAAAATCTTAGAGAAACGTTGGTAGGGAAAAGAGGAACTGGCCATTTTTATATGGATCATAGCAATAAAATTATAAGATACTAGCATAACAATGAATCCTTATTGTTAGGATATTTGATAGATTAGTATTTAATAATTACAGAGATTTCAGAGTTTCCTATCGCGAACGTTCAGGCTATGAAATGAGCTGCCTGCCGAGGTTTTCCCTAAAAACTCAGAATGGGCTTCTTTAAAAAGGGTGTATTAAGGTTTCTTTAGAATCGGCAAAGCGTACCTGATACTCCTAGGTTTTTTTTTGCATAAAAATGGAATGGAACCTCGCCTGCGCTGTCGGTATACACTGTCGGGGCATCAGGGAGGGAACAGATGAGGATGAAAACAGATCAGTTAGCCAATTGTGACGAATTTAAGAATTTACATTTTCATTACTATTATTTCTCATTACTAACAATCCCTTTCCCCCACATCCTTAATGTTGCAGGTATCCATAGGCTACAGTAATCGTTAACGATATTAGGCACACAGTCCGCCTAATACGGACGTCGAATAGACGGGCTGTATTCTTGTTTAGCACAGTCGTGATATAAAAAAATTACCTCTTATTTTTCGGCACATACGTAATGCTGTAGCCGAAAAGACTATCATTCGATATAGCTGTTGGAGCGGTAAGTCTCGCCATAGACAATTCATGGTAGTAATCCGTCTTTGACTCCGATCCCGATATACGTGTATATAATAATACTAAAAGACACCATAAATCTGAAAAATAGTCACATTATGTTAATATTCTTTTACTAAAGAAATACTCGAAAAGAAATATATTTAATGATACTTCGAATCGAATATTGAATGAATGAAAACACGTTCTGAATTATATTCTAAGAAGCTCATATTTATTTAAGTTTTCTTTTTTATGATTAAAAAAAATACGGAATAGTTGTTACACTAAATAAGTATTTTTGTTTCATATTTTCTATTATAACTTGAAAACAATGCGATATAAGAATAAATAATAAACGGTTTAAGTAATTGTAAATAAAGTCCCTCCATACTATTACATGGAGAGATATTTCCTAGATAGATTAGTAGACCCATTTTGAAAGTTTTAAAAACACTAGAAAAGAAAATTTAAAAAAATATTGTTTTTTTTTGTAAATGTGTTCTAAATTTAAAATTGGTAGCACACGTAGTATAGCGCTGAAAATAGGTAGGCGCTAGAGCTGAAATATAGCGCTGTGACAGACGGATGAATAAATAAAGGGTATGATGCCTACGGCCACTTTCTATCATCGTACGGCTCGACATCGACAGGGAGTTCACCCTCATACCCTACAGCCTAAATGGTCGCGTACAACGCGGTTTTAGAGATGTTTTATCCCACAAACACTCAGGTTATGGAATGAGCTCCCTGCCGAGGTTTTCCCAAGAGACTACAGCATGGGGTTCTTCAATAGGGAGGTAAAAAGGTTTCTTCAGGGTCGGCAACACGCGCGTAATACCTCTGGTATTGCAGGCGTTCATAGTCTAGGGTAGCCGCTTACCATCAGGTGGGCCGTATGCTTGTTTGCCACCTCAGTGGTATATAAAAAAAAAACCTTTGTACAATTTTTCTACGGATGTTTAAAACGGTGTAGAAAAAACGTTTAATTTTTTAAAAGGTTTTTCTTAAATATAAATAAAAGAAATCGATATATATTTATTTTAGTTTCAATGACTAAGTATTCAATATATTTGTTACTTATTCAAACTCAGAAAACAACATCCTTCGGTTTGGGTGTGGTTTGTACCAATAAGTACGATACATTGTATACATCATTATTATTCCCAGTTAATTTTATATTAACGTAGGCATTATTACAGTAGTACAGTAGGCGTTCGATATCCGGTAATATTTTATAAAGCAATCTCGCGACACGACAAATAGGAGCGAAAAAAAAACGATCCTATTCACATTAAAAAGAATTATAAATAAAATTATAAATTAATAAAGTAATTATTTAATACTTACAATACGAGTACATGATGAGGCAAATGCAACACTCAATAAATTAGAACTGGCAACCGATGTACACATAAACAAATAACATAAGGAAAATTCGAAATTCAAATAATAAATTGTGACTAATTATAGTATGTGACTCTATACGTATCAATAGATATATTCTCTACCAATATTGATGAGTTCATTTGTCTGTAATTTATTTTATTAATAACTAGTTATTTCCCCCTTACTTCATACGCTTGAATTTCAAAAGCAGAAATATCAACGAAATAGTCCACTTGTAGATGGCGTATTAAAATAAAACATATACCAGATTTTAAGGTAGACTTCAAGAAACATAACTGTGAATACTGCATCTAATTTGTGACAGTAGTTTTTGTGTGGTGCCGGTACAAAATGTTAGACACATATAGACAACTTTTTTAAAAATGGAACTTAACTTTTTTAATTTTGGTATTACTATTAGATGCCAGAACAGAAGTGTAAGACTCCTCATATATTTTTTTCTTAAATATCTCCCATGTACAAATATTGTCGAGTTATATTTTATTATATTAGTAAGATAAGATGAAGATCCAAGTAGATTCTAAAAATTATTATAAAATCCATAGTTTTTTGAAACATAAATGTAACTAGAGTATGTTATCTTACTTAGGTAAAAAGTTGCCTCTGTGCCTCTTCAATCCATATTGTACGTGTATTTCTAATTTCGTAGCATTTTTAGGAGCTGTTAAGATACAAAAGGTTACACTTAGTGTAACAGTCGTCACGCTAATATCTTTGTAGTGGATTCATATGTATCTAAAATATAATGGGCATTGGTAAGTATTTATTATTTATTTTTAGGGGCTTGCACTATTAAAAAAAGAGCATATGTTTTTGCGTAGAAGTGATCACAACTACTTAAGTCATTATTAAACTAACTAATTATCTGGGGTGGGTGGCACTAGATAATTCTAAGATACCGTATTCCCCCTTAAGTACGCCTATTATAATGTGGCTATTTATGCTCCACAACAAATTTAGATAATTATATAAACGTACCTATATTCAGCCAAGCTTAGAGCTTCATAACATGCTAGCATATTAATATTCTATAATTGGATGCCAACAATACTTGAGTGATAAAATATACGAGTGAGACAGATAAGGTCATTTTATATGAACACAGTCGGCTTACCTTTATATTGATGAACTTCGAAAATGAATTTACGCAACCACCTGGATGTATCAATATAGAAAATAAATATTCATGGTGTTACAGTACGTTTATTCGTGTATCTTATAATAATGTGTATCTATCCATAATACCGATATCTATATATACTATAAAAGATCTCTTTACTTTATAATGTATATTTTTGTATTCAATGAATTAATTGCATAGATTTTATACAAACATTTTTTTGTTCGAAGTGGCTTGGGCCTGTACGAAATTTTTATCACTATATAGTATGGAGGGAAATTTGAATTTGGAATTTTATTTTTTGTTAATGTTATATTTTTTTTTTGTCATTTATTTTTGGCTAGTCGCCGTCCGAAGTAATAAGTTATTACACTATCGTATTTATGGAACTATTATTTTATATGATTATCATGTATCTATATATCTCAATATTATAAATAAATTATCTTAATATAAAAAAATCTCGTGTTATGATGTTTATTCTTGCTAATCTCTGAATCTGGTCAACTAATTTATTATACTTCAATTTATAAATGTATATTTATGTATGTATATTTTACACCAACTTGTGAGTTAAGATAGTTTTTATTCCAATAAGAAAAGCAAACCTGGTAGACAGCGATAGAGCCCAAAACAGCTATTGCCGGATCGGTTAATGTTTCAATCATTTATGGACAGATGTTCAATAATGTCAATGATGAATGTTGTAATAATATTCAAACCAAATATTCCTCTATATATGTTACATATGATATACCTATAAATTGTTTAGTGTAATAATATCGTTAGCGAGAAATAGGTATGGATATTGGATTGGCGGGTAGTATACCTAGTTTAAAATTCGAATTGTGTCTTTTATAATTATTAATTACGATATTGCTTAAAAAGACAGCTCTTCATTTGTGTTATTTTCGAACGAATTGATTTTGAATTGTATCGGTACTTAGTTTTGAGTAATTAAATTATAATCCGCCATGACAAGTTGGTGTATGGGACCACAACGGATAACGTAAGCGAGAAACGGGAAGGAAATAAATCAGTTTTGGTTAATGATTATTATTTTGTGGTTTAAATGTAATAAAACTTATTGTGAATGCGATGATTATTTTATTCTTTACACTAATATTTATTTTATGACGTGCAAAAGGAATAGTAACTTTGCCTACGCTTTCCGTAGATGCTGCCGGGGCTTCAATGGTGGATGGTAGGTTAGTATGAAAGCAAATCATCAAGATTCAATCACAATGGTTTCCAGAAAGGGCCGTGTGGAGGTCGACCTGACAAGATTTTTTTTTACAACATAGGGGGCAAAGGAGCATGCGGCTCACCTGATGGTAAGTGACTACCGCCGCCCATGGTCACCCACAATACGTTGTCGGGCATCAGCGAATAATGTTTGGAGTGGTAAGGACGAAGATAAGTTAAGTGGCTCGTCATGAAGGCTCCACGATTATTTAGAAGGGAGAAGCATTTTTAGTAATAGGAACGTTAATCCCCGTTACTAGCAATATAACTTTCAGGTCGACCTTCACGCGGTTTCTCCTGGAAACCATCGTGATTAAATTTCAATTCAGAAATTTAGCAAGTGAGTTAAAAATAAATCCAATTTCTTTTTTTTTATTTACGTAAAATAATGTTCTTAAGTAAAAGTAGAAAGTATATATTCATATATATGCATAACTGTTCAACTGGTCTTATACATGTATTTAGCCATAGACCCTTTCACGTACAGAAGGGCTTTTATCCCGAAAAATATAAGGTTACCTTAGAACTGCACAGAATCGCTTACAAATAGGTTAGGCAAACTACTCATATTATACAAACATCTATTGCTATACGCATACATATATATTATGTATATATATATATATATATATATATATATATATATATATATATATATATATATATATATATATATATATATATATATATATATATAGTATGTATACCTGTGTATTACTTTTTCCTCCTTTGCCTTGGATTATTATTTTGTAACGTACTCGACATGAAGGGTTTTATGTGGAATTAAAAATTAAAATAATACATTAATAAATAATCTAGTGTTTATTTGAAAATGAGAGGTGAGTTTTTTTTTTTATTAAATGTTTATTTATATTATTCTTTTTAAATATTAATTTAGTAACTTTTAGGTTATATTTTGTTATTAAGATATAATAAATATTACAAATATAATTGCAGATAAAGTAGTCAAGAATGTTCTAATGTTATATTCGATAATATTCGATTCAACAAAACACTCGATGTGTTATGTAAATCGAATATTTTCATTGCAAATAGAATCAACAAAATCGGTGTTTAATGAGAGACTATAGTATCTATATACTAGAGTGAATGAGAAAAGAACATTAATAAAAACAATAGAGAATAGAAGTGGCAAAATGCTGGGCCACCTTATACGACATGATGATTGTTTAAAGAACGTATTACAAGGAAAAATAGAGAGCAAAAGAGGAAGGGAAAAACCGAGGAATAACAATATGGGACAGATAAAAGAAACACAAGGTGTCATGTCGTATAGGGAGGTCAAAGATATGGCCTGGGATAGAGCTGGCTGGAAGAAAATGCACGAAATAGTTGCACCGACAAGAGGAAACTGTTAAATGAATAAAAAAGAAATGAAAGACTTTAATAGTAAATTCTAATACTCTTAATACTACATATTATTACAGGTGCAGTATATTTGGCAGTTGGTTTTCAAATTATTGACATAGCAGTATGTATTTACTTCCACGAGTCTTCGTATATTACTTTGACCGCAAGAGGAAACATATCTGAGGGTAGTGATTTCGGCTATTCAATGGGTTATCAGCAGGATACTGTTAATTTGGGTAAGAATAAAGTTTATTATTTTTTTTTTGTACAACTTAGAATGGTAAACAGTTTCGCCCATGATGCCCCCTTATGCGTTGCCATTCCTGAGGATTCAGGTGTTATTCCTCCGTACCCAGTAAATTCACGCCATATCCCACCTTTCAAACCGAAACATAGCCATGCAAACACAACTGCTTTACGGTTGAAACACAAATGGGACAGAGGTACCCAAGTAATCGACTTTTGTACAAAGTCTCCCTCTGGTAATTATTACTATTATTATTTTTTTTTATTATCAATTAAAATTTATAGGCATGGATAATATTTGATGCGAAAGCTTCTTTAGGTACATCTTAGAGGCGATTTTTAGATGGGCAGGATCTTATTGAGTTCAAATCACTGGCATGCTCATAGTTTTCACTTTTATCGGTAGTTTCTAATGATTGCTTGGTATTTTTTTCTTCAATTTAATATGGTAACAATTTGGAATAACAAGCTGAAGGCGCACTTGATGGAAAGTGGTAACTGTTGCCTACATACCATTTCATATCAGCCGTCAACTGTCCAATAGTAAATATATATTTCCTTTATTGGGGATTACATAAACACATATAAACATTGCGTATATCAAAGGATACGCTGTACTATCCATGATGCTATTGTCTTGAAATAAATGACGCCATGTATCGATTAGAATTTAGTATAAGATTATTTTTAAGAAGATGTTTCTATATTAATAGTTACAAAAACTACTCATTTCAACTTTCTTAAAAAAAGGAGAATGTTTTTAATACGATGGAACTTTTTTATGTTTGTTACCTCATAATTCCATCAATAATATAGAATATACTTACGGATTGATTCCATCGAATCCAAAATCTGTTTAGTAGTTTAGTCAATAGATCAAAATAACTGATTTTGTCAGAATTAAAATTGGCTTTTTTGTGGATATACATAGACATGCAACTTTTAGATCGGTCTCACAGAAATTTTATTGAAATTGTTTCAGCAGTTTAGTTTTTAAATTACAGTAACTGATTTTGTCACCATTGAAGTAAGATTTTTATGGATCAGATTTAAATTGTTTATCATCATCATCATATCAGTTATAATCTATCCACTTCTGAACATAGGCCTCCCCTGTAGAATGCCATAAGGAACAATCCCAAGTCACCTGCATTCACTGATTCCTTGCAATAGATTTGAGGCCAATCGTCACTCCATCTATTGAAGGTCGTCCTACAATGCATTTGCCCGCACGAGATAGCTAAATAAGAACCTTTACCGTTTGTCTGTTCTGTGAGCTATGTGACCAGCCTATTGCCATTTCAGCTTGCTTATCATTCGGACAATGTCGATTACTTTGACTTTTCTGTAGATATCCTTATTTCGGATTTTATCACGCAAAGAAATTCCGAGCATAGTCCTCTTTACAGCCCACTGAGCTACTTGAAGCTTTTGCAACCGTGTAGGATCGTGTTTTGATTCCATAAAGTATCAATGACAACACGCACTGGTTAAAGTCCTTCATCTTCAAACTTTGAAGTACTTTAAATCATTAGATTTTAAATTACATTACATTTTAGATTTTAGATCTCAGATTATTAGAGAAGTTAAATTCAATTAAGAGGTTGAAGTCGAATGAATTAAATTTACCAAATACTAAATAAGTAAATACAATTATAATTTATGTTTTCAGTGATTGGTTCACCAAATAGCGATCGATATGGAAAAGTCTACAGCTGTTCTTTAAAGGATCCATTCGTCTCTAACGTAACATATTGCAATGAGATCGATATGAACTTTGAAAAAATGACTCCAGATACAAAAACAGGTACAAATATTGACTTTATAGGATTATTCATTATATATATATATATATATATATATATATATATATATATATATATATATATATATATATATATATATATATATATATATATATATATATATATATATATATATATATATATATATACATTCTTTCCCTGTCCGTAAGAAAGTGTCAGAATACTCGAATTCGGTACTAGTAACCATTGATATACATACATACTAAAATTATATATTAAACGAATAAAAATACTATATATACTATGTTATATACGAAAATGATAATAATACTTACTGCTCGGATAAACTATAAAACTGAGCATGAGCGTTTTTCTGAAAGACGGTGTAGTCGGTAGTCTCTTAATCGTATAAGCGCGTTCCAGAGTCATGAAGAATGTAGGTTAAGAGAATTTGAAACGAATCCAGTACGATGAGAGGGGATAGATAGTTGGAGAGTATCACTGCAACGTAGGTAATGATCGTAAGTTTCAAATAGGTACTGAAATTTGCTGCTTAAGTAATTAGGAGACTGGGGGTTAAGAAGGGAGACTAAGGTTTCTGCGTTGACGAATGGGAAGCCATTTGAGTTGTATATATATTAATAAACTAACAAAGTTTTCTGTTTTTTTTTTTATACAACTTAGAATGGCAAACAAGCTGACGGCCCACCTGATAGAAAGTGGTAACCGTCGCCTATAGACATGAGCAGTACCATGGACATAACAGAGTATACTGTTTCGCCCATGATACCCCCCATACGTTGGCAACGTATGGGGGGTATCATAACTGCTTCACGGTTGAAACACGAATGGGACAAAGGTACCCAAGCAATCGACTTTTGTACAAAGTCTCTCTCTGGTATGTATTTAGTCTTAGTTAATTAGTCTAGGATATCTTCTGTCTCTGTGTCAAATTTCATTCAAATCCGTCATTCATTTAGCAGAGATTTTAGCAATACACGTTAAATGATGACGTTGACCTTTTGTTTCATCGTAAATAGTAATCCAATCTTTAAATATTCTGGTTACATTTTGCTTGGAATAAAATTTTATTTGAAAAATAATTTGTAACCGTTATACTTGATGGGTCAGTCAACTCATTCGAGGCCAGGATATGCTCTCTAATTATTTTACTTCCTTACTAATGTTATAAATGTGAAAGTGAATTTGTTTATAAAAAGGTGTGAAATATGATAGAAGTAGCAAACTTTTTTAATACCTTAAGTAATCACTATGAAATCCATATCCATATGCAGGTACTCGTATGAGTTAGTAAAATTACAAAAATCAAAAACATTTTTAATCGTAATAAGTTTTTTATGCAACATAAAATGGTAAACAAGCTGACGGCCCACCTGATGGAAAGTGGTAACCGTCGCCTATAGACATGAGCAGTACCATGGACATAACACGGTATACTGTTTCGCTCATACCCCCCATGCGTTGTCATTCCTGAGGACTCAGGTGTTATTCCTCTGTATCCTGTAAATTCACTATCATATCCCACCCTTCAAACCGAAACACAGCCATGCAAACAACTGCTTCACGGTAAAAACACGAATTGACTATGATGTGGTACGGAGCACCATAAAAGTATATCTTATTCATTGTAAGACGATAACCGAAAGTGAGCGGAAAATTGGGAAAAATCGATAAATAAATAATATGGCCTAGTTGAGAATAATTAATTTGTGTGTAGTTGTAATGGAGTTTATGATTATGGAATTAAAATTGTTTTCCAATTCTTGCAAAACCGGTTTATTTGATTTTAAAATTAAACTACGTAACCGATTTTGATAAAATATCTATGGAACTAATCTGTAAGTATAGGTATACTTACAGATTGATAGATAGATAGATAGATACTCTTTATTGTTTCCTCCAAAAGATTACAACAGTAAACTTATTCTAGATATAAATAATTACAAGAAATAATCACAATGAGAAAATATTGGGCGACCTTATCGCTAAAAGCGATCTCTTCCAGGCAACCTTTGGATGGAAAGGAGTAATTATAAACTGTTTGATTGGAGGCACGATGAAGATCCAGATTGGTTCTGATTTTTGATGAAACAGGAATTTTCTATATCGGTTTATTTTTTTTAATCGTTGAAAAATATATTATTCCATGTATTTGGTTACATTGTAAATGACAATTGTAAAGAATTGGTACTTGATATATAAAAATTTCTAGGACTATTAAATAATAGCCACGCTGTTTCAAAAACCTATCTCGATATCAGGAACAGAAAGATATAGGTACCTAATTGTATAATTGTATTCTATTCAAAATATATTATAATACCTTTATAATAACGTACAGAGGTTTTAAATCTAATAGTTTCTATATTATGAAACACAATTCTAAATTTAAAAAAATATGTTCGTCTTTGGACAAAACCTTAAATTACAAAAACTAGGTATATAGTTAGAAGATAACCTATTCGTGTAATCAAATTCCATTCAAATGAATTCAGCAGTATTATCGTAAAAAAGTGATAAACGTCTATTATGACAAACTTTCGCATTTATAATAGTTAGCTACTATCTACTACTAGTAAGATCATTTTTTTAATATTTATTTTCAGAGATGAATCCAGATCAAAAGTTTATGCTGGGAGCTTCTATAGCCGCCACTACGGATTATTTCCTGGTACTTACTTATTATTTATTAAATATTCAGCCTTTAATGAAAGATTTTATGTAACATTTCAAGATAAAGGAAAGTTGAAATTTAAAATTCTGTCTGTGCTCAGTATTTTAAAAACTTGTCAGGTTATTACGTAATAATTAACTATCTTTCAAGATGTAGAGATTCCTAATTCGTCCGTTTATTATATGGCTATGATACGCGATTACGTTTTTTTCGAGCCGTTAAATTCTGAGCCGATTTTGATACAGTTTTTTAATAAATATATCTGAATCAAAAGGTTACAGTAGTAATAAATAATATAGTATATTATTATATATAGTAAGCGATCGCTTTTATTTATGTACATATTTCGCTTCCATGCAATTTTTGGATGGAGAAGTGTAGATAATTATGTAACAGTTGGGTTGGACATGATAAAAATACGGTTTTCCTTCATCGTGTATATATATATATATATATATATATATATATATATATATATATATATATATATATATATATATATATATATATATATATATATATATATATATATATATATATATATATATATATATGACGATGAATATATATATAGATAGATAAATAGATACAAGATATCTTTAAATATGTTGTCCCTAGGTGAGTAATAAACGAATTTTCCGACTAATACGTTTACTTACATATAAAATACGCTGTTGACTGTATGAGGCAAAACGAGACAGTGAGTTCGTCGTCCTGTTTTCTCATATAAGCGTGGTAACGAGAACTTATCTATGGAAATATGTATTGGCCACCTATTTTTAGACTTATAATCTACTTAATAGAACACAAGGGAATAGTAACCAATATTGGTTAAAATTATCATGAAACACTGCTAAATAATAAATAATAAACAAGAAATCGAAATTTTCAATCATCATCATCGTCATCATCATCATCATCTTAGTAATTTTCTATCCACTGCTAAAAAAAGGTCTCCCACATGAACTGCCATAAGAAACGGCCTTGAGCCACCTGCATCCACTGCGATGAATTTGAGGTCGTCTCTCCATCCAGTGGGGGGTTGTCTTACACTGCGTTTGCCCATATGGTATTGTTACTCAAGAACCCTTCTACCCCATCGATTGTCTGTTCTTCGAACTACATGACCAGTTCATTGTCACTTAAGCTTGTTTATGTTTTAGGCTATGTTGGACACTTTGATTCTTCAGTTTTCTTCAACTAATTTATTTTTTATTTTCTATCAGACCATATGGTCTCCATATGGTCTTATGGTCAATTATTAATTTGTTTACATTTTCATTAATTTCTTTTGAAACAGACTATAGTAGTGTTGTACATTAATAAGTACATATAATTTTGTAGGCATCCGCGCCGCTGTGGACTGGAATGCTACTGAAAATCAATGCACGGGAGCCAGATTATTACGTTTATGGTACCTGTCTCATACACCAGAACAATGGGACTATTAACAGATATAAGGGACTGTATGAACAGGCACAGATAGATATAGGTCTTAGAGAGACCCGTGAGTATATATACGTTTTTATTTTTTTATATCCATATACATATATGTATCATAAATGAGTGAAAGAAAGGAGGAATGGTAGACTGATATATATATATATATATATATATATATATATATATATATATATATATATATATATATATATATATATATATATATATATAATCAACATATCAGCTATTATCTGCCCGCTGAACTTAGACCACTACCATAGAATGGGAGGTTTTGTTAATAGTTGCCATGCTTGGCAGGTGGGTTGGCAAACGCAAATATACCTTGGTAATTTTTTTAATTGGTGATGATGGAATAGTAATTCGCCTGCGTGATCTGTATACACCGGCAGGGCACCAGGTGGAGATGATTGGTAAGGATGAAAAGGCAGATCAGTTATTCTATCGCAACGAATTTAAATATAAATTAGTCACGATAATTTAGAGAGGGAACTGCGTGGAGGTCGACTTGATAGATATTGATAACAATGGGGCTTTAGTAATTGGTTAATCCCTAATGGATTAATTCAAAAACGACTCGAGCGATTTTGAAAATGATCCTGATGATAGACTTCTGTCACCTACAGAAGTCTATCATCAGAAAGGGGAGATAAGGAGAGATAAGATATTATTTTCGAAAGTATTATTTACCCGTGTGAAGTCGAGTTGGATCGCTAATATTTTAGTATAAATATGCTTATGTCTCGAAATAATATGTTTTGCAGAGTCTATAGCCGGCGGCGTTGGATGGAAAACATATGTCGACGAAGTCCACAAATTAATACTGATTTCAAAGACATCAACACCACCATTCAAAGGCACCGTCTTGCATCTTAACATCGATAAACCACTCCAGGAAACAAAAAAATTGTCCAGCGTTGATTTCCGTGATATTATCAAATTAAATTTAAGATATTTTGGTATGAAATTTTCTATTTAAGCACCTATGTTTAGTATGTATAGTAGGTTCCACTATACATATTAAATATAGAATAAATAATTATTTTAAATCTTTAAACTGTTTCGAGAAAAGCGGGTAAATTTTTTCATACAATTTTGCGTGATAAATAGTTATGAGGCTTTCCTTTATAACTTCTATATTTATTTTGCGTCTTTTTATTAAAACACATTTAATTTATATAATTAAATATAGATACGTCAAGATACATTATGTGCGTAAGTATATAAAATACTGATGAATGACGAGAAAAAACAAGTCAGCTAATTTGACAATTAGCTGGCAAAAAGTTGACCCTTTTTTCGAGACTCGATGCTCTATCTATATAATCAAAGCATAAAACATATAGAATTGTTATCTAACTTAGTAACTTCTTATTTTAGGAACATCTATTACAGCTGGTAATTTTTTTGAGAGCAGTCATCAGATTTATGCTTTAAGCACGAGAAGTACAAATATGTATGGGATGGTAAGTATTTGAATACACGCGCATCTACGCGATTCGCTTTTCTGGCAGAAAGCGGGAAGCTCGTAAGAAAGATTCATAAAAAAGGGAATAATTTTCATTATTTATTTACAGTCAATGTTGTTTTAATTTATATTTACAACAATTTCAGGTTTTATTTCTGCGATATATTGCTAAAAAAAATCAACTTCATATTATGAAACGTCATAGGAAATTCCTAAAAATAGAGGACACAACCGTGGGCACAATGTTTGGTGCTGCCCTCTCTGGGGCCGATCTGAATAATGACGGCCTTGTAGAGTTACTCGTAGGTGCGCCCGCGCAATCAGAAGATAGAAGTGTTTCTGACACTGGTGCTCTTCACATATATTTAGGTGGATCTCAGGTAATTATTTGTATTGATTTTTTATACATTAAGTCAATCGATCTTAATCTTACATATATACATATCTCTCGCATCTGTTTCCTATTAAGGTAAGTAGAAACAATGGAACATCAAACAGACTTCTTTCGCTTCCCTCACATTCATCAATCTTTTTATACACGCTCGTCGATTATGGATACTTTTAATTCGGCCTTTCTTCAGCAAGTCACTTATTTGGTCGACATAAGTCAGTATACGATCTCTACCGACATCTCCGTTCATTCGTGCTCAATAAATCTCTTTCGTATTTTTTCCTTTATCCATCCTTTCCTAAAGCCCACACCAACACAACATCCCCTTTTCGGTCTTTGTCAATACATCGTCTTTTAGTCTACACATTCTAACTTATCTTTGGAGGAGTAAAAATGTATCTAGCTGCATACATATTTATGTTTTTTTTTTTGGAATGGCAAATGAGCTGAGGGCCTACCATGAAATGTTTTCCGAAATTTCGGAACCAACCGAAACACAAATTTGATATTAAATTTACATAATACATTCCGTTTAGAAAAATTCAAAATGTTAAAATATTGTTTTTTTGAACTTTTATGATAGGATGTATAACGAACGAAATGTTAAACTCCATTTATTGGTCTGATTTTTGTATAAATAAAAATCGAAAAACGAATTTGAGTCCGAAATTTCGGAATTTCATTTCATGGTAGACCCGCTGATTCTAGCTTTGTTTATGGCTATATGTGGATCATATAGGCATGAATAATGCTGAACGTCACAGAATACACGGTGGTTGCCATTATCCTGAAGCGTAAGATATTATGACTCTGTATACTGTTATATCATCATCATCATATCAGCTTTTAATTGTCCACTGCTGAACATAAGCACCCCCTTGGGGGGTTTGCCAGTAGTTACCATGCTTGGCATGCGGATTAGTAACTGCAGCTAGGTTTTAGAGATGTTTTAAGAGGGACGCTGCTGCCCATCCCTCGCACTCCCTTAGTCACCTCTTACGATACCCACGGGACAGGAAGGCCTATTCTATGCCGGGACCACACGACTATTCTTTCAAATGCCCACCATTATATATTAAAACATAATTATGCTAGCACAGCTGCTTAGCTCCAGGAACAAGAAATGGGACGAAAGTACCTATCTAGAATTGGTTGAAAAGATACTACAGTATTTTCTAAAAGGTTTAGTACAGGCAGGTATATGTATTTTAGTAGTTTTACAAAATTATACGACTATTATGGTTGAAATATTTTGAAGAAATGTTCTCCTAGTGAAGTTTAAAAATTTTCCAAAAAAGACTAGAAAAATAATTAATAACTTTTATTTTCTTATACTAACTTGATAGATGCGTCTGTCGTCTTAGTATGAAAGTCAGAAAATATTACCAAAACCCAAACTGCGGTTGTCAATCCGCCCGCCAAACATGGCAAATTTTGGCAAACCCTTCCTTATGGGGGAGGCCTATGTTAAGCAGAGGACTGTTAATGGCTGATATGATGATAATGATCTAGCCTGTTTAAGTATTTATACAACATTTTTATAGGATACGGTCGAAAATCTTGACAGAAAACGCACAATAGTGAGCAATAAAGATGGATCGCGTTTTGGATCAACTATTGCTGTGAATGATTTAGACGGAGACGACAAACCTGGTATGTTTCATAATTTATTTAATGCTAGCTTTTACCCGCGACTTCGTCTGGTAATCGGGATATTTTCACTGACTAAAAAATATAGCCTATATGCTTCTCCATACCATATAGTTTAGTTATATACATGTTAACCAAATTTCATAGTGATTGCTTCAGCTATTAAGACATTAAGAGGTAACAAACAAACTTACTTCCACGTATATAATTAGTAATGATCATTATACCTACCTACAGTCCTGTAAATAAATCTATAAATAAATCGCAGTTTTGTTCACATAATAAAAAAAAACTGAAAATGGTTACCCTATCTCTGCTATCAGTAAACGCATGCGAGAACTGATGAGGAATAGTCGATGAGGATGAAATCAGATCAGTTAGCCCATTGTGACGAATTCATAAAAAATAATACAGGTTTTTGAATGGCAACCTTGTATATATGCAGTTTATATATATAAATTTATATATATATATATGTATATATATATATATATATATATATATATATATATAAACGCAGTTTAGGACGACCTCTTCACTAGATGGAGTGATGACCTCAAATGCATTACAAGGAGTCAGCGAATGCAGGTGGCTCAAGACCGTTTCCTATGGCAGTTTGTATGGGAGGTCTATGTTTAGCAGTGGACTGATAATATAATGATAATAATGATGATGATGACGAAACCACTATGGATATTTTTATTATAATTGTTATCATTTTACAGAAATATTTGTAAGTGCTCCTTATGAAAACTTTGGAATCGGTGCATTGTACATCATATCGGGCTCCGAGATTTACAATAATTTGATAAAACATGACGGTTTCAAGCAAATATCTTTGTCTAAATTAAACCTCACTCAACGAATACAGAACGACCAGTTTAAATACTTCGGATACAGTATTCAAGTCTTGCCAGATTTGGACAACAACGGTTGTGATGGTAAGTACCTGTTATAATATAGAAAAAACCCATTCGACTGCAAAAGTAATTTAATAAGTCGGTTCAAAATAGGTAAAGATATGACGTAACGTTTTTTTAGCACTGTGGAAGCAAACGGCCCGCCTGATAGTAAACGGTTACCGTAGTCTATGAAAGCCTTTCATACCAAAGGCGCCCTGTGTGTGCCCCGGCATAGAATGGGCCACTCCATCCTTTACCGTGGGTGTCGTATAATGCGACTGAGGAAGGGCGAGGTATAAGCAGCAGCTTCATTCTTAAAATATCTTTAGGAGCCAAAGTGCGGTTGCCAACCAGCCTGCCAAACGTGACAACTACTGGCAAAACTTATGTCCAGCAGTGGACAGTTAACGGCTGAAATAATAATAACACCAGGGAAATTACGCGGGCGTCACCGACCCCGACGAACCCCCGTTTTTTTAATATACATACAGAAAAGAGAGACTAATTAAGAGAACTGCTTCGAGAATCGCCTAAAAAATATTAATTTAGTACAACTATTTATTTTTGGTCTACAGAAATAGTTGTGGGAGCTCCCAATAGTCAAAATGCAATGTTGCTTCGATGCATACCCCGAATACATGTCAACATTACTTCAGAACTTTTTGGAGTTAAGGTAATATAGAAATATCATAATAAAAATAATTATTTATTTGTTATTTGTATAAAACCAAATTTATCAAAAAAAAAATTGATCGGAACTGGACTGGATTGTAGTGCCTTATGAAACAATATTTTACTAGACTGAGAGAGAAGCGAGAGCGGTTTCTAAACGATACTATGTAGGTGTAGATCCGTGCTAATTCAGTTGGTGAAATAGTTTCTGGCAAAATTATAAAGTTAACAGTGGCATGCTATGTTGCGTTGGTTCGTGTAAGAAACAGATGTAGAATACGAAAGTGAATAGATTAAAAAATTTGAAAAAACCTAGACTAACTTATTATGATCTAATATGAGTATACTATTTGAGGTAGAAATTAAGAATCCCTGGAATCGGTATGCATGCATGAAACTAGCTATAGAAGTGTATGTAAGAGATATATGTAAGGATAGAGGTTTTGTGTACTTGGATATTACTGCCTATGTGACTATGAAGTAACTATGAAATTTGAAATGAATCTTACTGACTAAATTATGTACTAAATTAATTTAAGTAGGCAAAGTTTTTACTTAGATACTTTGTAACTTACTATACAATCGCGAATTAATATAGAATAATTGTTAAAATATGAATATCATATTCCAATAATTATTAATATTAGAATTGAGTATTTCGCTGTGGTTAATGCGTTATTTGCCTATTAACTGATGAGAAGTTCATCTTAAATACAAGGTTAAAGTCATATTCGTTTTTAAATTTTAAAGTATGATTACAAAAATTATGTAACTTTTTACGTTTATAGATAAAAATGATTAAATTATGAAGCAATTTTTCTAATTCAATAACTACTAGGGATAATATTGCGTATAGAAAAATGTCCTTTTGATATTTGTTTAGCTTGTCTTTTAATTTTGTAATGCATAGTTCATAATATATCAGTTAATCTTTAAATGTTACAAAAAATATAATTATTGATCTAGTCAGTAATTTTAATATAAATAAAAAGAGATTTAATCACTAAAAAAAAGATATTTAAAACTTCAACAATGTACTTTCTCAACAAATTTCGGATTTTGTTTACTTTATGAAATAAAATATTATATAAATCAGTGTTATTTTTATTGGAATTTATGTGATTACATTTCAGATTGTAAGAGAACAAGATAATAATTTCACAGTGACAGTTTGTGTTAACGTAATATACTTTTCAAAAATGGAACATATAAATGGAAGTAAGTACAGAGTATGTTTTAACTATGGTAAACATGACAAAAAAAAAAATAATGAATATAAATTTGGATGTTCGAAAATACAGAAAATATTGAAGTGTTTTGTGGAAATAGTTACTAATTTTTTTATGCAACTTAGAAAGGCAAACATGCTGATGTAAATTGGTAACCATCGCCTATAGACATAAGCAGTACTATAAACATAGCAGAGTATACTGTTTCGCCTATGATATCCCCTTTCGTTGCCATTCCTGAGGACTCAGGTGTTATTCCTTTGTACACTGTAAATTCACTGCTATATTCCACCCTTCAAACTGAAACACAGCCATGCAAACATACAACAAGTTACTAAATGCTCATATTATATAGAAAATGTAATTAGATGTACTAATTACATAACTTCAAACTAAATTTCGATTAATGTAGTATACGAAATTAGAGTATAAACTTGATTGACTATTTGCTGTATCTCGTAAATTTACTTACGTAAATTAGTATGTTACGTATCCTAAGTGTTAAATTAGGATATCATTTATCCATGTAACAAATTTCATTAAAATCTTTTTAGTCATTTAATTGTGACTGAATAAAAACATTTTCGTATTGATATCTAACAGCCAGTTCTTTGAATAATACGGCCGGTCCGTTGCTACTTTATTGATGTTTAGGACTATATCAGTCCCTTCCAGTATTTCTACTGATATCAGATATTCTCGCGTAGGTATTAATCAGTTTGACTTTTTACAGTACTTTTGGTGTCTAATAATATCATTGGAGGGGAAGCGTCCATATCAGATATAAGACAAAGAATGTACCCCATCGATCTTTCAGAGAAAAAACCTCAATATTGTGAGAAAGTTTTTGTTAAATTGGTAAGTGTTTATGTTCATTTTTCCATCACCGACGCATTATTAGGGATGCTATAAATTTGACACTTATATGTTTGTTTGTGGCATTGTAGTTTCTAAACGAATAGACCGATTATGCGCTTTTTTTTTATTAAAAGTTGACGTAATCGAAATGGTTGTTAGCTACAATTCATGTAGATCTATTCAGACGTTTCAGGGGATATTTAATTTCTTTATTTTGTTTATTTTTGTTTTCTGAAACATATAATTAGGCGATATATCGCCTGATGATAATATTTCAAATGAAGTGAGCTTACGCAAAAGCAATTCCCTCCTTTTCACCCCTAGGATGTTGCAAAATGACAGGAAACTCAGTACATAATCCTATGCCAAGATAGTGATATGCTTAGTCGGCTTTTTTAACATTCAAGTGTTTTGGTATTGATTAAAAAAGAATCGAATACTATCTCATATCTAATCATTCGGAACAGTTTCAATACTCGTATAGATGAGTATTCGAGTACTTCATCTAACTCGGATAACTTTTCAATTGATTTCTAAAGTTATTTATTAAATAACGTATTACCTTCATTAAATGTGTAACTAACTATTTTTTTCATTGTTAAATAATTAAAAATAAATCAATGAAACGATAAAACGGAAACATAAAAAGTTACAATAAATTTGATTACCGCAAGTACTTGAAGTCTATATTCGAATATCATATATCCAAATTCTGTATATTAAGTACTCGAATGCCCGCGTAGATAAGCTTGCTTTGCTTACCGGTGACGAGTAAACTCGTTATTGCACTGGCATAAGTACGTCCTTCTACCACGACGGGCCAGACCGTTTGGATTACAAAGCGTTCACGACCAAAAAATTACTTTTCTTTATATTTAGGTTTTTATCACAATTTTAGTTTAATTCCAAAGATTTCAACCATGACGGAATACCCAGTCAGTAAAGTGTTAATAGACAAAGAAGAAATGATGCCTCCGCCTTTGCTAAAGGTATACAGCGTAGCGTAAACGTAACGTGGTAACAGTGAAAGATAAAACGATGCGAATGGAGTCTGTCCCGTCAGCCGTATTTTGCAAATTCACTAGGAATTATCCACGATGGTTTCTAAGAGGAACCGCGTGGAGCAAACTCCAGGTCTATACCTGATAAGGTAATAAAGATAATGTTAAATTTCATTAATAATAATTCCTTCCTTCCTCCCAAGTACTTATTAGGTATTCGAGTCAGTATACGAATCAGCTTGACTCGGCATATCACTAACCGCTGAGCTAGTGTGATTATTTGTCAATATCATTCTCTTATGGGAACTCGTGTCAAGCAGTAGGAAGTTAGTAGACTGTTACAGTTACAGTAAATATTAAAATAGGGGGGAAAGGGATTGTTAGTAATGGAGACGGAGAATCCCATTGCTAGCAATATGCCCACCCAGGTCGACCTCCTCGCGGTTCCCCCTGGAAACTATCATGGTTAATTCCTGATGAATTCATCATGATGGGCTAACTGGCCTGTTTTCATTCTCATCTATCACCCTTCACTGGTGCTCCGCCAGCGTATCCCATTAGCGCTGGCGGGGTTACCATACCATTTTCACCCATAAAAGAAAAAAAGAAAATATTAAAATAACATACTTTTTCATTCCAGAATAACAATGAACAGGAAAATTATAGGTTCTTAGCAAAAGTTAACTTTAACGATACGACTATTGTGAATACAAAGGGTATGTTACATTTATTAATCATATTAGCTTTTACCCGCGATTTTTTTTTGCGCGAGATATGTTTAATAAAAAGTAGCCTATTTCATATAGTATGTGTACACTAAATTTGAATATGATTAAAGCGCTAAGAGGTAACAAATAAACTCACTTTCACATTTATTTATTATATAGATTAGTAATTATATAATCCGTCATACTCGTGAACGGGTGCTGCATGTAGATACTGATCTGCTCTGGTCATTGCAACCGATTTATTTTAATTATACACTATATATTTTAAATTTTATGATCTGATGCTACTTAGAAGTTTGTATTCACACAAATTCATTATTTATATGTATAGTTAATTTTTTTTTAAAAAGCAACAGCTGAGTTTGTCGCCCATTGTTCTTGGTTGAGATTGCGTTCCGAATGGGCTGTAGTGAAAAGATGATTGTTCAAAAATGCTTAAATCTCTGTTTACTTAAATAAAAAAAAATCTTTCTTTCCTCATTAATAACATCTTGATATTATGATTTTTAATTTATGTATAAAAATGAAAGGATAACCTTATCTATGCTTTTAGTAGATATACGCTGGTGGGGTAACAGATAAATCTGATGGTTGAGGATGAAGTCAGATCGTGTCGTTCCAGCGTGACAAATTCCTCTAGAATTAACAACAATTAGTACTATTACATATTCTGTGGCTTCGGTAAACAAACGTAGTTGCAACTTTGCTTGAATGAAATAAAAAAATCCTTTATTTCAACCTATGTTTAAATATGTAATAAAATAAAATATATAAATAGCGCCGTCTGTGCTTCGGCATAGAATGGGCTGGCCCTTCTTTTCCCGTGGGTGTTATAAGAGGCGACTAAACGAGGAATTGGCAGTAGTGTTCTCTTAAAACATTTTTAAAAGCCTAATTGTGATGCCTATCCGCCTGCCAAGCGTGGCAACTACTGGCAAAACTTCTCTTATGAGAAAGGTTTAAGTCCAGCAGTGGACAGTTAAATAATAATAATAATAAATAAGATAAAACAATTCACTAAAGTTTGTTAGTGTTAATTTTATTAGTGTGAAATCGATGTATTGGAAATATGTTTTGTGCATCTGTAAATTAGTGTAAATGCAAGATGCAAGCACTATTTATTAATTAAAATTAATATTTGTATTTACACTGTTAATGTACCTTTTAAAAATAAATAAATAAATGTATTTATTTTATAGAGTTCGACAAACAATGGGTAACTGTAAGTCCAGACAGCAAATTGGAAGCGAATGTATTAGAGATATTCCGTCATTGTACAGGATACGATTGTTTACCACAATTATCTATGTCTATGACCTGGTCAGGAAGGTATAACAATTTCGTTAAATACTTTATTTATTTTTTATTATTTATTTATTAATTGTAATATTCGCCGTGTTATTCTGGTATTAATTTATTTATTTGAAAATTACTCACCACACTTACAGTTCCCCAAAACGTGTAGTGAGCCAAAGTTTTATTTTACAAACTTACAAATTTTGTACAACATTTTAAAAATATATTTCTTTTGTAATTAAATATGTCAATATCTGTATATATATATATATATATATATATATATATATATATATATATATATATATATATATATATATATATATATATATATATATATATATATATATATATAATTTATAATATCGGTATAGAATGGGCTACCTCTTCCTTTCCCGAGAGTATTATAAAAGGCGAATAAAGAAACTTAATGGTCGAGGGATGGGCAGCAGCGTCCTTCTTAAAACATCACCAAAGCCTAACTGCGATTGCCAATCCACCTGCCAAGCGTGGTAACGTGGTAGTAATATTTAAGTATTAATGTCTGTATGTGAATTTTTATATTCCACCATAATTTTTCATTGCCTGAATAGATTTGTTTTACTAAACTAGGTGTTATCTTGCGGAACCTCATTTTACTCGTTATTTGATTACAATTATTACGTTTAATTCCGCTACCATTAGTATGTGTGTGACTGCCAACACTCGAAGATTGACCACCACTAATGCTACCAGAAGTTCCACAAACTTCCATATTAGCCGTCAATCTTCGAGTGCCATTTTGCCCTACTAAAAGGATATAAATACGGCAACATAGTCGAAAATTAGTCATTCGTAGTTTGGGTGGCGAACGGATAACATTAGGCTCCAAGCAATAATCTAACTCTTCAATCTGCTATTAAGTGTTCACTATTGAACATAGGCCTCTACCTATTAGAGGGTTTTGCCAGTAGTTGCTATATATCAGACGGATTGCGCAGTTAGGCTTTAGTGATGCTCAAAGAGGGATGCTGCTGCCCATCGGTCGATCATTAAGTTCTCTTCATTTCTGGTAGCAATGGTCAATATTTTAGTGTTGGCGAACACACTCACACTAATGGTGGCGGAATTAAACAAAATAATTGTAATTAAATAACCAGTGTACAGATTTGAATGTGTAGGATATAGTTAGAATCCTAATACCATTCCAAGTATTGGATTTAATTTGGCATTGAATTTTTTTGGCACGTCAGTTGTGTTTCTTAATTTGTGGAGCGAAATGTTTTTATTTGTTAGTTCATTTACATTTTATACTCAACAGAAATGAAACGTATGTTGTGAAATCGGCACAAACTGAGTCCATAACAGTAAAAGTCCACAATTGGGGTCACAGTTCGTACAAAGCATGTGTATGGGTGCATCTGACTGGCGCGCACGTGGCTCAAATTGACTGCGCCAACCACAACGGAGGGTATATGTGCTACTTACCGAACCCGCTGAAACGGAATGCAGATGTAAGTAACTGTCTATGGATATATTAAAATGTGTAGATGTTATTGTTCTAGGAATAGTGAAGGATACTTTGGATCTATTTTTTAATGAATGTTATTAAGAAACTCTAACTGAGCAAAGCCTATTAAATACAACGATTATTTAAATGACAAACGTGCATTAGTTGATTATGTACAGGCTTTTAATGAATATGCAATTTTAGATAAAATACACATAAATAAAGATTTAAAAGAGTAAATGTTGAGTTGATTACAGGTTCTTTTCAGCAGATAGTAGTAACATTGTGAACCCTGTAGTAGATTCATAAAAGACGATAATTTAACAAGTCTATTGAATAACGACGATTTGAATTTGTGACCTGATTCCTGAATAATAAATTATTGAGATCTCGTTCAACTAAAGAATTGCTTAAATGAAGCCTATTCAAACTTTGTATTGATGTATGATTTGATTAGAAAACTGACTTACAATTGAGAAAAAGAATTAATTTTCTCCAAAATCTTTAGTAAAAATAAATATCTATCCTAAAAATTGTGCTTTGGTTTTAAAGCTGCTATTTCTTGTGACAATGAAATTACAGAATACAGAGAACATAACAACGTAAAGAATGGTAACGAATGAGGATTTGTTTTGATGGATACTAAAGGAATTATAACCCCGCCTGCGCTATCCTTAGCCACTGTCGGAGCATTAGTGAAGGATGATAGTTGAGGATGAAACAAGTCAGTTGGCCTGTCGTGACGAATCAATAATAAATCAATCATGATGATTTCCAAGAGATCGACAGGCTATATTGCTAGTAATGGGGTTGATAATCTTCATTACTAACAATTTCTTTTTCCCACCACGAATAAGGGATTACTACGGCGCATTCGGTGATATCCATAGCATTGTTTGTGGTAATAGGCGACGGTTATAACTTACCATCAGGTTGACCGTCAGCTTGTTCGCCATTTTAGACGTCATAAATAACACATATAATTTAGACATTGTCTATTTTTATTTTATCTAGAAATAGTATATTATAAAATGTGATGGCGACTCTCACGTTTGGACCAAATTACTTGTTTACCATCAATTGGATGATCACTTTCACCAGCCTCTATAAAAAAAGTTCGATCCAATTTTTACTTTAATTTTCTATAGAATTTCTTTCTTGCACTAAAATTTTATATTGATATACCAATTTTCAGTATGCATTTAATATAACATTGGACATGGGAAAGGTGACCAATATGAACAAACACATAAATGTCAATGCTCGTTTGTATGAAGATTGTCCAGAAACAGTTGACGTCAATGGGAACGTCTCAAGTTATAAAACTGAAAATAAATCTATATTATTATCGTTGGACATAAATGAGATTTTATTGAATGGGTATTTATAGTATAATTCATTTTAAATTTAATATTAACCTTTTGAACGCTTAGCTTTGTAGTTGCCGTGCCCCTAGCGCTTTACTCAAATTAGTAACTTTATATTTTACATTGATTTTGGCTCGCTGCTTCGCACGTGTGTATTTAGAAGTAACCAGAGGCAGATTTTGTACAAAAGCCGTTTGCTTGGGTACCTCTGTCTTATTCGTGTTTCTACCGTGAAGCAATTGTGTTTGCATAGCTGTGTTTCGGTTTGAAGGGTGGGATATGGCAGTGAATTTATAGGGTATAGAGGATTAACACCTGAGTTCTCAGGAATGGCACGCATGGGGGGGGGAGATCATGGACGAAACAGTATACTCTGTTATGTCGATGGTACTGCTCATGTCTGCAGGCGACGGTTACCACTTTCCATCAGGTTGGCCGTTAGCTTGTTTTCCATTCTAAGTTGCATAAAAAAAGTAAAAAACGAATGAAAGAGATCATTTATAGATCAAACAGACACGTGTAAATAAGACCTTCAAGAATACAACTGTGAAACCACATCTAATTTGTCGCAGTAGATTTTGCGTGATGCCGCAACAAACATACGGAAGAAAAATTAACAGTTATTGTTTTTGCTTCTATTGTTCTTATTAAAACAACTATATCTAATTTAGCTTAAATATTTTCCATGTCAGCCTCCCTATATAGAAAAAGTCTAATGTTCAGAAAGTCTAATGACCATGTGGTCCTGGCATAGAATAAGACACTCCTTCCTTTACCGTGGGTGTCGTGAAAGTCGACTACGGGACGGCGAGGGATGGGTTGCAGCGTCTCTCTTAAAACATCTCTAAAGCCTGACTGCGGTTGCCAATTCGCCTGCCAAGTGTGGCAAATATAATATGATGATGACGATGATCTCCAATATGTGGACATCGTCTAATTATAATTTTATTATATTCGTAAGATTATAAATATTAGTTATTTTTTATTGTATTCCGTTTTTAATTATTACTGTGGCAAGTAATTTAAATATATCCTAAATTCCTGTTCTATATTTATTATTGTATTAATGTAGTTAGTATTTTAAGGTTTATGGGAAGTTGTTCTCTTTATTAAGAGAATATTTTTAATAAAAATAATTGTTCTTACATATTACTAGTGCTTGTCTACTACTAGACTCATGAGTCTCTGATTTCTTTTTACCTTATTTTACTTTTTAGTGCTGCAAAAAATCTAATAGCTCATGGCAAATGGCAAATGATGACCGCCACCTATAGATATAATATCAGATACTATATTATAGATTAATCCCCTTATTCATAATAACGTCGAACCACCCTATTTTAGCTATTGAACTGTTTTGTCTCTTTCTTGTATGCTAAATTCTCAGTTTGAATGAAAGTGACAAAACCGTGTAATACCTGGTTAAAATATGTTTTAGTTTTTGTAAATAAGGGCTTAAGGATATTGTGTCTGCTATAACATCGCATATACGTTGATATTCCTGTTTCGAGACAGGTTGTAACATAGACAGTAGCACCATACCTCATTTTTGTAAATTGCATCACTTTCCATGGTGAAAAAAGGAATTATAACATGTGTTTACAGGTTTGAACGTAATGTAACAATAACTGACAAAGAAATATTAGACAAAGGGAATGAATCATTCAATGTAGTGCATGAATATTTGGTAAGTACAAAAAAATGAATCAATTTCCTTAAAAACTGCTTTATTTATTTAGTAGTATAAGAAAGCAGTTTCTAAGGAAAATAACTATATGTAATAATATATGTGCAATCAATTGGAAAAATTAATAATGGAAATTACTACATATTTTTATTTATTTAGTTAAAAACACAATTTATATTAAGTTTGTCTACAAAAATAATAAAAAGTTAATTCGAACAATATCAGTCATGATCGTGTCGGAGGTACTTGTAAACAAAAAAAAAATCGAAAAATTCCCATTCTTTTTGTGAAATTAAAATTAAAAGAAACAATATTATTTATTTATACTTTATTGACCAATAAATTAGTAGCAAATGCGGACTTAATGCTACAGGCATTCTACCAGTCAACCTTTAAGATGTGCAAAGATACTCGATGGCGGTAATATAAAATAATTTGAATTTATTATTTAACAGCTGTAATTATTTTAATTTATACAATATGTTGCTTAATTTTAGCCACTTCTTAATTTGTCTAGTATTTATTTATTTGATATATTTATTACTACAATATTAATTTCAGATAGTAAATAAAGGTGTTGTAACTTGGAAAAATATTGAAGCTATTATTATAGTGAACAAAGAATCATACATAAATATATCAGGATTCAGAGTAAGTATTTTTAGTACTTGTGTTATGAATATATGTGAAGTATAAACAAGCAAAGCAGGAAAAAATTACTCCATAATATAAAATCTATTAATGTCGTACATCAAAACAAAGTCATATCTAAGTGAAAATACATATAAGCCTAAATTGCATACATCTATTTCTGCATAGATGGAGCGTCTAATATGTTAGCCAATTCAAAACAGTTTGCTGAAATGTCGTTTTTCATATTGAATGCCAACGTCTAATCTTTTGTTAGGGTATATAAATGTTTAAAAATAAATATTTATAAACTAAATATTTTTTTATTATATTTATCACACTGTGTGGTCTCGGTTTAGCATACCACCACTTTCTTTCCATTTTAATGGTCAAATGATGGGTAGCACGTCCCTCTTAAAACATTATTGAAGTCTAACTGCGGTTACTAATCCGCCTGCCCAGCGTGGCAAATACTGGTAAAACTCCCCTTATGAGGGAGGCCTATGTTCAGCACTAGACAGTTGACGACTTATATAATAAAAGTAAAAAATATACACAAAACAATTAAGTGACCGATTGTTAATCACTTAAGACGAGAATTTTACAAAGAGAGACTACGCATAAATAAGTCGTTTGCTTTGTTATTTTTTTTATTCTTTTATTTTTTTATTTGTTTATTTATTGCTCCACTAGTGTTTCTGCTGGCTAAGTAGAAGTAAGATTACATGGTTGTGCTTCATTTTGAAGGTTTGATAGTAATATGATAGTAAAATTACACTATATGGATATACATCCATATAGTGTAATTTTATACATACATATTATTCATGAGGGATAATAAGAAAATTATTGTGTATTTTATGCTGTTCGTGTTACTGTTCATATCTATAAAAGATACTAAGCGAATTTTCCATCACGTAGGCCATCAGCTTGTTTGTCCTACTATATTGCATAAAAAATTATATTAACAGAATTTTGGGGCGTTATAAAAAGAAATACTATTTTTATTGAAGTATTTTTAGCGAGATACTTTATCTAGATGTTATTGATCCAAACTCTTAGGAGTATACACAGTAATTAATATTGTGTTACGGAACAAATGGTACAACGTAAAAGTTATCTTGGAAACCTAGACTGATCTATCATGATTAAATTGATACTGTCTAAGGAGAAGTCTAAAATCCATTGCCTTCTGAATAAGAAGAGTTATGTTGCAACTCTTTTTTATAAACTTCAATCAGTTTGTTTGTTCAAGACAAAACTTGCGAGCTAAATTAGAACCACTTTTTGACATTCGATTTAGCTGAAAACTTGCATACACCTTTAGTTCTGATATGTGTATAATATGCAGTCTTCAATATTATGTTTAAATAAACAGAAAACAATACATGAATGTAAGAGGAGAGAAACTCGGAATTAAACGCAGCACTAACCCACTTAGCCAATATAGTAATGATAGTAGGCTAGGACATTAGTGGGCTGTTATTAGGAAAAAGGGATTGTTAGTAATGAGGAATTTGTCCTTACTGCTAGGAATCAGGCAGGTCCTCTCAGGTTGATTGACAGGTTGATGAGGTACGCAGCCAGGGCCGTAGCATGACCCATGTTTAAGGTAGGGCACATAAATTACATAGTCCTTTTATTTTAATGCAGGGCATTGGGTCATAGTCCTTCAATGCACCCCCCCCCCTCCCTATGCGCTCATGCTACGGCCATGTACGCGGTACTACCTGGAAAACATCGTAGTTAATTCTCAATGAATTCATCATGTTCACCATTTCATATTTGCCCCATTAAAAATAGGCTGTTGTGATAAACAAATATGTCGGACAGGCATCGTCAACAGACTCCAATAGTTGCATCCGAACTGGTTTAGAAGATGGTATAGTGAAGTGCCTGCTCAATTTGATGCCACGATCAAATGTCTCGTTGATGGCGACAATTCCAATCTTCAACAATAAGATAGGTAAGTAAATCATCATTTAATAATACTGACATTTATTTGAAATGAACCGATACGACATCATAAACAAGAAAAGAATTTCATTTTTAAAGGCTGGTAGCACATCTGCAATGCCCTTGGTGTTGTGGCTAATCATGAGCGGTAAAAATAAATATTTATGTGTTAATTATATTTCAAGTACAAATAGATAATAAGTAAAGGTCATCATTGACAGAATAGAAAAGAATAGAGGTCGTAAGTACAATAATTGTACTCTATTGAAGTAATTCGCCATGTCATTCCGGCATAGAATAGTCCACCTCTTCCTTTCCCGTGTGTGTTACAAAATACGACTAAGGAAGGGCGAGGGATGGGCAGCAGCATCCCTTTTAAAACATCTCCAAAGCTTAACTGCGGTTGCCAATTCGCCTACCAAGCGTGGCCACTAGCAAAACTTCCCAAGAAGGAGGCTTATGCTCAGCAGTGGACAGTTAAAGGCTGATATGATATGATGAATTATTTGACAGTTGGTATTATTATCACGGTACTATTATTACTATTAGTATATTATAATCTAATGTTATTTACTTTCAGTCGAGGGTCTTGTCGACAATACGTTAAGGATATCATCAAATATGTCATTATATTTATATCCAACAGCGACCATAATGGATCAAGGGTACGTAAATAATTACCGCCAATTAAAATGAGTTACATTTTGTAAAATAGGTTTATTAAAATGGAAGATATTTTAATTAAGATAGGACAGCCCAAACACAATGAGATATTTTCTTGGGTAACTGAGTATTCACACATAACGTGACGCAATAACATTTTGTTACAATCTACGTCAGTATCTCGGTTTCTTTATATACAATTTTAGAATCCAGAGTTATATTTTAGAGAAATTAAAGCTTCTATTAATATGATAAAGGAATATAATTTTTAGGATTTAAGAAAAACGTAACCCTTATAGAATCACTTTGTAGTACATCTGTCTATCCGTTCGTCAGAACCCTTTTTCACAGAAATGTGTGGAGGTGCCAAGCTGAAACTAATACAAAAACTTAAGTTTGCAATCCCAAGGAGCTGTGAAAAGATCAAACTTTTAAGTAAATGCAATCAAAAACAACGGTAGTTAGTAGCGTATATTTTGACATTTGCAAAGGAATCAGAACTTATAGAGTACTTGCCGTTAATTTAGAATCACGAAATTTGGCAAGAAGCAATTTTGTACAACACAAAGAAAAAAACACAAAAATCGTAAATTCGTGGTATAACAAATATCTACAGCTACATCTACTTGCCGTTAATTTAAAAAATGGCAAGAAGCAATTTTGTACAACACAAAGAAAAAAACACAAAAATCGTTTTTTTGCTGAATTGAATTTTTTTTCAATAATAATTATAGTTTGTACTGAACCCTTAATGCGTAAGCCCGACTCACACTTGTCCGTTTGTTTTTAATAGCTAGATTTGTAAAATTAATAAGTAGGAAAATATGCATATTATATATTATATTAGCTATTGGGAAATTATTTTTATCAAAGGGAAACCGTGCAACCACCATACTTTAGAAGACATAGAGAAAAATTTGACAGCCTATATAGAAGAATGGATATCGGAAAAGTCAACCTAGTACCCCATTTAACCACCATAGGTAGGAGATAGGAGTAAAATGGGGTGTGAAAGAATGTGATTTTGCATTGTCACTCATATGAATTGTATACTAGCCTACGTTTGAAAATTATTTAAGATGTTCCATAAAAAAAAGCACAGTCTTCAAACTAGATAAAACTGGTTATTTTAATTTAAAACTAAAGAATTGAATACATTTTGATAATATTTCTATAAGATAAAGTAATAGAAATATCTTTTTAAATAAAAAAAAAAGGTATATCTAAATGAGTTTAAAAAATATGGAGTATTGGGGTAACAAGCATAAAAAAAATACAACCGTTTGGATAACTTCCTTTTATTTTGAAGTCAATTTTGATTACTAAAAAAGGTGATTTCGTCACTTTACCAGAAGGAGACTTTGTACAAAAGTCAATTGGGTACCTTTGTCCCATTCGTGTTTCAACCGTGAAACAGTTGTGTTTGCATGGCTGTGTTTCGGTTTGAAGGGTGGAATATGGCTTGAATTTACTGAGCACAGAAGAATAACACCTGAGTCCTCAGGAATGGCAACGCATGGGGGGTATCATGGGCGAAACAATATACTCTGTTATGTCCATGGTACTGCTCATGTCTATAGGCGACGGTTATCACTTTCCATCAAGTGGGCCTCCAGCTTGTTTGCCATTCTAAGTTGTATAAAAAAAAACTTTATGAAAATAATATTGAATGTGTTGCACACATATTCAATATTATTCATTACACATGAAAAAAAAATTAAATGATGATGAAATGATATTTATTTGCTGTAAATGTGGTACATAATGGGATGGAATTTATGACAATAAGTAACTTGCACTTTCAAAAAATAATCTATGTCACCTTTTATGTATTTTTCTGTTATTTTCCTTTTTTTTTTGTATTTTTTTTTTCCTTATTTTTGTAAATGTTTATCTATCCGCTTGCGCTAACGCTGTACGCTGGTGGGGCACCACTGAGGGATGATAGGTGAGAATAAATAGACAGGACAGTTAGCTCATCGTGATGAATGCATCAGGTATTCAGTACAATGGTTTCCAGGGGGGACCATGTGGAGGTCGACCAAGCAAGTGTATTTAGGTAATAGTTACTCATTGACGATTTGTAGTTTATGTTGTATCTGTGTTATGTATAAATAAATATATTTTTTAATTCTTTTTTTTTATAGGTCAGCGACGACGGTTATATTCCAAAAAGAATTGAGTCTAGCACAGGATCTAACTGTTATCATATTATGTGCTATTATATTGGCCGTGATAATTTTAATAGTTATAGCATTTATATTATATAAGGTAAGTCAAATTTACAATAACATATATCATATTATATAATTGATTACTAACAACGTGCCTCGAAATAGCTAAGTTTGGAATACGTAAGATCTGCGGACTGATTCTGGTTTAAAATCGTTTATTGTGGGTAGTATTCGGAGAACGCGTGTGTTCAATTATTTTGTTAATGAAAGATAGTAATTTTTTTTTCTGTTAATTTGTTTATGTGAATGTTGAAACTTCTTTCTTTCTCAAAATCTTTATACTTTGTAAGTTTTAAGTAAATTATATTTTTATACTACATATAAAAGGTCTAAGTTTTAGAAACGAAATTTTAAGTCTTTATTGTTTTATAAAAAATAGTAACTATTTAAAACTAGCCATTTTGTTTATACGCTTTCATTGCATACACTTATATACATTGTTGTAAACTATAAAAATAAACAATTGAGATAGTGTTCTACAAAAAGGAAATAGCTTTAATTATGGCAAAATTATTTATTTTAATTTAAAAGCTAAAGTACTAAACCGATTTTAATAAATTTTTTATGGAATCATCTGAAAGTTATTATCCTTTCACACAAGAAAAAACATTTCCAAATTAGTTTATAACTGATGGAGTTACCTCATAGCTGTCAAACATAGAAAACTTTTTCAAAAACAACCGAATTCAAAAAGAAGATTGTTCTCTATTCTGTAGCTTCTTTTTATTTTGAAGTTAGTTGAAAAGAAAAAAAAACATTTCAACGATTTTGGAGTGTATACATTCTTAATTCTATTATTCGGCGAAGTTGACAAAATACACTTTGCTATTTATAAAGGGCTTGTTTCGTGTTTTAGTTTCATGTTTGTCGTGGAGCAAGTAGTTTTAAAATAATAGCTATGGGTAAATCCAGAATTTCCATGATTGTTATTTTTTAAAGAGGTATTTTCTTAATTCAGCTTTCTGCTATATATACCATATATATATATATATATATATATATATATATATATATATATATATATATATATATTATATATCTTAGCGAATTACGAACCAAGTTTATTTATTTTTTAATTGAATGACCTCTTTAAGCAGTTTCATTACTTAATTTTGATTAACATTTAAATATACAAAATATTTCAATAAAAGATTTAAATGAAACATTAAATATGTATATATGTATGTAATTTTTTATTATAATAATAATAATTGAATAATTAAATTAATTTCAGATTGGTTTCTTCAGACGCAAACAAAAGGAAGAGTTAAAAGAGCATATAAGAAGAAAGAGTTTTGTAAGTACTAATAGAATTCTACAAAATTAATATTATAAAGAAGTGTCTTTTTATTTATAGTCTATTATATGCTTAGATTATATAAGATAGAGGATCGAGCCTCAAAAACGAGTTAACTTTTTGTCAGCTAATTATCAAACTCGTTTTTTTATCAGTGTTCTACCTAACACATTACACGTATCTATGTTTATTTATTTAATAAATAAAATGAGTTTCTGCGCCTTAAAAACATGCAAAAATTATAAAATAAAATAAATGTAGAAGTTATAAAGGAATTATTCATAACTATTTATCACCTAAAATTATATGAAAAAGCTGACCCGCTTTTTTCGAAGCATTTGTATGGAGTCACTCTATCTATATAATCTATGATTTAGTCATATATTAAAAAAAAAGTGCTGAAAATTAGTTATAATTCGACCAATATCTGTAAATAGTTTTTATCTTTTCAGAGACAATCCACATCCAGCCGTCATGATAACGAACCAGAGGAACCTATCGATGTGAGGGTCTTTTTTTTAATTGAACTTTATTTTTAGGAAGTACTTAAAAATAGTGATTGATCAATCATGAGAGAATTAATATGATATCAATACATTAAAATGATTGACGACCTCTATGGTGAAGTGATAGGCGGGTTGTTTTACGCAAATGAGGTTCTGGGTTCCATTCGCGGTCGGATCTATTTGGGAAATTAACTTTTCTGTATTGGCTTAGGTTTAGGTGTACTGCGTTGTGACTCTCATAACACAGGGTTTTCCTAGTTTGAGGTGAAGACCAGGCAATAAGTGTGAATGAATGAATGAATGAGTATACTTTATTTGCATTATACAATATAGGAAATAAACAAGATAATTTACAAACATAACGATACAATTGTATAAGTACAGTAAGGCGGTCTTATTGCTGAGAGCAATCTTTTCAAGACAACCTTAAGGTAATGGACTAATTGTCGTACAAGTAGGTATAATAGTTTGTTTGTATGGACTTGAAAAAATACTTTTACTTTTTACAATAGTAATAATTCCTTTTGATATTGAGAATTTTGAACTGCATGATTTTTTATAACAGTCATGCGAGGTTATGATTAGTTCTTTTAAAGGATGATAATGGAATGGTAACTCCCCCTGCGCTAACGCTTATACAGTGGCGGGGCACGAGGGAGTGTTGATAGGTGAAGATGAAGCAGGTCAGTTAGCCCATTGTGATAGATTCAACAATAAATCAATCACGATGGTTTCCAGAGAGAATCGCGTGGAGGTCGACCTAATAGGGTTTATTGCTAGCAATGAGTAACCCCATTAAGCCCAATTACTAACAATACCTTCTCCCACTAGTTTATGATAAGTTAGATACATTAATATACTGCAAAAGTCTAAATGTATTTAATTATAATAAAAAAAAAATATTAGTAGCTTAGTTACTAATTTTTTTTCTCTAATTAAATACCAAAAGAGAATTTGAACAGAAGTTGTTTTCTTTGATAACTCTGTCCCACCTATACTGCTACCGCTAAATAACTGCTATGTTTACAGAGCTATATTTAGTTTTTAAAGGTAGAATAATCATCATTATACCAGCCTTTGGTGATGCTGCTACTAATCCCTCGACTATTAAGTTCTCTTAGTCGCTTCTTACAATACCTACATGAAAAGGAGGAGTGGTCCATTCTATATCGCAACTACATGGCAAAAAGGTAGAATATGGCAGATAAATTACAAGACGTGTACCTTAGTTTTCAAGAACGGCAACGCATGAGTGGTAATATGAGCATCAATTCAATACGAAGTCCATTGTACTGTTCATGTATGTAGGTGACGGTTATTTTTTCCCATCAGTTGGATTGCCATCTTATTTATATTTTGTGTTATATAAAAAAAAATGTTCATAATAAATCGAAAATTCTTTTTAACAGCTAACCATGGAAGTGGAAGATGATGCTTTTGTGTCCTCGAGCAAACATTTGGACACAGCTGATGACGTTCCATTACAAGAGAATGAAGAAAAAGCTGAAGCCGAAGTACATTCCTAGTTTATGATAGTTTTTACTTATTTGTTTTATTTAATAATAATAAAGTTTTATTACTATTTATATAATAACAATATGAGTAATGTTAAAAGACCTAAGAATAATTTTCCTTCCAAATTTGTTAATAAGCTGTATAATCTTGAGTTTAATTATTTACAAGTTTCAATTAAACAGGAAAAAAAATATATAGTTGTATTATTGAATCAAGAATGGAAGTCATATAATATCTATAAAAATAGTTTATAAAAAACGATATTACTATGTTACTATGGCACACGCATGAAGGAAAGGAAAGAAAGAAAATTGTTAGTTTATATATTTTGATTTTTGTTTTGTTGCTTTTTTATTTTCATTCTTTTATCTCTTTTACTGTTTACTATATGTATGTTTTTTTTTATTATTATAATCTAACAATTTACACCAATTACAGCAGCCATGCTCATGAGTAGATTGATTTAGCGCTGTCATGTCTCCGTTTGCAAAACAAAAGTGTTTTATTTCATCGTCTGACATCACATAAATTGTGTCCCTATATTGAGGGTTTCTGCGCACAATAGTTAGTGTCCTTATTTAGTGCATAGTGAGGTTATGTCTTTTGTATTCTTGGGTTCCACGTCGCTAGACATATGTAATGCTGCGCTACGCCGCACAATTGCGCCAACTCACGTCACACACAATAAATTTTTCAAAATAAGTTGGCATACAGAGCAGTTGAGAAAAGTGAAATGGACTTGGAGAATTTAGTGTAATTTTTTGGACTTGTAGGTACTCGTTTAAAAGTTAATAAATGCACTAAAATATATGAATAAAAGTAACGAAAACTGAAAGGGCTTTTTTTGTCGGTTATTTTTGGGGCATGTCAAAAAATAACCTACAGTGATATACGTTACCCAGTGCGTCGCAATGGGGCAGTGAGGCGCGCCTGACTTACTGGGTTAACGCAAGAAAAATCTTTAAGTTATTATGTTAACACGCGGAGAATTTAAAACTCTCTTATCTATTGAACATTTTATGTTTCTTTTTTTCTTTTTTTTTATACTACTGAGTTCGCAAACAAGCATACGGCCCACCTGATAGTAAGCGGTTACCATAGCCTATGAACGCCTGCAATACCAGAGATATTACCTCGCGCGTTTCCGACCCTGAAGAAACCTCTTTACCCCCTTTTGAAGAACCCAAGCTGTAGTCTCTTGGGAAGCTAGGAAGCTCATTCCATAACCTGAGTGTTCGTGGGAGAAAACATCTCTGAAACCATGTTGTATGCGACCATTTAGGCTAAATTTTTATGTCTCTTAATTTCAATCGCCTCCCATACTATTCTTGAATAGAAGCTTCCATGGAAAGGATTCGTGGACGATGAAATTCGATCTTAAGTTGATACTCGTCATTAATAAATGTTTTATAAGTGTTCATTTACAAATTTTGTAATTTTTAACTACAGTGATATGTTTCTTCAACCTTTTAGCTATGTTTTACTTAGTCCAGTTTATGTACGAACTACCACAACTGCAGTTAATTCTGCTATTTTATTGTAACTATATATCTTTTGGTGTGCCTACAATGCTTTTGTTATAGTTTACTTGAATACTCGTGTTAATTCCTGTCTTTTATAAGTCATAAACATTGCAACCTGAAAATCTAATAGTTAATAAACTTGTATACATATATTTTTAAATAAATACCTATTTTCAACCGATTTCGAACGAAAGAAGTACTTAATTCGGTAGTATTTATTTTTATACCATATTTGTTACCTCTCAATTTCGTCAGTTTTAAACCAATTTGGAAAATTCTTTTTTTTTTACTGAAAAGATATGGATTATTTATGGATTATTACCATAAAAAATTTATCATAAATGGGTTCAGTAATCTTTTATAGTTTTTAGATTGAAATAACCGATTTTATTATAAGTCGGTTTTTTTTTTGTGGGATACACTTTTTATAGTAAATAAGTGATTGTTAAAATTGTATAAGTCCTATATAATAAAAGAGAATATTTGTAAATATGGATAGGTGAATGGATGAATGTATTATGCATTACGTGAAAACTACTAGATGGATTTGAATAAAATTTGATTCACGATTCGGTTATATCCTAAGATAGCACTCAGGATACTTTATGTACTGATTCACGCAGGCAGAGACGCGGAATACGCCTATTAAATAATAAATTGTAACTATATTAAGACACAAAACATTGGAATACAAACGCTATTGCCAGACTGAGCTGACATAAAATGATTAAGTTGGGCCGTGTCTGGGAGTTGTCGTTGAATTTAATTTAAAATTCTAAACAATTCCAAGTTATATTTGCTTACACAATCACCCGGTACGGCAAGACACAATGTAGACACTTCCAAGATATGAACTGAATATAAAAGGAACAAAATACGACCGAAATTTAAGGAAGCGTATTGCGTAATTATTTAGAACATTTACTATAGAAATAAAATGTAATTTTGCGATTTTGGCCAAAATAAAGTTCACCAAAATTTTCTTATTCTGGAAAATTACAATATTCGATTTTAAAATAGTTTTATTATTGTCTTTACAGTACAAAACTGGTATACGTTTTTTTTTATTCAACTTAGAATGGCAAACAAGCTGACGGCACACCTGATGGAAAGCGGAAACCGTCGCCCATAGACATGAGCAGTACCATGGACATAACAGAGTATACTGTTTCGTCCATGATACCCCCCATGCGTTGCCATTCCTGAGGACTCAGGTGTCATTCCTCTGTACCCTGTAAATTCACGCCATATCCCACCTTTCAAACCGAAACACAGTCATGCAAATACAACTGCTTTACGGTTGAAACATGAATAGGACAGAGGTACTCAAGCAATCGACTTTTGCTTACTTACTGAATACGTACGTAGAGAGGAGAGGGATTGTTAGTAATGGTGTCAAATTGTCCCATTGCTAGCATTATACTAGAATATATACCTGATAGATCAGGTCGACCTGTTCGATATGTCAGTCTGTAATATATGTCAGTGTATACCAATAACGCAGGCGAGGTTACAATTCCATTATCATCCATTAAAAAAAAAACATGATGGTTTCCAGGGGGAACCGCGTAGAAGGTAACCTGATAGGGTATATTGTTAGCAAAGAGACTGTTTGATCATATTACTAACAATTCCTTTCCTCCCTGAATGGGTGGGTATAAAATATTTTTCCATTTTTTTCAGATAGATTCATCAAAAATAGAGATATTCATGATAAAATTTGTCTTGTGCATAATTTTTCTGACAAACGGTAGAGCGAAATATAGCCAGGCATTCTTGCTTGGCTGTGTTTCGTTCTGCTATACACTGAACACAGCCAAGCAAGAATATTTGAATGTATTTAGCGTACAGCCTGTGGATTAAAACAGCACCATTCTCACGTATTTTTTTTTAATGCATGATTAATGGAATGGTAACCCCGCCTGCGCTAACGGTATACGCTGGCGGGGCACCAGTAAGGGATGATAGATAAATAATGATAAAAAGGAGGTCAGTCAGCCCATCGTGATGAATACACCTGGAACTCCAGGGGGAACCGCGTGGAGGTCCATTCTCACGTAAGCGTTGCTAATTTTGAAGAAATCATCATAATGAGAATAGAACAGTATCGCTATCAGTATACGCTGGTAGGTAATGAGTAGTTTTTTTTTAATTGGTGATAATAGTATGGTTACCCCGCCTGCGCTATTAGTATACACTGGCGGGGTACCAATGAGAGATGACAGATGAGGATGAAAACAGGTCAGTTACCTCATCCTGGCGAGTTCAACTAGAATTAAACAAGTTGGCTTCAAGGGGGAATCGCGTGGTAATCGACCATGATAGGGTATATTGCTAGTAATGGGGCTGTTTGACTCCATTACTAACAATCTCTTCCCCTTCGACCAATGAGTAGTATGTTCGGTGATGAGTTAGGTGATAGGGTAATTTCACCAGGGACAGCGTGAAGGTCGATCTGTCAGGGTATGTTTGGGCAATGAGGCTTCTAGTGCCCGTTATTAATAGATAATTGCTTTTTCTCGCTGGAAAGGGATACCTGTTCCTTATAGTCGTGAACAGCATTGTCATCTCAGCCATTATCCATCCACTGCATCCACTAACTCCCTGCAATGCACTCGAGGTCGTTACTGCATCTAGTGGGGGTCACATTGCGTTTGCCCGTATCGAGTCGTCACTCAAGAACTTTTCTTCTCCATCGGTTGTCGGTTCTTCGAACTTCGAATCAGCCCATTGCCAATTCAGATTGCTTATCTTTCAGCCTATGTCGGTGTGTTTGATTTTTTTGCAGATATTCTCGTTTTGGATTCTGTCACGCAAAGACACTCCGAGCATGGCTCTCTTCATGGCTCTCTAAGTAATTTGAAGCTTTTGCATACGGGTAACCGTATTGGACCATGTTTCGGTTCCATATGCCATCACTAGCAACACGCACTGGTTAAACTTTCATCTTCAAATTTTGAGATATTCTGGATGAAGAGATGTTAGTATACGTAATTTTCTGAACGCTGTCGAACAGCATTATATAACAGCACTTCCATTCTGAGTTGTATAAAAAAAAATGCGCTACTAGCGCCACTGTCGCAGAAGAATCGAGAACACGACCAGGTATAAAAAAAACAGTGCGGAGTAAATTATAAGTTTTATCCAAGAAGTTAACATATTCAAGAGGAGGTGCTAGCAAAACGAAGAAGAAAAGACGATTTTTTACTACAGACAATTAAGCAAAAGCGGTGCGGCGAGTCACTCTAATTTTCAAAACTTTTACAGTGCCAATCGAACACCCTCAGACGTTTCTATTCCTATAGATTGACACGTATCCTATAATTTCACAACATAAACGTTCGCAAGAGAAAAGTATATTTTGTTTACATTTAAATCAGTTTTCTTTTATAAAGAACAATTGTTTATTTCACAGTAAAGTTAATTAGCAAGTTTATGAAAAATTAAGAAGTTTCTTTTAATATTTCACTCCTTCCTCTTTAATGGAAGGCTGTTATCTACTACATTATGATCTCAGTTCCTTTAGAGTGCTTTATTACTTTTAACAACAATGAGAATAATGCAAACTTATTAAATATTTTAATTTGATATTAATACTTAAAAACTTCTAGGTATGTATATATATAATATTATTATTTATTATAGTCCATTAATATTTCTTTGCAGAAGA